GGTTGTTTTGGGTTTCGGGTTCGTTGAGACGGTTGATCGTAAAGTTGAGCCAGGGGGGGGGGGGGGGGGGGGGGGGGGGGGGGGGGGGGGCTCGGCAGCCGCGGCCCAGAGCATGCAACATGATGGGACTCCGACACGGGCAGCGGCTGTGCGAGCAAAAAGACATGCCCGGCTGCTTGCGCTCCGAACTTGGCCAGGCGAAGGGCTGGAGGGGTTTTTCTGGGCGGGGTGCAGGGCGGTCCCAGGGTCCAGGTCCCAGGCATTTTCAACAGAACGGCTAAAGGCCCACTTTTGTGCATTTTGAGGCGCTTCCTTTGTAGCAGCCGCCGCCAGGCGGGACCCTCCACGGCATCGGTTTGCAGCTGCTCATAGCTGCTCCAAGCGATCGGGGGGGTCCCACAGGGAGGGGGGGGGGGGTGCCTCACAAAATTCAGAGAAGGAAGGAGACCGGATCTGGGTCTGCTTGTTCCAGACGCTTCTCGGCAGGAAGCCGAGGCGATTATGTGTGCATTGGATACCTACATGGGGGCTTGGGAGCTTTGTTTTGTGTGGAGAGTTCAAGGCCTGTGAGCTGAACTCGGAGCGCACGATGTGCCTCCCTGTTCCCGAGCAGCACCCAGATTACCAGGCCTGGTGTTGGTCTTGCTACAGGCACTTGCTAAGGTTACATGGCAGCTTTAAGTAGCAGGAGTGAAGTTGCATGCAGCCTGCAGTGCAAGCATCGCAGGATCACCGGCAGCGCCTGAACCAGAGCAGATCTCAATGGCCTTGAGAGTAGCGATCAGTCTCGAGTCAAGTGAAGTTGAGATCATTGCACCACCGTGACGTGCCTCCGGTTCTTTCCGGCTTGACCTTCCCGAGGGTCCCTGACTGCTGCTATGCCACCGTTCCGAACGGTGATGGCACCTACAGCCTGCAGCTGAGATCGGCCTTAAAAACTCCCAGAGGCTCCTCGTGCGCAGCTTTTGGGCAACGTTCATCTCGAAGGTTTGAACTACACCGGCAACAAGACGGGCATCTACTCGCTAATGGTGTATGCAATCTTCTCAGATGGCGGCCTGCTTAGCTCAGCACTTCAATCAAGAGTCGGAAAATTTCCAAATGTGAAGCGCAGAGTCGCGATTCTACCAGGCCTTTGGGGTCAGCGTCGCCAACGCGCTTGAGCCAGTGACTGACGTTGTGACGGTGGCACGCCAGTCGATGGCAGGTATTGGGACAACGCGTGGTTCTATGGGCTGTTGCGGCCTCGTTGCAGTCGTCTTCGTGGCGTAATTATGGCAGACGGTGGGTGCACTTCAGGCCCGTCCTTTCCAAAGTTGATGCCAACATCAGCTTCGAGTGGCCTGGCTTCGGTTAATCCCCCTCCCTATATACTGCCAGTGGCATGTGTCTGACATTTTGCATGTGAGTATCTGTGAGTTGAAGTGTTGGTGTGGCTAAGGTGGGGCCACCACGAGGCGATTGCTCAAGCTTTCGCTTGGGTGGGGTTGGGGATGTTGGGGCTTCTGGCAGGTCACGGCTTTGGCAGGCGATCACATCACTGCGAGGCCGATGCTTTCACAAAGCATGCTCGTCTGAAAGATTGACACGCATCAACACAGGTGGGTGGGCTTCCTCCTTGGCCCGACCACAGACGAATACACCATCTACGTCAAGGTGTCCCGGTTCACGTCGTTCATGTGTGATTGAGTCATTGATTGCTGGCCAGCGAGGGAATTAAATCGGGCGTCAGGAGCACCGTGAGTTGTGTCTCGTAAGATCATGACCAGCCTGACTCTACGTTCTGCGGCTACTGAGAGGCGGATGACAGCGTTCGCGTGTGGTTTCAAGGCCGGGAGCAGGATGAGAGCATTTTTGGATGTGTCATTGCCCGTGCTGCGACATCGCAACAGATGCGTACATCCTCAACCCCAGAACTGAAGGCCATAGTCTTCAGCCTCGAGCTTCAGCCCTCTGCCATAAGAAGCATAGGTCGCCACAGGCAGCCAGCAGCAGCAGTTGCATCAGCAGCAGAAGCAGGAGCCACTGCAGCACAGAAGCTTGTTGGCCCTTGGTGTGACCCATGCCAGAACAGGTTCCCAACACAGGAGTTCCAAGGACATTGATTTCTCGGGCCTGCAAACACCTTGGTAGGGCTTTTAAAAGGCACCCTTTCCCCTCTCTCGGCAAGAGCACACTTGGCTTGATCTTTTAGCCTGAACAAGTGCCGGTTAGTTGATCGGAGAGGTGACCTGGTGATTGACTATTGGGACTCCTCCATCCCCTGTTGCAACGCGCTGAGAGAGTAAGGAACCACAGTCACACCAATGTACGGACGTGAGAAGATGCGGCATGTTCGGAACAAGACCACCAAGACCTGCTGAGCATGCTCCTCAGGCCCCGAGCTCTGGACTCGCCAGCTGATAGAAAAGGACAAGTTCTACTCCATCAAGGCCGTTTTTCTCTGGCCATCTGTGTTTCTTTCGCATGCAGAGCGGACACATGCCATGCTGCAATGCTTGCAAGTTTAAGCGGTGTGCGTGCAAAATTGCTTCGTACTGGGGCATCCATCGTCTCCAATACCTCCGCGCACTCAATCGGATTTGAGCATCATGCCGCCGCCAGGTCGAATGGAAAGAGATGCAAGGAAATGCGCAACTGCGATTGATGTGGGGTCTGGCACAAAGAATTGCACTCCTCCAAGCCATGCTTTGTTGTATGTGACCTGTGGGCCTTGTGACTGAGGCATCACGGGGAAGCGGAAGCAGCAGCGGCCTCAGAGCAAAGGACATAAAAGGACTCAGTATACTGAGTGAAAGGCTCTTCACATCCTTTCATCGGCAAGGCACAGACTTTGCACCTTTCACATTGCATGTCATATGCGCCCAGGATTATTCCAGGTGCAAACCTATGGCGAGGAGCTCCGCTTGAAAGCGCGTTGGGCACCTACTTGGACATGTAGCGTTCCCTGCTGCTGCATGTTTTACCATACCATCGCGATCGAGCGCCATGCATCATTGCTCCGTGGGCTGTTCGGCTTGTCAGGCCCTTCCGAATCGTGGTTCATCCAGGGCCACCGAGCAGGGCCCTCACGGCTCAACCGTGAATGAGTGAAGCCGTCTCTGCTTGTTATGCGGATGAGTCCCACTTGACTGTCAGCTGCACACGCTGCGCCGACGAAGCTCTGAGGTGTCCAAACAAGTGGCCTCATTGAGCCCCTGGAGCGGCTCCGGACCGCGGCCACTCAGCTTCAAATTGGCTCCAGCACGACGCCGCGTGATGGAACAAAACGTGCCCAACATTCATGTGCAGGTATCGCAGAGGCTGTACCTACAGGCGCACGGACTACCCTCCCGCATCCAGGGGTTACGTTCTCAAATTGATTGCTTCAGTGCTTGCTGCTGCGGACGAGGGGCTAGGCAAGACCACACGTGCAGGCACTCGACACCATGAGCAACACGGTCAACTCAACAGATGTCCAATTTGAAGCGCTTCTCGGCAATTTGAGTTGTTTCGGCGAAGCTTCTTGCAAAGCGAAATCCCATGCTCTCCCCTGAAACATCTGAAACTCATCCGAGGTACTTCTATCCACCCAGCTATACCAATGCAACTGTGCCTCTGGTGTTCAGGCAGGGAGCGCTAGAATGCAGTATGATTGCGGATGGCATGGGAGATGATGTTGCGCGTGTCTGTCAGGTCCATCCCGTTGATGCTGCAAAGACAAACTGAACACATCCACGACCACCTGCACTTCATTGTGCCACACGCGCTGCTTGTAGCACACGTGTGCAGCCGCTTTTTGAGCCTTGCTTCATTGTGATATGCGTGTTTGTGAAAACATTTGCGAGCGCATGCTGCGCGTCGAAGATGGTTTCTTGCACACAATGCGCTGCGCCGCATGCCAGGATTTGGTTCTCCTGGAGCCGGGGAACTACACCTTAGAGCTCTTTTTGAAAGGGCAGGGCCAGCTCGTCTTGTGCTAAGTCTTCTCCGCGTGAAGTTCTCTTTGCATCTTGACCCCGCCCCCGCTCCTACGGCCGAGCTGCACGGGTCTGAATGAGCCACTGTTGCAGCTTGAGGCATCCAGTCCAATCCACTTCCTGGCCACGCAGGACGTCATTAGGTTTTGTCCTTGAACAAATGGAAGCTCACCAGGAAGTTCCTGCCAAGTAACCAGCTGTACAAAAGTTTTATCGTGGTTACATTGTTGACCGGTTGGGACGCCGAGCCGCCGAAGTGTCACTATCTTTGAACGGAGCAGTGGAATGAACTCTTTGTCTACGAGATCTTGGGGCCCGGCTATGTTTCTACAAGGGAAGCTTACCCCATACATTCTCAGACTACCTCGATACATCTCGATACTTTTATTTTTTAGCTCCGAAATGTTGAGCCTTTCACTTACCCATAGATGTGCAAGGACGATGTTCTGCCACAGATGTGCACGGTTGCCCGGGCCCTGGCAGACTAATCGTACAGTAATTGGCAGGATGAGAAGCAATCAAGGTGACAGTTGATGGAGTCACGACAGGACATGACCAAATGCAGCTGGAAGGACCCTCGTAATCTCCTAATGTCCTTGCAAGCCTGCTCCGCTGAGATTGGGCCGGGCTCTTTGGAGTTCATTGCTGGAGTCGGGGGCCTTGCCCTGCAAACTTTCAAGATTCTTGACAGGATGCCTCGCTAGAGTCTCGACCGCTAAGGAGGAAACAAACTTCACATTACAGCTCCGCGATGCCTTCAGCAACCCGGTGCCACATGTTGACGGTGTTACCGTGCCTTTGCTGCAGCTATCCAGGGGCCAATGAATTACTTACTGTAGTTCGCAGACCTTCTTTTGATGGAGCTGATGGGGTCGACCGGCAACAAGCACGCACAAACAGCGCCAACCATGGCCGCATGGCGTGCGTAGATGGTGTTTTCGAGCCTCTTGCTGAATTCACTGCCCAAGACTAATGAAAGATGCAACCGCCACCGCAAATTCCCGAGAACACATCAAGTTGCCAAGAGCCATCGTAATCATGCGGATGGCGGGTGGGGCAGCCCCCCCAACGGTCTCAATCTCCATAATTCTCAATCTCCATAATTCTCTCTCTGCGAACTGAAAAATCGAACCGAAAAAGGTAGCATTGAAAAATGTTGAGAAAAGAGTTCTCTTGCGGCACAGTTGCGGCCTGCTGCTTCTAAGGTGGAGGTGGACTTGGAATTTGTGGAGGACCCTTTGACTCGGCTGTGGGGGCCAGTTCCAGATCTCCCGCTGCGAGGAGATTGATGCAAACGGCACTATGGACGATCGGCGGCTGCGAAACCTTACGGGCGGTCTGCACCCCAGTTGTCCCTAAACTGTATCTCTGTGAGGCGGCTGTGGGAGAGAGACCTCTCCTTTGATGAGCATTGAGGCCATTACGCCACGGCAACATCGATAACGCCGGGGCACCCGAAAGTCTCTTCGGCTTGTGCATGCTTGGGCTGCAAGAGAACCTCACGGCGCAGAGTACACTCGCAGGAAGGGGGACTTTGGCAGCTACTTCATCACCTACACCGGCCTCCGAGCTGGCATCAACCTCTTGACAGTCAAGGTTGGGAGATTCGCTAACTACACAAAGATTCAGGCACAATCCCAAGCCCTAAATACCGCCCAAAATCTGTGATACACCTATCACCTCCTATTGGGCACCCGGCGAATATGGTCTTGGGGCTTTGTGCGAGAGACAAAGAGGTTCAACAAGGTCAAGCAGTGCACGTCAGCACATTTGACTTCTGCGCCGAGAGTCGAGAGGTCAATGGACTCCTCATCATGGGCCAGGAGGAGCAGGCTTGAAAGCTTTTTGCTACGACATCAAGATGTTGATTTACTGTAGTTCATCCGGGTTCGTCCTGCGTTTGCATTTGCACATATCTGCATTTTGCATCCGGCATTCCAAGACCATGGCATCGGGTGCCAGAGGTCATTTACGACCCACCAGTTCAAGGCCAAAACAGGCAGCGGATGGAAGCAGGGAGTGTTTTAGCATGGAGCGACGCCCTGCAACCCACTTTTCAGGCCTTTGACAGTCACTGGCTACTGGAATGAACGTGCCAACGGCCTGATGACCATCTACGCACCTGCCAGGACATTTGCTACAGATGAGGTTTGGAGGGTTTGGAGTACACTGAATAAAAAATTCCGTTCATGTCTGCATCTGGGAGGAGGGGCCTCGTAGCTACGGGCGTCGGACCGTAATTGTGAATTGCAGGCATAAAGGAGTCCTAAGATGTCCCGTCCAGATCATCTTCTCGAGCCTGTGCTGTGAGCCACTTTCCACTTGATCCGTCGGGTCTTCCTGCTTCGGACCTTGTTAAATGGTGTTCAAGCTTTGCTTGATGTACTGCTGGGACATGCGCATTCAAGGGACTTCGGTCTCGTGTAGGCCGTTAACGAAAGACCTAGAGGCCGAGCTGCAGTGGCTGCGCAAGATAGTGCGTATGGTGCAGCCGTGCCCTGACAGGATTCCGGCAGAGTGTACCACTGGAGTCATTTGTGCCGTTGTGCAGCTTATCTGATACTATCGAGTTGTTTGAGAAAATGCTCTAGCCCGCATGCTCTGCGGTGGTGCTGATGTAAAATGTGCTTCAGCAAACTGCCCCAGCTGCAATGAGGTTTCACGTGCGCGACACCTACGGTAACCGCATGCTTGGGGACTATCATGAGCAAATGCGGCTTGACAGCAATGAGCGACATGAATGATGTGGCCTACAGCATGAACAGTGGCTGGAGTAAGAGGTGCAGCCAGCAGTGATATCATGTCCCGATAGCTTCGAGTCCAGGGAAAAAGGCACTTGTCGAAGCTTGCCTCGAAAGGCAATACCGTACGGTGGACGCTCAATGCAATCCACTCCTTCCAGAGGATCCTTGGTGTGTGCCAGTGGACGAGGCATGGCTTGCCTTGCAAAGACGCAAACAAGTTTAGTCTGAATGAAGTGCTCTATGAGTTCTACACCACAGAACTTCTCGAAGTCTATGACTGTGTGCCATCGAAGAGTTGTGAGATGTTGTGAGCCTCGCATCTTCCGTCAGAACTGAAGACCTTGAGTTCAAGTTGAGCTTTAGTTCGGCCTGAAAATTGGACAGCCACGACTGCTTTGATATGCTTTGATATGTTTTCATGTTCAGTGCCACACAGTGGACACTCCACCCATGAGGTTCCTCCAGTGCTGATTAGCCTTTGGGCTTCTGTGTGGCGTTCGGAGCATTGTGCCCGTATGTTTAGGAGGTTTTCGACTGAGTTATGGTTCATAAGTACGCGAGCCCATGCAAGTGTGCCACGATTTGCTGTGGAACCGTTCTTTGGGAACCCTAAGCCCCCACACCGGCGCTAGTCTCCAGTCTGCCACCAGGGCCACTGTTTTCAGATCTTTGGTGAGATGCACGCAGCTTGGCTGGGACATACGGAAGGGTTCAAGGAAGCTCCAGGACTCCAGGCGCCACGCACGTATGGTACCAGTGGATTCCGAACTCGCAGCGTGCAAAATCAATGGAGATTTGCGAATACTGCAGAAATATTCTGGACATCGACAAGTTCTTGAGTATTTGCAACTCACCTGGGCTTTCATCCAAGGCTTGCGAGCTGACGCCAACCATCGGCAGCTTTGCAGCAACTTGTGTTTCATTTCCTGCTTCGACATCCGCGCTGGACGAACTCCGGCCGCTTGTGATGTCATTGCATGTCTTTGATTCATGCTAGCATTAGCCCATCGGAGTCGATGGCATAAGAGCTGAGGTGGCAACTTCCTGCTAAGGCGGACGAGGGGTCTTTGTAGCAGCCCACATGACATGCCTGCCAGCATCTTGTTCCAAAGTTATTCTTCCCGGATTTTGATGGGTGGTGTGGCTGAACTGGCTACAAGCCCCAGCAGTACTCTTTGCAACATGCCTGCTCCTGCATCTGGCAAAACCATTACTTAGCGATTTCCCCCTGAATCACCTCAATCACCTCAAGGGATGCCAGGGGATTTCTATGCCCCAAAAGTAACACGTAGCAGCGAAAGAGCACAGAGCACCTCAGGGCTTCACATGGCAAGAACCTTTGGAAACACCATGGAGTTGCTGCGGACGGACAGCTCAAGATTGTCAAGAAATCCCTGTGTTGGGAGGCTGCTGGTCAATGGCCAGGATGTCTCGTATGGGCTTTGGAGGGTGCTTCTGGCTGGCTTGAGCGGCTAAGTTGATTGTGCCGATTTCGCCTTCGTGCGTTCTGCTTCGGTTTCTGTGCCAGGAAAGCTTGGGTGCCTACAGCTTGGAGGGAGTCACTCGGCGCCCGAGAACATGCAGTCACACCGTCATTGACAAGTGAATGGTTCACGGTTAGCTATTTTGTGACCAATAAGTGGGTTCAGAGTTGTTGCGTTTGCCAGGACAGCTACATCCGTGGGCCCACGGCCCTTCTCGTGAATATCGGAGATGCTCAGCTAAGAAGAGTAAGAAGAGCTTGAGCCGGTGCTCAAGGAGACTGCGTTCACTTGCCAACAATTTGATTGGAACAAGTGGTCATGCACATAATTGTATTGTAAGTTGTTTTTTGAATCAAGCGGGGCCCAATTGACCTCCTTCGCTTTGAGGTATAGAGATGTTTGACAACCACATGGACAGTCCTCTAAGTTATGGTCCCCTTCTGGGTACTTTGCACACCAGCAAGGGACCATGATTTCAGGAAACGGCCACATGTTTGCAGGCGGAAACCCTAAGCACAAGAGGGAAAGTAACGTGAGGTAGCAAGCAGTCGAGCAGTCCCACTGGCGCAAACTGTCCTTTGTGGTACTGACTCAGGATATCAACGCCACAACGTCCACAATGACCGGACCTGGGCGCCTTCTTGAGGGCAACCTGGATGCAAGTGGAATCCTTATTTCCTTCAGCATCTGGGTAAATGATGGTGGCCATGTGACATCCAAGGCAATGTGGTGGGAACGCCTGCGCCAGTTCTGGTGCAGCTGAAGGACCAATATGGAAATGACCGTAGTAGCCTAAGCCTTTGCAGCAGCCCTGCATGTCCAAGCCTGCTGACATGGGCCCCGTCCGGGGGGAATCACACAAGTGGACAACAGGCATACAAAGCCACAGTCACGAAGTTGCTGCACCACCTGTCATACCGTGTCACATCAAACTTGAGACTGGAGGTGCAGTAACGAAGTCAAGTGCTGACTGTTTGTTGCTTCACAAGCACTTCTGTCTTGGCTACCCGCTCAGGCATTGTTACTGGCTCCGACTTCCTGCAGCGGCGCAACGGCATCTCCGCAACGCTGCTTGGACAATGCTTCCAGCACGAGCGACATGAGGTCGTCCTGTTCTTAACCCCCTTCCTGTCATCACCAGTTCAGATCTCTTCCTAAGTTTCTCAATTTTCAATGCACCCCCCCCCCCCCTACAATTGTGGAACTGTCTATTGCGTTTTTGGACCTTTCTTTTGTCGTCTGGGGTTTTTCTGTGAAAGTACGGAGGAAATAGAAGCTTCCCGAATAGCCTACAGAGAACATCCAGGTTTTCCTATGAACACATGTAGCAGTTTTCCTCTGAAAATGTGGAGAACATCTGCACCTTTCTCATACAGGGAATTTTGTGTTTCACGTCAGCTCCACTCTCAAGCCTTCATGCCTCCCTGAAGCATCGTTTTGGACAATGTTATCTAGCCGCTTTGCCGGAGCACGGTTGGATTGATGAAGTGAGTGCTCTTGCAGTATTCTTGGAGTCGCGACATGTCATGACTGCAGATGACTGCAGAGAACTGCATGCCACGCGTGCGTGACAGGCTCGGTGACCGAGAATTGGCCACGACTGTTTACGACAACGGCACCATCGAAGTGACAGTCCCCCAACGCATCTGATGTCTCGTTGTTGACGTCTTCTTTGCGGAGTGGACCATCTAGACAGGGCAGTTCGGGCCACCAGAGAGCATTCTGAGCTTTATCGCAAGTATGGTTGCTTCCTTGCGGGTCAAGGACATCATCTGCAAAGAAAACATGACCCTGCTTATCCTGCTTGCCCATGACTGTTTGCTTGTGAGGTGCTTATCTTCCAAGCTGGATTCCACAACCTGCGAGTCAGAATCGGAGCCGGCTGCATCCAGGCATGGCTGCTGGAAGAATTCACGTGCAGCCTCACATGGCAGACGCGGAATGCAGGTACCAGTCCGCGACCCTTGCGAAGACATTTCGGGCTCGCCAACCACGCTGCTTTGCCCCTGGGCTCTTCAGGACACCCCTCAACCGATAATCGGTGCTCTGGTGCAGCTGTGTTGTCAGTCAATGTGAAACCCTTTCAAACGGAAGGTGTAGCTTCCTGTTCACACCTGCCGCGACTAAGGGTGGAAAGAGGCAGAGGTCTCCGAGAACGGAATGACATGCCAAACGCCTTATGCCATGGAAGTGCCCAGTTTGCAAAAAGCTCCAGGCGCAGACAGGTTAAAGTATGCTCGAGTGTGTAGATGCTTGTTTGTGTGCAGTGCTTGCCCGTGCGTGAGGCAGGGAGGCAGTACCACTTCACATGCACTGGGCGGGACGTCTATGGCAACATAAACCGAGACCACGAGTTGGTATTGACCTCTTTCTTCAACTATGTCGTTGTGCCTCGCCTGTAGCAGTTGCTGGCACAGTCGCTGGAACATGTGTAGTCGGCAACGCGTTGGGCAGCATGGGTTTACAGGGCAACCTTCCTGCACAAGGATCCAGAGGGTTCCGAGCCCCCAGATGGCTGGTTTCGTGGAGCGCTCAGTTTGAGTTAGTGCAGGTGCTGCTACTTCTTCATTTGCATGTGAGTGGGTCTGGTGGGTGTGTTCTGTGCAAGAACACCGGCAAGGTGGCAATTTGAGTGCGAACTTCAATCACACGGTTGCCGGTAGCTATCTGGCAGCAGATGGAAGGCTCCTGCGCAGCACTTACATTTTTGGTGCAGCGTCCACTCCCCTTCCAGGGCTGATTGCCTTGTGCGATCGAAGTAACCCAGAGAGTCACGTCCAGGACGTCCCCCCCCCTCCCCCTCCGCTGCTGGGCAGAAGGGTCGGGGTTCCTAGTGGATCAGCTTGTCTTTGGGTAGCTGCGACAGCCATAGGTATCATTTCGACATCACACTTTACAGAGCTGGCTTCTACGAGCTGATCATTGAGATGATCAAAGGTGCAAGTTGTGCTCGTCACTGTTGAGCCTTCCTAGCTTTCGTACAGTACGGCACTTGCCGCAGTAGCATGTGCGTCGCTTTGATCGGTCTCAATCCCTGACAGTGGGCTCCCAGCCAGCCATCGTCTTGGCAAGAAATGTCCAAGCCGAAGGTGGGACTGCAACCGCTGCAGCTGTAACAAAGATCTTCCACGTGGGCTATGTGATGCTATGTGGGTATGAGCTTGTGCTTTTGAGTGCCATTGAATGCCCTTGACCGTTTACAGCAACGCCGAGCAACCCCAGGCAAGGAAGATCATCAGCATCCCTAAGAGACATGACCAGGACGCCCCGTTGGCGAAGCGACATATGTGCTGGGATTTCCTTCGTTGTGACTTGGGCAGCACAGGCGATGAAGCTAATGCAGTTACAGCTTATGGGTCAGCTTGGAGAGGCCATCCTTCATGTCGTCGGTGGTGGGTGGCTTTGTCACAGCTGCTGCCAACGTGGCTAATGAGGCAACGTGAAGGAGAGATTATCAGTTACCGGTTGCCAATGTGGGCTCCTGAAGCCACTGCGCACTTGACAATTGATGAGTGCTGCGACGCTTCCGGGAGGTTACTGTCCAGACGCGAGACCGCTTCGGCAATGCCATCGAAATCAACAACGGTGCGGTCCGGCCCTTATTTCTTGTCCTCCCTGACTGCCTTCGTGCGCAGTCATGCGCACTGCTCCGAGTGCAGTCATGCGCGCTGCCTTGCCCTGAAGCTGCCAGAAGTTCAGGACACCGTGGTCGCGCAACTTCGGGGAAGCTCGCCGGTGACGTTGCCCTTCCTGCACTTAATTCAAGGTGAGCTGGCCAAATTATGCTACTGCCAGTCATCCCACACTGTGCACATTGACACGGCATGTCATCATGTCGGGATCCTGCCTCTGCCTTCCAGGTCGCTATCGTGGTGCCCTTGTTCCCCTGGCGGCGGGGCCAACACTTCTGGAGATCCGTGTGGCGGGTGAGGAGATCGTCGGCTCTCCGTGCCTTTGCATGTCAGAATAAGGGAGTCCTCTGGAGCATAGGTTGGATCTCAACATAGCAGCGCATGGCGGGCATGGTGTTGGAGATGTGATGGCTCAGATCAGGTTCGATTTCCTGGTCACTCCCGGCCCGATGGTGACCACAAACTCGACGCTCGACCTGTCAATCAGTTGGGTTCCAGCGTGTTGCAGTTTGTCACAAAGCATGAGGCTGTCCCATGACTGCGCAAGTATATACATGCTGTTTCATACATGTTCATGCCAGTTGAGGCTCGTGGAGGGCTTTCCCAGCGAGCTAACTGCCGGTGTGCTGTCCTGCTGGAACATCACCTTAAGGGATGCTGCCTGCCTCATGAAGAGAACGTATAGCCTGTGAGAGCGGGTGAGAGCCTCTATGCCAGTATCAGCACAATGGCGACGCCAAGGCCACACAAAACCATTTGCTTTCTGGGCAGTTCGAAGCAGACCCCACGCAGCTCGAGCCTGTGTCCTGCACAGATGTGGAATCATACTGCTACTTGGACCACATGGCCCACCTAAGAGACATGGAGCATCATGGGAGCCACCCCTTGAATTTCATGCGGCAGTCTGGAAGGAGAAAAGAGCGTCGTCACTCTTGACTAGGGACTAGGGTGTCTAATCTCGGTCTAATCTCGCAAGATCTCGCCGAACAAGGTGTGCCTTGTCACAAGGAAGCTTCGTTTTTTGCGCACAGTCCTGTTGTGGCTACTGCTGCGGGGTGCTGAGGCTTCCATACCCAACTGCCGACAAGCTGCAGTTAGAGCTTCGCTGCGAGTGCTGATGTCGATGAGCAATCTAGCAACCTGCATCTGTCATCGCTGCTGCAGTAGTGCGCGAAAGGTTCAGGTAGCCGTAGCGCCCACAATTGCTCTTGGCCAAGTGCATGGCGGCTGAGGAACGGTACTTTCACATGCTGCATCAACAAGACGGCCATTGACGTAGTGCCTGCCAATTTTCTGGTCGATGCTTGGTGGCGAGCCGCTCAAGCGTCGCTTTCACAGATCCATTCTGACTCGACGCAAGCAGCGCAGTCCTCTAAATGGTAGCCCCCATTTTCTGAGAGCTCAGCACATGTTTCCATTTTTTGTGTTTCGGAGCCTAAGCTGAAGCCTGCAAGTAAACCACCTGTTAGGACACCTTTCCGTTCACGTGCCAGATTCGCGGTGACAACATCTTTGGTCCAGAGTCTTGCCGCATATGGTGGCAACAAGATGGTGGCCATGTTGTCCACATTGTCTGAGGGGTCAAGGGGGGGTCGAATGACGTACAGAACTCAAGGTCGACATGAAGCTGTGGCCACATCCGATTTCGCCTTATTGGCCTGACAGCAGCCTCAAGAGTGCTTCGGCTAGAATGGGCCAATTGGTCAGGCATGATCCGGCGCTGAAAGCCGATCCAAAATGACAGTTGAAGTGAAGCTTTCAAGTACGTTCGTGGTCGATCTGCCGCAGTGGTCAGAACAAGCGTCGTGTCAAATGTCAAAGCTTCTTGCCTTGAGCCACGGCCAATATACGCATCCCTGACAACCCATCGGCAAGAACAAACTAGATTCTTTGTCAGCTCCGTCCTATCATGTGCTCTGCTGCCGGAGCTGAAAGTAGGTCAAGTAGGTCTTCAGCTTCTTTCTCGTGACTGTTGCATACTGCTAAGTTGGGAACGGAATGCTTGGGCCGTATGACTATCCGAGCTACATCGACGACCAGTTTGGATGGCAGGCCCGCCGCTCTGGGACTAGTACAGGCTTTTTGAAACCAGGTGCTCAAGAGATACTTGCCGTTACTATGCTCCGCTGTAACACATCACGGCAGGACTGGCCAACAACCTATGTGCGCGGCGTGCAGAACATTGACAGTGGCCAACAACAGCAGCAGCTAAACCGCCTGCGCCCACTGGCGTGAGCATTATGTTAGAGGTGATTCATCCAGCATGCTTCCACCGTGTATAGCCAGCCTGACACTTCACGCTTCCAATTCTAGGCAGGTGGTACACCGACGGCTTCTACAATGTTTTCAAAGGCCGGATTGGGCTAGTTGCCCCAAGAGCAGTTGTAGCCCTCATGCATCCACGTTCGGCTGATGTTCCGACTGCATGTGCATGATGCACAGGCGACAATGCAGCCATCCTCATGTGCGACGTGAAGGGGAATCACTCCCTTGGAAATCATACGCTTGGACGGTGGCTGTGCGAGCAACTCATGTCGGACGGTATTTTGAGTATGGTCGTAGCATCTTAACATGTTTTCAACATGTAGAAACATCGCTTGTCGCATCGTCTCACAGAGTGCTGATGGCGAGCGTAGCCCTTGACTTCTACAGTTTCCATCGTCTTCCACATAAGGGGCCTCTGATGTTTTAAACAATTGTGGTACGCCTCGTGCCAAGGCCGACCCGCTCGCTCTACCGGCTGCCCTACACCCTGAACCAGGAACTCGGAGTCTTCGAGGCGAGAGCTTCAGCTTCGTGCAGCTTCATCATCGTATAACTCGCCGCACGGATGGCGAGATGGGTGCCGGAGTCTTGGTTTTTGCGGGTCGAATGCTACCCAAGCTGTTGGGTTTCGGACTGTGGAATGTTCGGAGAGTGGCTTCACACGTGACCTGAGCACGCTCTCGGTGCATCAGGGCTGGTGTGCTCAACAGCTCTGTGAACGTTTTGCCTACGCAGGTTGAGCTCAAGTTCGAACGGATTGGATATCACAAGGCTGGGTTCTGTCAACAAGAGCAAGTGCCTGCATCGGCTTCAGAGGAGCAGCAATTTGCACAGACACACTGCTCAATGCTTGATGCCAAGCACGGCTGAAGAGTTGCATCAGTGCAGCGTCAACTGTGAGTTGCCGGTAGGTGTGGGATGGCATCAGAATGTGATTATATTCAGTGCTCGAAATAAGGGGGAGGGGGGCAGTTCTCAGCAATGGGGTAGCTTGTCCAGTAAGTGTTGGCAGTGCATGTGTAGTCCGGTCCCTGAAAGGACCATGAGGCACCCTGAAAGGCTCTGAAATGCCTCTGACCCCTGAAAGGCCGAACAGGCATCCTGAACCTTGAAGGCCCAGCCCTGTGAACCCGCACCCAGAGAGAAACGGCCCGAGATATTCGCACAAGTGGATCAAGTGGCCATGGAATTATCGACAGGTCTTCTGCTCTACGGCAGTCCGTGGTGGAATGAACGTCGAGCCCCTGACCTAGAGGTCCACAATAAAGTTTTGAACTGTTTTCGAATCACAAAGGCATCCCCTTAAATATCCCTTAAGTACTCCAGATGACTCACATTGCTGATAGGCGGTTGCGACCTTGAGATGCCGCATGTGCAGTTGCTGTGCAACATGTTGCCGGGAACGGGTACTTGTGGGCAAAGGTACCGAGACACTGATGGCAGCATCCTGCGGCGGGTTGAGCAGGACTGATCTGCAAATTATGATGGCAGTGTCGGGTGCGCGGTGTGAGTGGCATGGCAACAAGACGGCAGGGCATCAACATCTCTGCTCCGGAGCAGATGCCCATGGACGAGGAAGGAGGCTGCTGGCTCGTTAGAATCAGGCTAGTCGAATTTGAGCTGTCCTTTCGGACAGCTGGACACTTCTTCTTGCATAAAACTATGTAGGCGCTGCGCGATGGGATGCCCTTCTATACCCACCCAGATCAGCGAGCCGCGGCGGCAGACCAGAAACGTTTTGGCATCCTGTTTTCTTCTCGGAGTGATGTTGGCTTCTAGCAGAATCCTTCGCGGTACCTGGTCCCGTGTTGCAGGAAGTGGGGGTGTGTTGTTGTAGCCGTTCCTTTCCTGGCTCAGACTCAAAAAATGCCAACAAGCTCAAGGAACTACACCCTCATTCTGGCATGTCGCGGCAGGGTGCCTTGCCTGAGACAGCTTGTCATGCCTGGACACGACCAAGTGGGTCTTCTCTTGCCATGCAGACATGACGGACGTTGCAAGGATGCGGTGCTCATCTTCAACAACTCCCTTCGGGTGAGAACCGCCGGCACTGTGCAAAGTTTCCCCTCTGTTCACACCTTTTGGTTTCTTTCCGGAGGCCACGATCACAACCACAGATGACACAGTGGACCAGGCTGTGCCTGTCGTGTCGCAGTGGCTCGCGGTGAGTGGTCGCTAGATTTCTGCAAGCCACGAGTGTTCGGATGCGTGACAGGAGCAGCTCGCAGTCATTGGACCTTTGGACTTGCAAGCGCAAACGCCGCCCACGCCTCGGGCATGCCTTGCTTTGTGTGTGCATCAAGAGTCACAGGCTTGTGGGGCTTTGATTTCGCTGCTTGGGGGTTCTTATATTCGGCTGACCTGACAGGTATCCCTTGCAAGCAGCATGGACTTCAAACTCGCTCAGCTCGTCTGTGCAGCTGCGATGGGCCACGCGGACGAGTTTGTTTCATCAAGCATGCAAAAAACTTGAGAGCGCTCTTTGCGGCTCATGCTGATCGGCCTGGAAAACATCTAAGTTCAGCGACGGCGGCATCCCAGAGGAACTCCTTCCTGGAGAGCACCTCTACAACTCGCCACACGCCTGTCCTAATCAGACGACCAATGCGCACTGGCAATCGTAGAATGCTTCGTGTTTAGTTGTGCAGTTTACCCCCCACGGGTTCACCAAACCATATGACGTCCTGAGCTGGTGACCAAGAATACTTTGATTCGGCGCGCTGCCAAGGAAGACGCTACTGTCTGGACGCTTGGACTGTCATGCCAGCATGAGCCTGCTGCACTCAAGCTAGTGACTGCTAGTGCAGGTTGTTGGGTTGGTGGCCTTGTGGCTTGTTTTTGCTTGACTGCTTGCTTAACCTGTCTAGATCCTGCAAACATCGCTGGGCGGACTATGTAGGGTTTGCATAGGCCTCAGTATGTAACTTCAGGAATTTTGCTGGGAAGCCAAGCCACTTTGCCGAGGCGCCTTGCTTTGTACCAGAAGTTCATTCATGAAAAACAAAGGCTATCCAAAGATCATCGAAGTCTCCGACGCGGCAGTTGTGCGCCGCCTGCAGCCTGAGAATGCGAACGAGGAGGCAAGATCGCCGGATGAGTCTCTTCCCGCAAAAAGGAATGAATACCTCCTCATACATCTTACCGACAGGAAGCGGATGGCCAGCAAATCAGCGCCTACCAGCTCCACCAGTTCCACCATGATATCTGGCGTGAAAAGCGAGAGAACGAGAGACGAGAGAACATGGGTCGACCTAGTGCGCTAAGTGGCCATATGTGGCCATGCACTTCTTCGTGCAAACAGGACAGCGAGGATGTCACGGAAGCGCAAGCGGAAGCCGAGGCCGAAGGGCACAGTATCCTGTCCACCCGACAGTGTCAAGTATGCTTCGCAGACACACCCACCGTCATGCAGACCCACGCGCAGACGCACACGCACCCGCGCACATGCACCCGCGCACACCGCACCCCCGCGCACACCCCCACGTATTCCCGCGCGCTCTTTGCCGCCCGCCCCCCCGCCCACGTGTCCACGCACCCACGCGCATCCTCGCGCACACCTGCGCACGCGAGTGCGCGCGCACACCGAACCGCAACTGTGACACAGGTTATCCCAGCCGCTGACACAGAGGTGGAGGTCCATGTTCCCGACTCTTTGGGCTCCTCGGTGCCAATTTGTTCTTCACCGCCCGGCGCTGTCAAATGTTCAGCTTGCAAATTTTACTAGATGTGCAGCGCTTGAGCAGCTTAGACGTCAGACATCTTCCAAGCTTGTAGCGCGCTCCATGCAAACATAGCTTGAGGAAATGGTGGATGGAAAGTAATGAAGCGAACCATCTGTAAGTTTAGGGCTTGAGATTACAAGTTGACCGCAGAATCACGTTTCTTCTTCTGCACGGTGGTGGGGTTGCGCCCGTGGCATCTGCAAGGAATCATCGACCCACTCCCAGATCCGACAAAATTTCACCGTTTGGTCGCTGTCTTAGCCCTGTGCAAGTTCTTGCATGCTGCTCCGTTGAGCATAAATCCCCTCGATAGAGTCTGGGACGACATGCTGTCATGAGTGACGCAGAATGTTGTGTGAGAACTAGGAGCGACGGGCCAGCGACGACTATGCAGATGAGGACTTCGAGGCATACACCTAGTCTTGAAGGTGGAGGGCAGCATTGGATCTTGATTCGCAAGGGACGAGTTTCTTTCTGCAATGGAGACATCTTCATTGTCCATAGATGTGCTGGAACTACTCCAGCAAGATGTACACGCAACGGTGCCTCCTGAATGGGGGGTGCGGCTCTGTAACTTACGGAGGCCTCAGCCTGTCCAAGCCCGAAACATGCCAAAGCCCCAGCAGAGCAACTTGGGGCCAAAAGGTCTCTGCCTTTGGGGCTCAGCAGCTGTCGTTCACAGGTAAGTCCCAGGGAGCGAAGCATCCGATCCTACAAAGACAGTAAGATAGCATCATGCCCTGGGAAAATTAGTTGTCTCAAGCACTTCCTACAGTGGCACTGCTTCAATGCTTCGGCAGGCCGTGGGCCGTTCCATGCAGGCCACAACGGCGGCATCTCAACAAAAACATGGGGGGGGCTGGTAGTGGGTACCGGCAGCTGGTTGGTGGACACTGAGAAAGATCAGTGTCAGATAGTAAGATAGTGTCAGTGTATCCAAACTGCAAGTGCAGTTGCTGCCTTGGAGGTGGCTCCGCTTGGCTGCGTAACAAAGGTCACGCCACCCGATCCACCAGAAACGATTGTCCTCGGTTCTGACCAGATGACTGTCCGGATTGCATGGATCGAGCCTTCAGGAGAGAACCATCAAGGGAGTGAACTCGATCACAGCCCGAAGTTGACGCTGCTGTCTTTCTGCATGGTTTATCAATGTTTATGACTTTGTTTATCACTTATGAAGCTAAGCTTGTGAAGGACAAAACGTGACAGGCGGCTACGGCGTTGACAAAAGCTGCTGAGTGTTGGATCTTGAAGATCTCGGACACTTCAAGTTGCTAAAGTTGAGTGCATCAGCAGAGATGCAGCCACCAATTGACACCAATTGCATACTTGTAATTGTAGATCTGTTGTCCTTTGCAGGCTATCGGGTCTATGTTGACGGAAAATTGGCATATGATGGGGCCACTGATTCTGTCACGCGCGAGTTCCCCAGCCGAAAGAGCCATGACACGCCGTTGCTTCTTCCAACAGGTCCTGAGGTCTCTACACTTGAAAGCTTTCGGATTTACGGTTTAGGGTTCGGGGTTAGGTTTAATCCGAGCACCTGTTTAATTGGCTGATGGTTCTGTTTTCGTGTTTTTTCTGTTTTTTTTTTTTTTTTTTTCGTATTTTTTATGGTTCCAGGTGAACCCTGAACCCTAAACCCTAAAAACCCTAAACACCCTAAACACCCTAAAAACCCTAAAAGCCCTAAAAGCCCTAAAAGCCCTAAAAACCCTAAAAACCCTAAAAACCCTAAGAACCCTAAAAACCCTAAAAACCCAAAAAACCCTAAAAACCCTAAAAACCCTAAACCCTAAAGACCATGAAAAACACGAAAAAAAACCAGAAAAAACACGAAAAAAAAACCTGGACCCTGTTTAATTGGGGCCCCCCCCCCACCGCAAGGCCGGGTTCCGCAATAGTAAGACCATGGCCCCTGTATTGATTCTCTATTAAAAACAATAGGCCGCAGATCGCTGAGGTGCTGTAGCTTTGCAGCTCAGCAAGCAAAACAAGAAGGCTGCCGACAGATTTTGGAACTCCCCCGAAAACATTTTCTTTAAATGTGGTGGTATTGGCCCATACGAAAAATTCACCGTAGTGGAAAGTAGTCTTCCGGCGGGCTTCTCGGCGAGAAATAATTCTTTAAATGTGGGGGTATTAATTAAACAGGTGCTCGGATTAGGGTTTAGGTTTTAGGGTGTAGAGTGTAGGGTTTAGGGTTTTAGGGCATCTGACAAAATCGAGTCTTGTGACTCCACTGCCGAAGTCACCCGAACGTGTGAAGCAATTGTGAAGCCGAGTAAGGTTCACCCTGATGAACTGTACACGTGGAGAACTGCGTGATCTGGCAGTTGCAGCGGTGAATGCTGGAGGAGAGACCCTGGCCACTCAGCCGTCTGATGTCATCAGCGATGATTTGCTGTCTGTCCTGGGTCGGCAAGAGGGTGTTGCCACGGCAGCGAGTCAAGGTGCCAACCGTCATTACGCGACACTGTGCGCGACGGCCGTTCAAGCCCGAGAAACTTGGACCAAGAGCATTTCAAAACGTGGCTGTAGGGTTGATACTTGTTCTCCAGGGTGGTGCAAAACACGCTGCTTGCTCTCTTGATGGATGCACACAGGCTAGCTTTCCGACACGAGCGGACGGACTGCTGCTGAGGCCACCAACAATCGTGTACGTTGACTGCGTGAAGGAAGCCAGTCCTCCTGACAGACTGTTGATCGACAATCACATCCGCATCGAGTCATGTCAGCAAGGCTAAGTCGCCACGAATGTGTACCATGACAGTCAACCTGTGTTGTTGCTCGGCTACCGCTACCCGAGGCTTACAAAGAGCCGGCAGACAATGGAGGTGCACAGCCAACTGCCAGTGCACATCACCTGGATGAGCTGGAATACTAGGTAGCCAGGTATGTGACGAGTACTGCAAATCTTTGCAAAAGTTTGGTTTTATACTCTAGGCTCTCGTTGGTCTCGGGGAAGTTGAGATGGAACACTGTTGTAGCAATGATCGCACACGTGCTCACAGCAAATCTCCATTGTTATACATAATGCGCATTTGCATATGCATATATGCATATATACTTACATGTACATGTACATGCACATACATACATCATATGCGCACATGCACGTGTGCACGTTCCATCGCACCAGGCTTGCTCATTGGGCGGGGTTTCTCCTACCCACTGTAGGATTCACGTCAAGTGTTGCCTGGAGGGGTTTTTCCCCGGGCCTTTTGCTCACTTGAGGTGCTGTTTACAGCAGACTCCCTACTGTCGCTAGCAAGTGGCCGCAGCAGTTATCTGACGCTCCTCGTGCACTTGATTGGGATCAGGCGTGCCACTGTCTGGGTGGCGCATTCAGCGGGCCCAGGGCGAATCATTGGCATTTCGGGGTGTGGGACCGCTGCTTCTTGGCAGCAGTTCCGGATCCGGATAGTGATGAACCTGACGGTTTGGGAGACACAGGGTCGTGGCATATTGTGGTATTCTTTCAGGAGCCAGCTTGAGTTCTGTCCGTCTTGCCCTGGCGCTTCCTTCTCCTTGGTTCTGTCACGCTCGCTCAGTCTCCCTTGTTTGGACATTTGGCATAGGTTGTCAATTGGTTGTCATGCCTTCCATTCCATTTTTTGCGCTCTTGGAGTGAGCGAGTGAGAGCATGAGTACATGAGTGCGTGCATGCGTTGGCTGAGTGACTGAATCAATCAATGCAGCTCGAGCGTGCGTGTGTGCATGTGCGTGTGCACGTGCGTTTATGTGTGTGTGTATGTGCATGTGACTGTAATTGTATGTGTATGTGTACGTGTATATATATATATATATGCATATAATGTATATAGATATATATAGACAAATATATAAATATGTGCGTGTGTTTGCGTTTGCTAAAGTACTGTGTCTTAAACGCAATCCCACATGTCTATCGAGAAAGCGTTACACACAAGTTGACTTCTAGAGTCGAGTGATGGTTTCGGCGTCCTGCAAACAAGCAGTGCATGGGCATGTCTGAGAGCCGCCTGTGTGTGCATCCTTGGGCGGGCCAAAGACTCTGCTCTGCCACATTCTTGCTGTGTTGGCATATCTATTGTGTTGGAGCGGGCAGGCATCCATTTCCAGAATTGGGCAATAAAGGAAGCCTGCAGCGTCCATGCGTGTGCCGTTAGAGCTCATTTTCTCTGCAAGGTTCCCCATCCCTGAGAATGAAGTGTACTTTGACGACTTCAATGCACCGTGTCTGCGACAATAGCGGCCCACAGCTTGTGAGCGGCTTTGTGCTTCCAGCTTATGTAATCTTTGCCCCTATACCAGTACAGAATTTTTTGCATCGGTACGGGCTGCACCATACTCAGAGCGCATCATGTAGTAGATGCAAAGTTGAAATTGCGACAAGAGGCGGTCAGCGGTGTGAAGTGTTTGCATTCACGCTGCTGATGGTGTCTGCACAGTAAGCTCTACATTAAGGACCTTGATGGCGATGGCAAAATTGGCTTGGTTTGGGGTGAGATCTACAAGTACAGAGCCGAGCCTGCAGTAACAGTTTGCAAGATGCGTTAAAGTCCCAAATCAGCATGGAAGGCAGGCATGCAGACAAATGCATACAAGGAGTTGTGGCTGTCAATGGCATCGACATCTGGGATGACGAAAGCGCGTCTGACTACACAATCGTTCGCTGCTCCAACGAGGCTGGAGTTATCGGACACGGTTGTCATGAATCCAAGTCTTCCACATGCGTGGACATTCACGTCCTCCAGCTGTTTCGCCGAATACAGAGTGCGGAAGTACGGAGGTGGGAAGGTGATTTTGACAACCTCGACCTCTACGGATTCCATCCAGTACTGTAGGAACTTTACAACGAGGTCGACAAACCTCTCATCCCCATGACTGAGGCACCCTAAATAAAATATATGTGTAACAAATTGCCAGCAGATGCCGGGTCCAAGCCGTCCGAACCGGATTTGGTTTGTTGACGGGGCTTTGACAGGAATCCAAAGGAGCTACATCTTCCGGGCAAGCGCAGCTTTCACAAAACAAAGAAAAGAGGAATCTCGTTTGAAAAGCCCGGACACAGACATCCTGTTCAACCGCTCCACAGGGAAGTTCCTCGTTTCCTGAAGGGTTCTGTTCGCGCCCTCTGAGTGAGATATCTGCCCCGTGATGCCCCGCGTCCAGCGCAGCTACAAAGCCACTGCCGCAGCTCTTCAAGAGCACCGCAGAGTTCTGGTAGCATCAAGAAGCTCGCGAAGCTCGCCCTGAGTGGCTTGAGTTTGCCTTTTGCGTTTGCAGCGACGTTGGACTGTGTTGGTTGTTGCTGCATCTGGGGAGGGTCGACCTGTATTGTTTCCAACATCCTTTCGACCATCTTGTCACTGGGATTGTCAACCCCTGGAGCAACCCGCTGGGACTTGCGACGCATCCCATAGCATGGATTGTTCACCACGACTTGAAGTTGTAGCGCATTCGGAGTTTGTACTTCTTTGATGCGTGTGAGTCGTGTGCATCTGTGTCTGTGTGCATGTGTGGATGTTTGTTCGTGTGTGTGTGTGTGTGTGTGCAACTTGTTGTACATACAAGCATGGGTTCACACCCACTTACAGGGGGGGAGGGTGGGGAGCCCTGTCCAACGAAGCTCATGGATCCTCGCGAGGATAGCTTGGGGAGCATCATTTCATTTTCACGTTCATCTCATTTTCGTGCTGTGTCATTCCCGGTGTCTGGTACAGCAAGGGCAAGACCCGCGCCCTTACGCATCATCTTCATTCTGTTTTGCAGGTATGCCATTGCTGGTGTCTGGCGTGCCTTTGGAACCAAATCAATTATCACTCACCTTCATTGCCCAGTCTATCAGGATGATGGTCTGTCACCTGTCCGTCTCATCAGATCAAGACAAATCAACGTGCGTGCGTGCGTGCGTGCGTGCGTGCGTGCGTGCGTGCGTGCGTGCGTGCGTGCGTGCGTGCGTGCGTGCGTGCGTGCGTGCGTGCGTGCGTGCGTGCGTGCGTGCGTGCGTGCGTGCGTGCGTGCGTGCGTGCGTGCGTGCGTGCGTGCGCGTGCGTGCGTGCGTGCGTGCGTGCGTGCGTGCGTGCGTGCGTGCGTGCGTGCGTGCGTGCGTGCGTGCGTGCGTGCGTGCGTGCGTGCGTGCGTGCGTGCGTGCGTGCGTGCGTGCGTGCGCGTGCGTGCGTGCGTGCGTGCGTGCGTGGCGTGCGTGCGTGGGTGGGTGGGTGGGTGGGGGGTGGGTGGGGGGGGTGGTGGGTGGGTGGGTGGGTGGGTGTGGGTGGGTGGGTGGGTGGGTGGGTGTGTGTGTGTGTGTGTGTGTGTGTGTTTGTGTGTTTGTGTGTTTGTGTGTGTGTGTGTGTTTCTTTTGGTGTGTGTGTGTGTGTCCATCTATCCGTCTACTTATCCCCCGGTCTAAATCTGAATGTCTCTATCTTCTCTGTTTTTTCTTTCTTTCTTTATTTCTTGCTTTCTCTGATTTAAGGGCTGACGCCGCTGCCGCCGACCCCGCAAAAGGGGCGGCCGGCTGTTTGGGATTATGCAGAGATACATATACACACGTACAAGCCGCCTAGCATGTCGGCATTGGCCGAAAGAGCACTCGCAGCCATCAAAGTCGTGCATGCGTATGTATCGACAGTACGTTGCCCAGACGGGAGACCGCAGCTGAGTAGGATGCAGACGTCTCCTCAAAGTCTCCTCAAAGCCCCAAAACCTCATCATTGATTTCGCAGACTGCAGAAGAAGAAGAAACGGAGTTTTTTGGGTGGGGGCGTGGGGCGGGGGTGGGTAGGGGCGGAGGGGGGGGGGGGGGGGGGGGGGGGGGGGCGGCGGGGCGAGGGTGGGGGGGGGTAGGGGGTGGTGGCAGGGTAGGGGCAGAAGAGGAGGATGCAAGAGGCTTCCCCGCCCCGGTTGACACTACTACAACGGAAATTACTTCCGTGCAGGCGCCTGAAGTTCCATGGTGGCTGCAGCTAAATGTGTCAACGACAACCACTACAACCACCGAACCCAGATGCATTTAGTTAATTTAGTTGTGCTTTGGTGCGGTTCTTGGAGAGAAGGTGGCAGCCTCTCCTGCACTTAAGGCCACCAGCAATGAGACCTTCGTAGCAGACTTGGCAACAGGATTTGTGTGGAGTGTGGAGGCTCGGCCAATCCACAGATGTACTGTGATTGACACAATGGTCGTGGATCCCGCCGATCCCGCGACCAGGTCACGACGACCACTACAACGGTGACAACCATGGAAAGCAGCTACGCGTTCTCCAAGCTCTCAGATGTGGACCCGTGCCATAAGTCTGATGCTCCATGTGCAATGAGCAGTCTAATATAAGTCTGAGCTGCTCTCCGGATTCGGACAGCATCTGCCAGAATTCGTCAGGACCCCAGGGACTGCTACTTGCCTCAGAGCCCAACTGGCGAGTACCACAATATCTCCGCAGCAATGGAGCATCTTGGCTGCACGCGGGGATATCGAAAAAGTCTCGCTGGCATTGCCGGAACAACCCTGCAGTGGTTGCAAGGTAGCGTACCGGCGCAAACGTGTTGCATCTGAAATGTCAAGGTAAGAGCGAAGGAACACTTCGTAGACCTGCAATCCTGAACACCAAACCCAACCAACACCGCAAGACTTTAAAGCTGAAGGGGAGGTCTGATCCGCTGGAACCAATTGACCCAACTGAAACTGAGCCTACAGTACATGCGCTGCAGCATGCTCTGGTGCGCGAAGCAGCCATGCTCTTCACAGCTGAGTCCTGGTTCCTTTTGCTGTCATGTCATATGTCTTCATTGAGTCTGTCAAGCTGAGTTACATGTCACCCAACGTCAGTCCAGGCAAGCACTGGCAGCGTTTGAAGTACCACCGGCGCCGATACTCTCTGTGGCTTGGTCTGCTTGCTTCTCGGACACGAGATTTGGCAGCCATTTGCAGTCTTAAACACGATCCCAATAGGGCCTCTGCTGTAAAGATTTCTGAGGAAATTAGGAGATGCAGAACGATATGACCTTACGCTTTGCACATGTTTTGGAGCGTCCTTTGTCGAGGCAACTCCTCCATGAGGCCTGGAGATCCCTGCAAGGAGTTCTTCCCGGACAGGCACGTGAACCTCTGCGAACTGAGCACTGGTGCTTAGTTGTAAGTTGCTAAGGCAGCTCTAAGGCAGTGACAAGGAAGTGGTAGTCCCGGCAGGTCCGATGTTGTGGCATGTGCCAGGGTGGAGTTTAAACCCGCTCAGCCAGCGCAGCTTGCTTGCAGTTATTGTCGTGATTAGACTTGACAAGTCATTTCGGTCTGCTGTTTGTAATCGGGTTCTGCTGGCACTCTGCCTCCGCACGCAGTCAGGTTGTGCACACGCTGCAGGCTCACGTTGTACAATTGTGTTCGGCAAGCGTGTCGCGAGTTGACCCTAGCAGCGGATTCTTTCAAGCTGCCGATCGCTGTACGTGTGTAGTTCGAAGCATGTGCGTGCACATCCCTCTGTCTGTGCATATGTATACCATGTATACCTTTAACAATTTCTTTTTGTGCATGTGTATGTTACTGCTTGAGTTTGACGAACGCGGGAGCGAGTTTGAACGCAGCTGGTCGTGTTGGCCGTAGCCTTGATTCGTCTGGATTCCTCACACGCCTTTGCTGCTAGAATCAAGTGGGGTAGATTGATGGTTGGTGAGTTCTAATTTTGAGGCAAAGCCTCAAAGCCTCAACCTTCTCTATTTCAGTGACAGTACGGAGTGTATAGTGATATTTCGCATACTGTAGTTAGTATGTAGTGTGCAGTGTACAGCACATATTCACGCACATTCAGCGCCTAAATTTCCGGTGCATTCCTTGCCATAATCGAAATCAGGGACATCTCATGCCCAGTGGAATGGTACGAGATCGAACGCAATGAGGAGCACCATGGCTGCAAGCATTGGCAACAAACTAACGCTTTGTCCGTTCTTGCCTAGGGGAAAAATCATGCCTCAGCATGTCTTTGACAAAGGTTCTGCAAAGGTGTTGTCGCGCGCACTCAAACACGCAAACACACGAACTAAGGATAATCGCCACGGTGCGGCCGTCGCAAAACGGTAGCTCGGCTCGCCCCAGTTCATGGTGCAGGTAGCAACTAGATTCTGCTTTCAGAAGTTGCCTGAAGCTGTGCAAGTTCATGCATGCAATGTTGCCCAGAATGCTGTCCTTTACAGCATCTTACAGCTACAGTGGTGTCCGCACCTGCTCGCAACCGTGGGCGCGCCGGAGTTGCTGCAAGATCCTCTGCGCTCTCCCGCTGCCAGGCCTGGTCGATGCCTTCACGGCCGCGTCGTACACTGCCGCTCACTACGACGGCTTTTGGGGCACACTGTTCTCATGCCCCTTAGCTGTTTGGTTGATGTCAGTGCTATTGTCATTTCTGCCACGCAGCAGCTCGCATGCGAACTTGCCGAGGTTTCGCGACGATTCCCAACCGCAACCTGCACGACAAGCAGCTATACAGGACTCAGAAAGCCATCTGGGCACATCTTCTAGAATGTGCTTGCTGTGCTCGCACCACGAAGTTCAGTGGATTTGCTGCACCCTGGGCAACAGCAGGATCATGTAGAAATATGGAGAATGTAGACGTCCAGGATCCGTGCCCAGAACTGTCGAGGATGGGGTGCTTGGTCAGAGGAGCCAGCGGGGGCATGAGGGTCGTATCGTTGTTGGAAGCATTCATCTGCAGATGCAGTGCGAGGGAAGTATGGGTGTGCTGGGCAGAAAGGTATGAAGATGCAAAGGAGAGTAATGTGGGATGTGGGATAAGCAGAGAGTCGACTTCGCTGTTTGTGTTTGAGAGCCGGCCTTGAAGGTCCTCAGAAACGCGCGGTATCTGCATGTGCGAGTTGCAAGTGCGCAAAAAATGATCTCTCCCTCACACACGCACAAATATGCTGCTCAGATGTCCAGTCGACTGAACGCGCAGTGCTGGAGGAACTCGCTGTGCCCGTTGCGTCTCCGCCGGCACCGGTTTGTGGTGGCCAGGTTGCAACTTCAAAAGTCTTCTACACTCCACTGAGGGGCGCCAGGAAATACGAAAACCCATCCAGGATTTTGCCGATTTTTTGTGATGTACTGACAGGTGTCGAGGTTTATACACCCCACGCATCACGAGCCCAGGCTTGTGGGGTTTCAACCAGAACTTCGAGCGCCTTGGACATCAGAGAGACCTTCGTCGAAGTAAAGTGTGGTAGTCGCTGGTCACGTGGGCTGCGCCCTCAAGATGAGCAACTTTGCAGCCACACGATCGAGTGTTCGAGGTACACCTGCACTCAGCCAGGCTTGTCAGCGACGCCACTGCCACCTGCCTGCAGAATGTACTAGTTGCTACCAGTACAAGAAGCACACGGCGTTCACTGCAACATCTGGCGAGGTCATGCGCTGCAGGTTTTTCAGAATTTCTCGTGCTCGTTTTGCCGTTTGGATTCGAGTCCTTAGATGCCCGAGGAACACGACGTCTGCGGAGTTTCAGTGGACCTTGCTTCAGGATGGTGTTGCCCTGGCAAGTAATGTCGAAACTGTCGAGTGCAAGCATTGTTTCATTTTTATCCCTTCCCGCTGACACTAGCCAACCTCTGATGAAAACAGCGTAAGACTTTCTGTTCATATCATTCGCTGGATCAAACTGCGGGTCAGGATGCGCAGCTCGTAGACGTGGCGAACAACTTCTCGCGGATTCAGGCAACGTCAAGTGTGCCTTCGTATGCAGCTCTGTAGTCAATGCAAGTGCGTCATTTCAAGCGCAGGCTGAGATCGGGCAAGTGGGGCCTGGCGAGCCACTTGGCAGGCACGTGCGATCCGACTCTCCTGCAAATCACTGCTCCAGATGGCTCCTGCATATCCATTTTACTTAGGTTCGTAACCTTCCCGCAGCAGCTCATTGGCTCCTACGACCCACGCGCTCTGCTGGGCTACGAGTTGTGGCTTGGGCTGACTTTTGCCTTAGGATGCCTGAGACACTTATGGGATACTGGGCCCTTCCGCTCGAGCTCAGAGGTTTATGGATGATGGATTGGGTGGTCCCTTTCATCTGGCCTATGACGGCATCGGCAGGCCTTCGGAAGCACGTGGGTTTCGCACTGTGTGCCTTTTTTAGTCTCGTCTGTCGAGACATGCGAAAGGCGAGGGACAGCTCTTAGATTATGCCAGTCAACTACTCATGTTGATCTCAATGTCACACCGATGCTGCTGCTGCTGCTGCTGCTGCTGCTGCTGCTGCTGCTGCTGCTGCCAAAGACGCAATGCTCATCTGACGTGATGTCAGGCGCTGGAGCAATACGGCGAAGATATTTGGACTTATGCCTGAGCGCACCTACCGCGCCTTCGTGCGTGCAGTGTCTTTTGTGGGTGCAGGCGAGGCGGTGCAAGACGGCATGAGATGCATGCCGCATCCATGAAAGTGTCAGCAAGCAACAACAAGTGCACTGTTGGAAGCCTGGCAATACCCTTTGCAATCTACAGGCAATGCCAGTGACATGCTGTATTTCAAGATGGCCATGCCGCTCCCCGCGCCCGCGCTTTGACTTTGCTTCATCGCAGCCCTGTGCAGCGTCGTACGGGCAGGGGGGGCGCTTGAAATGGTTTTTTTTCGTGCACTTTGTTACTGCAACTTCTGCAAGCTTGAGGTCAACCTGTCAGCTGCCTCTGTTGGTTTAAAGTCCGTCCAGCTGACCTGGGAAATGCCCTATGCCGAGACAGCTGATGCCCTCCCGCTGCCTGGTACGAGCAGGGACTTCAAGTCACCAGTTCAAGACCTTGGGACCAGAAGGCTCAGCAGACACGTCTTTAGTTATGTCTGAGAGAAGGGGGTGGATTGTAGGAGCTTGCAACTCAGATCTGCGACCGCCCTGTCCGCAAAGTAAGGTGAGCTGTTTTGAGCCTTACAGGATTCCTTCTTTAGCGGCGCATGGCAGCGATGAAAGCTAAGGGTGTCCCAGTACATTGTTCAGATGGCCATGGAGCCAGGCTTCGACAATTGGCATCTTGGACATGCAGGAGCATGCTGGTCTTGCAAGTGCGCATTAGGATAGGGTCAGCAGCTCCTTAAGCCATGTCGGGTCACCTTGGACGTCCTGTGCCCCTGGACCTTCCCGCGACCAGGTTCGACGTTCAAAATTCGCCTGCTGACAACACACAGTACAGTGCCTTAGCGACAAGTCATGTGCCATTCAGCCACTCACTGCAGAGACTCACTGCATTTTTTTGTTTCATGGTCCAGTAGGTCAGAAACTCACATTGCAGAGTGCGCTCTAGCCGCAAGCTGACAGAGAAACTGGACTCAGCGGTGTTGGACGTTTACAGCTAGGCATTCTGGTGACCCAGCTGGAGCCGGACTTTCGCTATGCCCTGCGCGTTCTGGCAAACTCGGAGAGACATGGCAGATTTGGTAGCAGCTAGGCGCTAAGCCTGCAAGAACGGCTACGCATGGCTGCGCAATTGCCGGGAGTCGCAAACTGTTGACAAAAACTTTTGGAGCCTGACCATCCACCCAGACTGATGCAGGAAGACACTTCCGCCCACATGTCATCGCGAAAACGATGTTGCACACTGACGGAGTTCGATCTTTGAGGGCTGCAGATTTATCAACATTTCACGAATCCGCAGTGGTGGGCTTCTCAAAGCTGTAAGGTCCTGAAGGTATCTGAAGTTCCTTAGGGGATTGTCACAATAGTCATACAGGGAAGCGCATAAAAACTCTGCCCAGACACGGTGAGACAAAGCCCGGGCTCAGGAATGGCATCGGCTCTGCCTCAGAGTCGCTCTATTTTTGGGCTGGCCTGGTCCCAAATGACACCCGGCAGTTTTTCAGTTGAAAATTCTGTAAAATACTGACGCCTGATGCGCTTGATCTGCTTACCATGTTTACGGCGAAGACTTGTGCCGCACGGCTACGCTAGCCGGGGCTTCTGAGGAGGGGCCGCGCCTAGTGCAACGCGTTGAGTCCGAGGAACCTTGTCGGCACTCGTGGGGTGGGAAGGGGGACGTTTCATCGTGTTACATCATTAGGTTCTTGGGGGTCTAAAGGGGTGGTGAAGCTTGGCTCTGGCTGCCTCCCCCTGACCTCACACCCGTGTCGGCGTCGGGCTTGTGCAGTATTGGTGCACCAAAAGCACCGTGTGGTCAGCGCATATCTGTGGACTTGCTTTCTCAGCTGGAAATGTCTGAGGAAGGCACTATAAAGATTCAGTGGGAGCGCCTCGTTTGCAGTGGGGTTGGCAGGCTGTACGCCTGGTTTGCGTCAAGATGCGGTGCTTATGATGTGCTACTTGACCTCTTGCAGCCTGCGTGCCGGCGTAAGGCTACCAGGTGGTGCCATGCTGGGTACGGGCACGCGAATGGAAGCGGTAACCACGGATTGGGGCGCGCGCGGCTACATGCACCTCGCCATGTGTTCGATGCAAGTCAGAGCTGTAGTCAGCTGCATGGCATGTGGACATCACCACAACGTTGCCACGTGCATGCCGGCATGTTACAGGCGCCCGAACTTTAGAGACTCCGGCATGCTACACATATCTCATCCATTGCGGTTAGGGAGTGTTTGGTGCAGCCTCGCAAGGTGGGATCCGGCTGTGGAAGATCCGAAACTGGTGTACGATGGCTTTGGACATGCCACAACAGTGCCTTGCTACTTTGGCTTTTGCTCTTTGTGCACGTCAGGGGTGTGTTGGCTGGTTTCGTACTGTAACTAAGCTTGCATCTTGAGAGCACGTACTTGCAGGAGGTTGTTGACCGCGGGAGGTTGTTGTCTCGTTGACCCCACACGCAAATGACAGCAGCTCCCTTGGCAGGTGCAGTTCACTGTTGCAAACGCAACATGTGGCAGGCAGTATAAGGTCGCCATGAAGCCCGGCAGCATGTCAAAATATCTCTTGTATGTGTCCCTTTGGAGTCGCTGGCAACGAGCAGCATTCGAATTATCCTGCTTTCTTTGCCTCCGACTTGTTTTGCGTTTCACCCTGTGGAGCTGATCTCATTGGTCGGGTAAAGAGGCGAGAATAATAGCACTATCACTAGACAGCCTTGTGTTTGTGAGGAGCTGTGTTACAACCATCGGAGAGGGTCCACTGTCTACAGTCCTGGACGTGACCAACGCCAGGCGGGAGTCTTGTGCTGCAAAGGGCTTCACATGCATCACAAGTTCTATACAGTGCCACAGCTTGCTTCCATGGCTGAGCGCCGCTGCAGCAGCAGCCGCGGTGGTGGCGCGGAATAGTGCAGCCACAGTGAACCCAATGGTGCAAGTACAGCCTCGCTGGGCTTCCCCAAACTTGGATGCAGGCCAATTTTGGCCTTGACTTAAAAGGGGACCCGGAAGCTGGAAGCTGAATACCATGCAGAAACTTCGAAATGCCCGCACTCGGCCACAGCACACGAGAACCCCAGGCGAAGCAAAGCAGCCAGCACCGGAGCTTTCACAGTTGGGTGTTTGCGAGCAGAGCTCCAACGAATCCTATCGAATCCTGCAAGCCAACGTAAAGGTAGGCTGCCCACAACGACAGCCCCAGCAGCAGAAGCACTGATAGTCACCGCAACTTGTGTCATCATGGCAATGTGCGAAGACTCTGTCAAACTGACCGTGCTACTTGGACACCGGCTTCTGCTTGACATATCCTGCCGAGGCTGCCTGGCGTACCTCGAAATGTGGTTGTCACCAATACGACAACGTCCTCAGTTTCTATTGCGTGGGAAGAGCCAGATGACACAGGATGAACCTGCCGCGTGCACTTCATTCACTAGCCACGAGTACTCACAGAGCCATGTGTACCTGGGACAACTTTTGCTTTGGCTAAGTCTATGCCGGTTTCAACATAGCTTTGGCCCAAGAGCACCAGAGCCGTTGCCCGGAGGATGTGTACCGATTCATCAGTACAGCAGCTTGGAATTCTTCATCACTGGAGACGAGCGTGTTGGAGGGCCTTGAAGTTGTGGGGTGCTGCAGTGGTACAGTGGTACGCTTATTTACAGATTCAGACTTCAGAGAAATACCTGCAAGGAAAGGTTAAGCTCCGGTCTCTTTACTTTGCAAGCATGATTTCCCATCCAGTCCAGGGGCCTGCCATGCCCCCTGATGCCATGATATACACAAGGAATCCTGCGTTACTATCCAGAAGCTGGTTTTCAAGTCGTGGGATATGCCAGCCCTGCTGATGGCGTCCTACAACTGCCCGCTGATACTTGGCCCGAACATGCAACTGTTTCCTGAACGAGGGCCAGAATCTCAAGCAGTCTGTTCATTCCTGCGATTGAATACGTTGATGATCGTTGATCATGAATGTTCTCTCAGAATCGAACGTACGTGGATGACGGACGCTGCTTCTTTGCCAATCCAGCGGATGACGACGGGTCCTGCACCTTGGCAAACGTGTTGAGGGAGCTGCTCAGACCTGAAGCTGCCCGGATCATCCCGAATCCGAGGTACTTGTCCTCCATCATGTTTGCAAGCAGGTGCCTTTGGTTGTTGAGGCGTGGCATGCTGGCTTTGTCCATGTGCTGTCCCTGCAGGTCAGCTTTACCGTTATCAGGTTCAAGCATGTGCCACTTGGCGACATCTTGGAAAGCTTGACTGCTTGTGCTCCGTGCCATGTCATATTCCAGAAGAGCTCGGATATCACTCGCGGTAAGAAGGCAGGTGCGGCTTCTTAAACTTCACGAGTGAGGGACGGTGAGGGCCATATTGGCTTAGTCTTTGTATGTCTTTGTGTGGCGAAAGATCCGAACAGCCGCCCATGCAGTGCAGCCATGCACCAGAAGAACCCGACGAAGTTTCAGTCGGCAAACCCGAAGGCATCCGACATCCTGTCGGATAATTTTGCTCTCCATTTGCCCGCACAACTTTTGCCGCCCTAAATCTGCAGCCAGCGTGCTCTTCGACTCGTTGCAGACGTGCCACACTGTTGGGATCGAAGATCGCAGCAGCTAAAAAGGATCAATTTAATTTTAGCCGTGTCGTTTCTTTCAAGTTTGCTCCGAACCGTCTGCAAAGCTCAGCGGCATCTAGACTAATTACGCTACCCTTAGCAAGGTCTTAGGGGCCTACGGCGTGGACACCTTGGAGCTTGCTGAGGCTGGAACCTGTATTGGTGGTAGGACCATTTGGAGTACTGTTTTGGCCTTTCTGTTCTCCCCTTACTACCCAATTTCTAAACCTTTGTACTTAGCAGGGTGAGTGCTCGTGTGTGAAAGCCATGGGAGCTAAGGGCCCGCTCGGCTGTGGGCCCAACTCCAACACTGTCTCAGCATATGCCGGGGACCTCTCCGAAGCACCTCGCGAAGCTCGGCCTCATTCAATGTTGGTTGTGCTTATTCTGGGCCATGGCTACGGAATGACACAATCACGGGGAACTGCTTGGTGTGTGGCCACTTGAGGACATTCGTTTGGGCGAGCCTGAGGGCAGCGAGGTTTTGTTGCGACTGGGCCGCGCCGAGAACCTCTGGATTTGTGAGTGAACTTCAGAGTAACTGTGCGGGTGGAATGGTCCCTAGGGCAGAGTTGAAAGCCTGCTCGCCGCTGAAGACATGTTGAGTGAGACGAGCTAAGCCGCAGCTGGTCTCAGCCTGGACCCGACCCTGCTCGAGGTACTGGACGGCCCCGAGTACCGATGGCCTGAATGGCTCCAGCTTTTCCTACGAGATCGCGGCTTGCCTTGTGCAGTAGGTGCACGAAATGAAAGGCTCTCAAGCAGGAGAAGCAGAAGTAGAGGTAGCACTGAGGATAAGCCTTGCATGCTCAGGAAATGGATGTTGGTGGCGTCTTTACGACTCTGGGCCTGACGCAGCTGCACTGCAAGAGCTCTCTTTTACTTTCTGCTGTGGGGATCGATGGGGTGCGGAATATTAAGGAGTGATAGATCTGGTGACTGCAAGTGTTGAGCAAATGAGAAATGTGTGTGAGGACAGGAACTAGCTTTCGCATCACCGGCCTGCAGCTGCAATTTGCGTACATCTTCAGGACGGGTCGCAGATGGTCGCAGCAACTTTTTGTCGCGGTATCTGTGCACGCCTTCATATCCCTACATGCAATCTGCCCGGACCTGGATATGCGCACACCTCCTCTTGCCTGCAGGATCAGCACCTACAACGGGGCTGGATATGTCACGCGCTCCAATGTCCTCGCAGCGTGTGTTGTATCGATGCGTGGACACGCGACATGAAGGGAAAGCTTTGATGTTGATGTGCTGCTGCACATGCAGACTCATGGCCAAGTCTGGACATGACCCCAGCATTGTACTTTACTTCAGCATTGCATAATGCTAACATGCTCAGAGCGCGAACGGACCGGCATCCATTCGCTGGCCTCGAGCCTGTCATCGTCGCCAGGTCATTGGGTACACTGCGACACTTCCGCCTGCAGTTCCGGAGTCAGCAAGCCCTGTTGCAAGGCCTGCAACAGGGATCCATCTAGCAGTGCTAGGTGGCAAGCTAAACTTCAGAATAGGGTTGGTTGTGCGAGGTTTCTTGGTTGGATGTGTCCCTTCAGCGACAGCGGCAGTTGCTGCGACTTGCCACTCCCGGCAGGCCTTGCAGTCGTCATGTCGAAGCTGATACGTGCCAGCAGTGTAGGTTTGGTAGCAGGGTTTGCCAGGAAGGAAAGGCACACTCGCTAAACCTAAGCTTAGCCAAATCCCCAACCCAACCCAAAAGCTTACATCCCGACCCAGCCGCCGCGAGGTCCACCTGGGTTCTTCGGATGCACATGGCCTGGTCTTGGCGCTATTCGCATTTGGCGGTGGGTACTCGCATTTACGTGAACACTACTTGCCGTGTGCACAAAGACACAGTGAGAAGTACCGTGACAACTGGAGCCTTTGAAAGACGTCTTTCGGTGTGCATTGGACAGAGTGAGTATGAATGAATCCTTTTTAACGCTTGCCAAGGCCAGCAGTGCATTCTTTCAGCACCCGTCGATGGCCTCGACTCCAGTGCCTGAAGGTGTGTCGATCCGCTTCAGTGCTACAGCGGTGAACGGATACGCACCTTAGCAGCACATGGCAGCACCTAAGTGCTTGGTTCTCTGTGTGTGGCCGCCAAAACGCATGTGCAGCTGTCCGCCTCCAGCATGCTGCGCAGTCTAGAAGCGATGACAACGGCTTCTGAGGCTTGGGCAATGGTTGTGGAGACCGGCAACCTCAACCTCGTAACTCCAGTAACCATGAAGGACACTTCCCCTTGTTTGTGTGAATGGTTTCCAGCTATTGTCGCAAGTCGGCTGCTTTCGCTGATGCCGTTGCCTTTCGCACCTATCCAGGATACTATTTGTCCAGTGTCCGTCCGCTTGTGAGTCCCGAGTTGTTGGGGCATAGTCTTGCTGATTCGTAACCTCTCGCACCGACACGCCCTGCTCTGGACCTTCCGTGTGTCATCCTCCAGACATGCTTGTGATATCACGAGCATAACTAACACGGTGACAGGACTATGCTTTCTCTTAGGCTTTCTCTGGTGGACGCTCTTGATGCGCACCAGGACGGCACCTATGCCGTTGGTGGCGCAGCCTGCTATCGGGTTCAGCAGGCCACACCCGCCGCGTTGCAATGCTTTGTAACGTTTGGTAGGATGCCGATATTTCACAACTGCATGCGAGGGCCGTGGCCTTATCTGTATGCTTTTCTAAGCCACCTTACGAAACAGGGCCCCAAACAATTGTTCATCACAGCAGATCGGAAGGCCTGGAGCCATTCAGCCCCAAGGCCTGAAGCTTCGAGGCCTCAGGCCTCCCCAAATCTGACAATTTTTATGCGTTGTGTTTTGATAATGTTGTTTGGGGGCACTGATACTAACCGAGCGCCGTGACATTACAATGACTATGGCTATCTGTCGTGCATGGCTATGCCATAACCAGTTCCAACTTCTAGGATTTACCAGGCCGGAACGCAGCCACATTCCCGAGATGGCGCCACAAAAGTTTTAGGAATCTGAAGCTTCCTCCACTCCAGGCTTCAGGCTTTTAGGGCTGAAGGCGTCAGGCTTTCAGGGCTGAAGGGCATCTGGCCTTCAAACCTCAGGCCAGAAAGCCGAAAGTTTCAAAACTTTCTCGTCTTCTGCGTTTTCAAGCTTTTCTGGAATTTCGGATCATTCCGGATCCACCTGAACAATGCTGAAGAGCACGAGTGCAACTCGTGGACTGCCCCCATGGAAAATTGTTTGGGACCTCGTTTCGTCCAAAATGTGGGGCTGCAGGGAGAGGAGGCCTTGAAACTTCAGGCCTTCAGTGAAATACTATGTCGGAAAACAAAGTGAACACACCTCGTCAGTCTTCGTAGTTGAAGTGCCCAGGCGGTTGCGCGGGCGGAAGTCTACTTCTGGCGGCTGGGAAGCCATCAAGCTGCAGACTGTAGTTGTTGAGTGGAGAGATTGAATGGAATGCGCCCACTCTCGCTCGAGTAGCACTCGATGACTGAAAGGTGACGACAACCCATCGGACCCAACAGGATGCTTCTTGTCACATGGTGGAACCTACGGCATCGTGGCTTGTTTGAAGTGTTAAGTTGCCATCCGCAGCATCCCAGCCGGAGTGCCATCCAGCAGGTCCAGATAACAGAACGCCTGTGAACTGACTATGCTGCTTGTGGCTGAGAGGTGGTCTACGTGCAAAGCGTGACCAGCTTTGATGCAGGGCTCAATGATGGGACTTTGTCGGGCGCCATCGAATTTACGGCATCTTGGGCGCACACGATGTTGTTACAATGTCTACATCGTTTCTCTGCCTTGCTGGAAAGATCTTCATGAGCTTCGCACACATTCCGCACCCGTTTGTTTGCCTCCGTGTAAGAGTTGCATCCTCGACCTCGCCGTCGTCTCTGTGATTCTGAGGTGATTACCGGGCGCTCGAACACCTACTATAGCTCCCCAGCCCTCAACAGATGTCTGGCTGCATTTGGTGCGTGCAAGCCATGCAGGATCCCTCAACACAAACGAAGAGAGGCACCATGTGCAGAGCTGATTGTCATCTTCATGATTTCCATTGTTGTCTTCAGTATTTTGAACTACTATTCCCGATACTACTACTACTACTACTACTACTACTACTACTACTACTACTACTACTACTTCTACTACTACTACTTCTACCCCTACTGCTACTTCTGCTGCTACTACTACTACTACTACTACTCCTCCTTCTCCTACTCCTACTCCTACTCATACTCTTACTCCTACTCCTACTCCTGCTGCTGCTGCTACTGCTACTGCTACTGCTACTGCTCCTGCTGCTACTACTGCTACTACTGCTGCTACTGCTACTACTGCTGCTACTACTGCTGCTATTACTGCTGCTATTGCTGCTGCTACTGCTACTGCTACTGCTACTGCTACTGCTACTGCTACTACTACTACTACTACTACTACTACTACGACTACGACGACTCTACTATTACTACTTCTACTGCTGCTGCTACTACTACTACTACTACTACTACTACTACTATTACTACTACTACTACTACTACTACTGCTACTACTACTAGTACTACTACTACTACTACTACTACTACTACTACTACTACCACCACTACCGCCACCACTACCACCACTACCACCATTACTGCCGCGACAAAAGCGGGTGGGCGAGAACAAAAGCTCGCTGGCAATGGGTGCCATGCTTGACAGTTTTTAGTCAAGTCAGTGCTGCCAATGGCTCGGGACAGCCCAGGCCCACTCACTGAGAGTGGGGTCACTCTGGCCTTCACGCCGCGCCGGCCTGGATATGGTTGGGCGATGATCCTGCGCCTGGGCAGCAAATGGCGGTGCATGCGAAGAACACTTTGCATGCAAAGTCTGCTTGCTGCGCTCTGCATAGCAGCGCTTCTCCCAAGGACTGAAGAACAGGCCCGATCTGCAACGAAGGCTCGCTCACAGACTCATGTGTTGAGGCTTCGTACATCCGCCGCGGCCGAAACCCCGCTCGGAGTAATGCAGGTGTAAACGTTTGACCAATGGCAAGTCATTGAAGAATTGGAATCACGCCGCCACATATCCGAATCCGCACTGCTGTGAATCCAAAAGCCCTGGACCAAAATGCTGAAGGCCAATGAGCCCTCCGAAATCAGAGCTGCAAAATCCTAGCTGACCAGCAACTCCCCTGAACCCGAAGCCCAGCGTTACAAAATCAACATCGAAGCTTCAACTCGCAACCTGAAAGCAGCTCCCACAGTCCAAGCTTTCCAAGGGCTCCTTTCCAGACCACCGACTCTCCCTGCCCAACGTTGCCCAACGTTGCCCAACCACAGCAACACTTCTGGAGACTTTCACCTATGAATTCAGGTTCATGCCCAAGGCTCCTTGAGTTGCAAAGGCGGACCGTGTAGAGCCCTAGACCTGTTCAGCCAACAAAAGGGAAGTTGCCATCCAAACCCGAAGCTTTGCCTGGCGAGAGAATTCACGATGAACTACGATGACTTACGGTTTCAGCTCAAGTGGGGTTTGGTTGACCACATGTCGACTGAGAGGAGCATGTCTACAGATTGGAAGGCGCTCTGGGAGGGCCGTGTCTCGGCTACAGTGGAGAATACTTGGATGGTTTCGTTGGACTAGAGCCAGGCAGGGGTGCCAATAAGTGCTTCAACACCTTGCGGGTGCTGCTTTGGCATGTCATGTGAGGTGCGCGATTGCTAGCTAAACTGATGAGTGGCGCATATGAGTCACGCCATCTAGTTAATCACATTAAGCTAAGGTTCTGCAAGCATGGCCCTCGACAACTTTTTGCATACCGAGAAGAAGCGTGGGTGTTCTCAGGCTGGCCGGGGTGGGCATGAAGCCGTAGCGCGCGTACCTCAATAGCCCCGCCACCTGCCACCATGCACACGATGGCACATGGTAGGCTTACACTATGCATTGCTTTTCCTGCTGCTTAACCTTGAGAGGCTGCCTTTTGACAGTCGGAAGTCGATACACAGTGCTGGCCTACATTTCTGGCATTGGAGCACATCTGGACGGAACTGTTGATGGCGTGTCTTGCTTGCATCAGCGGGCCTGGCATGCATGGCTTCAACGCTGCAGCATACTTTGCTTTACCTTGCTTTGCTTAGCTTGCCTGGTTGAGGTCGCCTCGATTGCAACCAGTGCCAGCAACGCGTTCTCCACATACCCGACGATCTCGGGCCCACCCAGCGGGGCTGCTTGGCATGAGGATGATGAGGTACCCATCTGGCGGAACAGGCCGCAAGTGGACCGCATGTATGTTGCCTGAAGCTCACGGCCTTCGTGACTTCGGCCTCAGAGCGATATGTTGCAGATTGTTCTGGCCCACTGAGTCCTGAGGATGGCATCACAGTTCAGCTGCGAACAAGGTGCGCTGCTTTTTGATTCGAGACGGGCAGATATCCTCACGTATTGTATCTGTACGAATTATCACCTTCCCCCTACCTAGCCTTGACGTAGGCGTTCCCTTTCCTCTTAAGCACTTGCATGCAGGTCAAGCGGCTACCTTTGGCTGATGATTACCGTGGGACCCGTGGCACTGACCATCGACCTGATCAAGGTTACGCAATGGAAAGCATGAGTCAAATAGCTTACTGCGATCGAACGCCTTGCGAGGCTGGTGCCGGAGCCGTGGGGGCCAGCACCTGCCGTGTTCTTGGAGCCGCCCGGCTGTGAAAAACCGGGCTTTGGCTCCTTCGCCTTGGAGCTGACGCGGAAGGTCGTGGTGTTGCTAGGTGTTTGCTCCCTTCCTGAGGCATCCGTAGACGACACGCTGCAACTCGGCTAAGCTTGGGAAGGCAGATACAAAGCCGTTGTTGTGCGTTTGTCTCATAAAACAGTCGAGGCAATCTTTCGACCTCACGGATTGCAAGCTGAACTCCGGCCCCGAGTACGCCTTGCATTCCTACATCGAAGGCCCAAACTCTGCGGGGCTGCGCCTTGGAAGCTGAGTTTTCTTCGGCAGAAAGTGAATGCCCTCTCTGCGAAGCTGTTCGTGAACTGCCGGCACACAGTACTCTGCAAATCGGATGGTCTTTGCATATCTGCATCATGTTGCTTCAAGATTTTTCAAACCCTTGTCGTAAAATTACACTAGCACGTACCGAACCTTGCTCCAAAAGTGCGAATTTGCCGGTGGCGATCGGCCCACGAAGGTTATGCGAAAGGCTCATGAAATGCACAGTGAAATCCATCGCGAGAATCTCATGCTTTCATGTTACACGAGCATATAGATACCATTACGACGAACCTTTCTTCTTACTTTGGCCCAAGATTGCAAGCTCCCGAAAACAAAGATGAACAGCCATAGCTAGAAAAGGCGTGGCGAAGCGTGCCGTGTGTTTGCGACCGTTGGCCCACTCTGAAAGGATCCTTGGTAGCCGCGAACAAGCGATCATCTTCAAAGCCCGACGAGCTTCACAGGCCCAACCTCACATACACAGAGAAACTTCCGTATCAGAAGCATATCAAGCACTCAGGGAGAAATGCTGTTTGATTCGATGCTGTGCGAAAAAGGGTCTAGTTGAGAGTTGGGTGTGCGGGCAATTTCATGTCGGACAGCCCTCAGTGATCTTATCTCCGAGGAATGATGGCAGCTTTGCAGGAACTGTGACGCTACTTGCAAGCATTCAAGCCGGTCCCAGTCGTGCCATGACATCCGCAACTTTCGGAAACATGCCGGAATTTGACAGCTTGCGCTGTGCGTGGGGACTGGAATGGAAGCAAGAAATAGCTGAGATGCTGAGGTTCCAGGTAACCCCCTCCAACATCTTCGTGGTTTACCCATCCATCATCACGGAGACCACGGGGCTTGGTTTCACTTTCCAGAGACTTGGCTGACTGGGCTTCTTTGCTGGATGCACAATTCATGAGACGACCAGATGCCAAGGATGACTGCATCCTTCGTTGGGCGCTTCTGGTGCCTTCTGCGTGAGGGCAATGCGGCGATCACGGTTGAGGCAGGTGTGGAGGTGAAGTCCATCAAAGTCCCACGACCGGAGTCGTTAGGCACCTTTTGGTGATTCTCCATGCTTGATTGCCGTGACCCATCATCAGGCTGTGGACAAGTGTAGTGAGTGTACACGATCCTTCTCTCTTTTGTTACCCCAGCCCTAAACCCTAAGCCTTAAATCCTAAACCCAGAACCCTAAACCCTCTCTTGTTACCCACCTTCAAAAGCCGGTCCTCAGTGAGGAGATCAAGTCCGGCACCGGGGCGTTGGGCCTGCAGCAGTGCCAGCGCAGCTCCGAGACCCTGACTGCGACGCTTCAGGCGCCTTCGTTGAATAAGAGCCCCCCCCCCCCCAAAAAAAAAGATGTCCTCAAAGGGAAGATATTCTGTTTACTGTACTAGCAAAAAAAGTGAGTAGAGTGAAGATTATGTTACTATAGTATCAACGGGAATATGTTGCACATTATGGTAGTATGGTTTTTACAGTAGTGTAAATATAATACTTGTTATATTGATTTAACTATGCTATCTTGGTTCCGTTTTCTTGGACGAAGTGTAAAATGTCGTTAGAAACATGGGGCTTTGTCTTGTGCGGAGGAGCTGGTCCTCACCAATTGCCAGCTCAGCCAAGACAGACTCTACAGCCTCTACGTGTACATTGAGGCCGGCACGCAGCGAGCCTTGGAGCAGCTGCAATCAGCTGTGCCTCCAGCTTCTTGTAGCACCTGCGTAGTATCCGAGGGCTGCTACTATTAAGCTGGGACAGGACTTCAACGGCAACAATGATGGCATCATGGCTGGGCCCATTACTTTCTATGCCAGTGCCTTATTATGTCGGGCCCAATATGCAGCACGCTCAGACAGCCCGCGTGGACGTCGCACTTTGTGTGGCGAACTCTGCAGGTGCTGGATACCAACAGCTTTGAAGACTCGCCTCGGCCCGTCGAAAACTCTGCCACTCTAGACGGGGCGCTGCCGGCACAACTTAAAGAAATCTCCGGGATTCCTGGGTGTACAGGGGTTCTTCCTTTTGCACGTTCCGGAGAACATAACCTCACAGTGCCAGGTGCGACTGAGCTTTATGGCCAGCAGAGAGGGCTTTGCGTGGGCTGCCCTTTTCGACGACTACACAGAGGCTTTCGGCTTGCCCAAAATAAGCACGAAGGGTGCCTTGAACAATTGTTGCACTCTTTTTGCTGTCGGAGGATGCAGGAGTGTACCTACCAAATTTGGGTGGACTGCCGCGCCGGGCCGGAAGAACCGAATTGAATCAAAAAACTTACTTTCGAGCCTTGACTCCAAATCCATCCAGATCCCTGCCTTTCTCGGAGCTGCCCAGGGGAACAAGCTTGTCGCTTGCGAAACTCCTAATGTCAAGCAGCCTCGCCAACTTGAAACGCTTATGCACATGGATGGCTTACAAGTGAGCGGTGGACATTCGACAGCCGACAATAAACCTTATAGCCGTCGTTTGTTGTTCAGAGAGGGCTTGCAGTCCAATCAATCCATTGCAGGCAGCGGAGTATTTCGTAAATGCTCCAGCATTCCTTGATCGGCCTGCGGCCCAGATCGCGGTAAGTTTCCACTTCCTCAATTCTTCGTACTGAGCAATCCAAAGCGGCACTCGGCATGGTGGTGTGGGGGTTGTCGAGCATGCGATGTAGGTGTGTCTGTCTCTGGCAAAGGTACTACCCAGAAAACAACGAATCTTGTGCCCCGGCCGGGGTGCCCGTGCTTGCTTCGGGCAACTTCACCAACATGACCCTCGCGGGTTGCGGCTTGAACTACAGCGCAACGTACTGGGCACTGGTCTACATTGAAGGCACGGCACATTTCCGCCTCTACGACAGCCTGCCCTTGTGGCCAGTGCTCACGAAAGCTTGTAGATAGCGTGTGCGGTGTCAGGTTTGGAGAAGACCAAATCTGGTGCAATCTCAGCACCTGTCGAAGTGTTTGTGCCTCGTGCCTGGCCTCAGCGACTTTGTGGGAAAGCGAAGGGGTAGCCGTGTAGCCCCAAGACAAGCTTTCACTGACAGCACGTTACGGCACACGCTGTGAATCAAAGCATCTAACATCGGCTGCAAACTGTGAGCTCAGGTTCCAACGACTTTCCCTATACACCACTGGTGTTGCAGGCAATGCAGAGGGAAGGGGAGAGCGGCACATAGCGGCACTCTGCATGGCATGGCATGGCATGGCATGGCATGGCATGGCATGGCATGGCATGGCATGGCATGGCATGGCATGGCATGGCATGGGGCTGAAATCAATGTGGCATAGCGGGCATATGGACCAAAGGCCCGACCCTACTTCGTCGACGTCGAGGTTGCCACGGCATTCCTGCCGAATTCATCTTGTAATGCGGGCATACGACTCCTCACATGACCAATCAATGACTTAAAGACTTGGTTAGACTTGCAGAGGTACGAGACTGTTTTTCAGTTTTCTCTTCTCTCCCTGCCTGTGACTCCACATCTGACAATGAGGATGAAACAGCTGCTAAGGTACGACCAGGCTTTCTCTGGATTCTCATCGTGCACGAGAACCACACAGATAAAGTCGACATGAAAGCAGTTAAGTCTGGAGTGGTGCCTTCGACTGCAATCCAGAGTCGTTTCATTGTGTGCGCAAGACCGACGTACCAGCCACCCTGCACGAACTTGCGAATTACAAAGTACTAGGAGAGAGAGAGGATGCGTCCGAAACCCAAGGTGCCATCCGGTGAGGTCGTGTGTAGCCTACCTGAGATCGTGGTGAACCAGAGCGTGGAGCCGCTAGTCGCAAAGCTGCCTTTCACGTGCAGCTGGCTTGGAGTTTCTTATCCTCAGGCGTCGAGATATACGGTGGTTAGGTAGTCAACTACCTGTGCCAAGCTTGGCAAACTATTCCAAAGAGTGGGATTCGCACGTCCGAATGCTGTTAAACGGCGTACTTGAGAAACGGGGATGTTCTAATCTGTTTGTCCCAAAGGGTTTTTCATACTCTAAGGCTTTGAGTCCAGTGTTCTCAGAGCCATGCCTCGGAACCTATGCGATCCGATATCGAAACCGCACTCGACAATGTGATGTTGAGACCGTGCGCCTGTTTTTGGGGAATTTCTCCTGAATGTGTGGCGTCCATCGGAGATTTGAGGAACCCATACACAAAACTTGATGTGTGGCACGTGCTCTTTGCTGCTGTTGCGATTTTTCGATGTGGCTTCTTTGTGCCTCCAGAGTAGCACTCGCGAAGCGAAGCGGTGCTATTCACTTTGATTCGTTCAGCTTCCTACGATTGGATTCTGCTTGTGTTCCTACATACTGCTGCCCATGAAGTGCACCAGTGTACCAGCCAAGGTTGCACAGAGCAGCTTGGCTTAGTTAGGCAAAGAGGTCAAAACATGAATACGCTGCGCAAAAAGGTGCTTTTCTTGTCTTTGCTCAGGTTGAGCAGTGTCAGCTGCTGGCAACCTTCTCATACTTTGCCTTCTTCTACGTAGAAGGCTCGGAAGCTGTGTCATGGCTGTTTCATGCGCCGGAGGAGCTGTGGACACATGGGCAAGGTCCGTTGCAGACACGGGGCCACCAAAGCCGACCCTTTGCGAATTGGCAGAGCTTTGGCTCAGCTTGTCCAGTGTGCCCGTAGGGCCCGAGCAGAACCTGTGCAGGCATGGCGGAGGACTCCAACTTAGGCATCCGTTTGAACAGGATATGCTGCATCGGTGCGGGGTATGTGGGCGGCCCAACCATGGCGACAATTGCCTTGAAGTGTCCGGATCTTCAGGTGAGTATCGTGGATATGAATGAGGAGCGAATTGCTGCATGGAACTCCGACAGCCTTCCCATCTACGAGCCTGGGCTTGACGAGGTGGTCAAGGCATGCCGGAATAAGAACCTTTTCTTTTCCACGGATGTGAAGAAGGGCATTGAGGATGCCGACATCATCTTTGCTTCCGTCAATACGCCTACAAAGACCCAAGGTGTTGGCAAAGGTAGGGCCGCCGACCTGAGATTTATCGAGAGCGTCGGACGCACCATCGCCCAGTATGCCAACAGGAGTAAGATAGTCATCGAGAAGTCGACGGTCCCCATCAAAACAGCGGAGGCCATAGCAAGGGTCTTAACGGCCAATGAAGAGGCGAACGGTGGCCGAAAAAACTTCTGGATCCTTTCAAATCCGGAGTTCCTCGCAGAAGGCACAGCGATGAAGGACCTGGACCAGCCAGATCGGGTACTGATAGGTGGGCAGGAAGAGGCAGCGATCAAAGTGCTCGTCGACATCTATGCCCATTGGGTCCCTAGAAACAGGATTTTGACCACGAACCTCTGGAGCTCTGAGCTTTCCAAGCTTCTTGACCTGGATGGCTTTTGCTTTGTTTTTATCATGTTTGTTTTCATGCATCTCCAATCTGTCAAATAGCCAACTTGTAGGTGGGTTTGCTTCGCTTGGTCGGAGAGTTGAGGGCAGGTTTGCAGTCGAAGACCTTTGCGTACCTAGTCGTTTTGGGACGTCTTCCTTTCTTGGCTGCATCTGCATGATGTAGGACGCTGTAGGACTCGCATGACGACGAAATGCAACAAGCAGCAACGACCTTGTTTGACTGAGGTTGGTGGCCAACGCCATGCTCGCACAACGGGTCAGCAGCATCAACTCGATCTCCAGACTCTGCGAGCGCACAGGCGCTGACGTCAAAGAAGTGTCCAGAGCCATTGGAACCGATTCACGTATTGGTCCCAAGTTCCTGAATGCTTCTGTGGGCTTTGGTGGCTCATGCTTCCAGAAGGACATCCTGAATCTGGTGTACATTTGCCAGCAGTTTGGTCTAGAGGAAGTTGCTGCCTACTGGCAGCAGGTGGTGGACATGAACGACCACCAAAAGATAGCTTTCACGAGCAAGATCATTTCAGCATTGTTCAACACCGTGACGAAGAAGAAAATCGCCGTGTTTGGCTTCGCTTTCAAGAAGGACACCGGCGACGTGCGAGAAACTCCAGCGCTCACCGTGTGCGACATGCTGATGAAAGACGGGGCCTTGGTGCATATCTACGATCCCAAAGTCGAAATCGCAGACGCCCTGCAAGAATTCAAGTATCACGACATAGAGGTGAACCAGAGCCAGTTCATCTTCACCAAAAGCCCCGAGGAAGCTTGCGATGGCGCGCATGCCATCATTGTTCTCACCGAGTGGGACGAGTTCAAAGAATATGACTATGAGGCTTTCTACCAAAAGATGATGAAGCCGGCGTTCCTTTTTGATGGACGCAACATGCTGGACCACGCTGCCCTTGAAGAGATAGGCTTCGAAGTCCATGCGTTGGGCAAGGCGCGGGCGGCCAAGCATGCCAGAGGCGAGCAGGACTTTGTGCTGCGTGCCGGCAGCGCTTACCTTGATGTGTAGCCGGAAGATGCCAGGAGCGCATCCGGGCGCTCCAGAAATGCATGTGCCCTAAAAGCAAGCATGAAGACTTGCCGACCTTCCGCCTTGCAGGCTTGCATCTTTAGTCCAGCCACGCTGAGTCCCACAGCGACAGTGTGCGAACACTATCTACAAGAGGAAAAGACAGTGAGCCTGCATTGGCATACTCATCTGCCTTCGAGTAGGGTTGATCAACACAACCGAAGAGTCTTTCAAAAACTCTGCGACGCCCCCGCACAAACATAGCTCACACTCACAGGTCACTAAACTCTTACAAACTGAACGACAGGCAAGCGTGCCAGAACTGGTGGAGCTTTGGCTCAGCTTGTCCAGTGTGCCCGTAGGGCCCGAGCAGAACCTGTGCAGGCATGGCGGAGGACTCCAACTTAGGCATCCGTTTGAACAGGATATGCTGCATCGGTGCGGGGTATGTGGGCGGCCCAACCATGGCGACAATTGCCTTGAAGTGTCCGGATCTTCAGGTGAGTATCGTGGATATGAATGAGGAGCGAATTGCTGCATGGAACTCCGACAGCCTTCCCATCTACGAGCCTGGGCTTGACGAGGTGGTCAAGGCATGCCGGAATAAGAACCTTTTCTTTTCCACGGATGTGAAGAAGGGCATTGAGGATGCCGACATCATCTTTGCTTCCGTCAATACGCCTACAAAGACCCAAGGTGTTGGCAAAGGTAGGGCCGCCGACCTGAGATTTATCGAGAGCGTCGGACGCACCATCGCCCAGTATGCCAACAGGAGTAAGATAGTCATCGAGAAGTCGACGGTCCCCATCAAAACAGCGGAGGCCATAGCAAGGGTCTTAACGGCCAATGAAGAGGCGAACGGTGGCCGAAAAAACTTCTGGATCCTTTCAAATCCGGAGTTCCTCGCAGAAGGCACAGCGATGAAGGACCTGGACCAGCCAGATCGGGTACTGATAGGTGGGCAGGAAGAGGCAGCGATCAAAGTGCTCGTCGACATCTATGCCCATTGGGTCCCTAGAAACAGGATTTTGACCACGAACCTCTGGAGCTCTGAGCTTTCCAAGCTTCTTGACCCGGATGGCCGTCGCTTTGTTTTTTTTATCATGTTTGTTTTCATGCATCTCCAATCTGTCAAATAGCCAACTTGTAGGTGGGTTTGCTTCGCTTGGTCGGAGAGTTGAGGGCAGGTTTGCAGTCGAAGACCTTTGCGTACCTAGTCGTTTTGGGACGTCTTCCTTTCTTGGCTGCATCTGCATGATGTAGGACGCTGTAGGACTCGCATGACGACGAAATGCAACAAGCAGCAACGACCTTGTTTGACTGAGGTTGGTGGCCAACGCCATGCTCGCACAACGGGTCAGCAGCATCAACTCGATCTCCAGACTCTGCGAGCGCACAGGCGCTGACGTCAAAGAAGTGTCCAGAGCCATTGGAACCGATTCACGTATTGGTCCCAAGTTCCTGAATGCTTCTGTGGGCTTTGGTGGCTCATGCTTCCAGAAGGACATCCTGAATCTGGTGTACATTTGCCAGCAGTTTGGTCTAGAGGAAGTTGCTGCCTACTGGCAGCAGGTGGTGGACATGAACGACCACCAAAAGATAGCTTTCACGAGCAAGATCATTTCAGCATTGTTCAACACCGTGACGAAGAAGAAAATCGCCGTGTTTGGCTTCGCTTTCAAGAAGGACACCGGCGACGTGCGAGAAACTCCAGCGCTCACCGTGTGCGACATGCTGATGAAAGACGGGGCCTTGGTGCATATCTACGATCCCAAAGTCGAAATCGCAGACGCCCTGCAAGAATTCAAGTATCACGACATAGAGGTGAACCAGAGCCAGTTCATCTTCACCAAAAGCCCCGAGGAAGCTTGCGATGGCGCGCATGCCATCATTGTTCTCACCGAGTGGGACGAGTTCAAAGAATATGACTATGAGGCTTTCTACCAAAAGATGATGAAGCCGGCGTTCCTTTTTGATGGACGCAACATGCTGGACCACGCTGCCCTTGAAGAGATAGGCTTCGAAGTCCATGCGTTGGGCAAGGCGCGGGCGGCCAAGCATGCCAGAGGCGAGCAGGACTTTGTGCTGCGTGCCGGCAGCGCTTACCTTGACGGCAAACTGGGAGCTTATCCCACTTCCATGTAATTGAATGCTGTTTCCTAGGCCAGCAGGGAGGAAGAGTTTCTGAGCCTCCTTGCTTCATCTTTTGAAAGCCTTCTCTTGCGCTACATTGCTGCTACATTGGCCCAGCGGTGTATGCCGCTGTAGACAAGTCGAACAGCAATCGGTGACATGGTCTTGGCTCAGGCCTCAAGCCAAAAGTGTGCTTCTGTCTGTCCGCAGTCCCGCAGGAAGCCATGCTGTCTTTACTGCTAGTGTAGCAGTAACAGGGGCGCGTCCCAAACTGCAGTCCTCCAGCTTGCGAGGGCCTGTGCTGGCAGAGGACACAGATGGGAGCTTGGGAGGCAGGATGGAATTATGTGTTCATGAGTGCTGTTCGCTTGCTGCATGCAGTCCTCGCCACCTATTGAAGTGCCAGTGTCAGGATGAGGTGTACTCTTGCTGCTTGTTCTTGCCTATGGTAGCCTATGGTACTCAGCTGAAAATGCAGGGTCAGGCACTCCAAAGCTTGGAAAGCGTTGAGCACATGCACGTGGTAGTACTACGAGTAGTAGATTGCACTTTTTCGCCGAGATCTCCGTGAACAGGTCCAGTCCTGGTCTGGTACAACTCTTCCAACCAGTTCGTCGTGAAGTTCAAGCCTTGGTGCAGTGTGCATACTTGTGCCTCATCACGAGGCTCATGTTGCTGCGACCATAGCCGTAATCTTGCTTTGGTGCAGAAGATGTGCGGTGCGAGTGCGTTCGCATTGCGTGATAGGGACCGTTCAAGCCTGCTGCAATGCTAGCTATATGAGGCGTTTCTACTTCTCCAATCGATAGTTTTGCCAGCTGTAGCTGCAGTAAGCGCTGCACCACAAGCATGCCTACACGATCCTACACGGGTGTTGCTGGAGCCAACGGCGGACATGCTCAAGTGTATCCCTCGACTTGTATCCAGAATCAACTGGATTCTGAGGCCTCGAATCATCCAAACCATGACGACGAACGTTTTTTACTTCAAGTTTACTCCGGACGCTTTCCTCTGCACATTCAGCTGTTGACTTGTGCGGGGTCTTGGTCTTCGGTGTGCTCCTTTCTCGGCCCCGAGGTGCACTGTCCAGGATTGGGGGGTCTGAAGCGTCGGCGGGCTGAAGTGCGTCCAGAAAGCCCGGAAATGCTAGTATTATCATGTAACACATCGAATGAAGACGTGTGACTCTTTCTAGACGCATCTTCAACGATGTCTGGACGAGTTTCCCCGAACACTGCTGGGAAGGGAGTCTCCTCCTGAGAGGGGGGATGTTGGCTGTTTGTGTTCCGACCCACTACAGAACCACGGACCCCGCGTTGACTCCACAACTGAAATCTGCTGGCGTCCAAGGAAGTCAACGGCAACTTCTGGGCTGTTGTCGCAGACAACGCCGACGAGGGTGCCTGAGATGCAGTGTTCAAAGCTAGGCCCTGGCTAGGAATCCTTGGAATTGCCCCGTGGAGTCTTAGAGGTTTCCAGGCGGTGTCGCAGTCGACGATGCATTGCTGGACGCACACAGCGGCATGTGCGAGAACGCGTTCTGAGTATCAGCGGCACGAGCTGCATCGGTGTGATTGGTCAGAGTTCCTGCCCAAAGGCTTCGTGACAGTCTGGAGCATCAAAAGCATGCGGCTTGGCAAAATGTTTTGGTCAGCCCGGTTCATGCGCATCGTCTTGGGGACCGCATGTCTGCAACAATACATGCGAAAGCTGCGGAGGGTAGGTGACAACCTGAACCTCTTGAGCAGACTGCTCCCTGAAGAGTTGTCCGGGAAACCTCGAACTGCATTGGTTGAAGAGAACTTGTTTGGCAATTTCCTCTGAGCTGTGAGGCAATATGGGCAGCCAGCAGCCGACTGCCGTAGGCAAGGGAAGTTCGTCACCGGAGGCGTCGACAACACAGAGGAGCGCTTCACCAATGTCTTGCTGCAACTGTGCCATGCGGGGCTGGAAGGTGTAAGACGTGTAAGATCATGAGCCAGCTCGTGTCTATTGCACAATTGTCCTGCCTTATTTCGTGGTGCTCTGTTCAAGTCTCTGCGCCATGTTGCGGTGCTTGAGTGTCTTCTCTTGAGTTGGGGGTTGCCTTCTTCCAAAATGACCGCATGGGCGGTGTACCAAAGCCTCCCACCAGACCCTTGCAGGAGTTCCTCTTCTGCTACTTTGAGCGAGGTCCTACAACGTACAGGGTCTTCATCTATCTGGAGGACACACGCCAAAGATCTGCGAAGTGCTGGTGATTCGACTTTGACTTTTGTCATTCTCTGCAAAAGGATGTTGAAGAGAGCGGCACGTTCGTGGTTCAAGAGTGCGCTGTGCTTGTCTGTTGATGTGGGCAGGACACATTGGGTCAGAATGACGGCATCATGGAAACCATGGGCATCATTGTGCCAGGCAGCCTTGCCACACGAAATGAACCCTCTGGTCCTAGTCATCGTCGTTCGAGCAGGAGTCGCAAGCTGCATAAAGTCCAGTGCAGGAGTCGGCATATGCATATGACTGTATATGCAAACATATACATATATATAATTTTGTATAGCTCGAGATTGCTGCACTGCACGGCGTGTGACCTCCCACGACCTCCCTGAAGGTTCTGCAGAGTTGAGCAACGAATTCTTGACCCGGCCGTATCTTGTGGAGCCCGAAACGATCCGGGGGGCAAAGATCTTCTTCCAACCGAGAAGGACAGAGGGAAGGGTCTCAGAACGGGGATGTCAACTCTACGACTCTCTGCAGATTCTTGGAGTCAGCACACATTCGCAAATCAAGTTAGTTGTGCAGGACGGGCTACGCTTGGGCTGGTCTCATGGCAGAGTCCTCCTGGCTTACCCGGGCTGGCGTGTTTTGCTCAGATTTCGCAAGAGAGTGAGTGCACTCAGTGTACTCAGTTTGCCACAGATTGCTGAGTGGCCGCCGCGGCCCACCAAGAAGGATCGAAAGCGGCCATGAGCTTTCAAAGAGGAAAGCATGGAAGCGCGATTCCGTTTCTGCTTCAGGTCAACAACTCCAACGGCAACCATGCGGACAGGCGGAGCATCGAGATTTACGACTCTTAACGGAAGCAAGCTTTCTCAGCTGAGCAGCACAGGTTGTCGCTGATTCGGGTGCTATGCCTTTGGATGCCATTTTGTACTCCTCCCAGCCAAACGACTCTGGCTGGGCAGAACTGCCTTGTGTAGCGCTCTGTACTGTTGGGCAAAGCGCCCTCAAGGACATCATGTTCTTTGTTGACATGCTCCTTGGCTGGACTAAGACATCAGACTCGCCAACACGACTTGAGACACGACGTTGCTCACTAGCTTCTTGTTAGATGCTGCCAGACCATGAGTTCGATTCGCATCGGGTTAGGACCTTGTGCATGCATCATGACCCTGAGCATATGCGCATGCAAGATCATGAGCGAAGTGGGCAAGATCCAGAGAGTTCACGTTCTTGTCGTGTCTCACACCTGAATTGTGCCGATCATCTTCCCTTGCATGCAGGGTTGGATCGAACCTGTTCTGCTACTACAGCGCCGTTCCCATCACAGCCAATGCAGGCCCGCTATGGTCTGCAGCATATCAAACCTGGAGGGGGTGCAAGGGACTGAAGATTGTTTGCTGCTCATGATTGGTTGCTGCTGAAACAGAATTCTGAATGTGATGTCTCGTGCACCAATAGAATGAAGCGACACAATCGCACCTCTAGATTCAGCGAATGCTCAGACTACACCTGGGAGTTCCTCAACTGTGGCTTGACACCTGGCGCAACTTGGCAGATCTGGCAGCTTGGGCTGTAGCTCCCGAAAGCATAAACATCAGTTCATGCATTGTCCCATATGTACATCGACCTTGTTCAATCTTGTCGCCGAAGCGAACTCCATCGGAGCGCTGCTGTAGCGGCCGTTTCGTCGTTATCCCTCGAGTCTCTGTGCACAAGGATTTAGTCGATCCAGAAACCTTCAGCCTAGACCTCAACCAGCTGGGCCCCTCTCGAGTTCAATGTTCCGCAGGTCCGCTACCGCCTATTCGTCTACATCATCGGCGAGGAGCCTTTGTGTTAGCTTGGTTTTGGGAGGCTCGACTGGAAATGAAGGTCATTTCCGAGCTGGGTGTTTGGGGCCCAGATCCACTTGGCAGGAATACTGGGATGTGGCGGTAGATCCAGATGCAGCCTCCTGGCAGCACAAAGGCTGTCAAGGATCTGACAGGCTGTCGTAACGGCCGAAAGTGCAAGTTGAAAGAGCTCCCCAAAAGAGAGGTGTTCCGATCACCATCGTGGAATCAGTGGCACCGAGACAACGGACGAGTGTCCAATGGAGTCTTGGCATGGACGTGCATCAGTTGTGCTTCACTGCAGCGTCTTCTTGCCTTGCATGCAACCGGACAGCAACCGGACAGCTATAATTATCCTCAGGTACATTGATGAACAGCATGCAGCAGCAGCATGGTAAACTAGCTTCGTAGTATGTTGGCAATTCGCCCCAAAATCAGACGTTTTTGCTCGCCTTGGTAGTAAGGTAGTACTGATGGAAGGGAATTTCTCAGAACGTCCATCTTTTCAGGCGTGCTGGTCGAGCCGCCCTTCTCGAATTATTGGGCATGGCCAGATGGTGCCTCGGATATGGGAGTGTAAGCAGGGTGTAAGCAGTAAGGATGTGCATGGGCAGTGTGTCGTGCCAGCTGTCTCTGTGATGTGCTGGTGTTGCTGCGACTTCTATCTGGCAGCAACTTGTGGTGCACTGAGCGAGGTGAGCCATATATCTCCAAAGGTCCGCATGGGATGGGCTTGGACGACCCTCGGCGCATAATATCAGGTCTCCCATCGAACCTGTGCGGATCAGGAGCGTGGTAGGCGTGGTATTGCCGTGGGGACTGAGCTTCTGATGGGGTTTGTGTGGCTGAGGTCACTTTCACAACAGGGCGTCCGCAAGCCCTGGTGTGGGCAATAGTTCAAGATGCTACGAGTGCTTCGCCGGTGAGAAGGGTTTGGACTCGGCGGTTTATTTCTGGAGCTGACTTTTGCAGCATTTGCAGCTACCGAATGCCCATTCTCATCCCATGCCTCGTGTGCCCCAGATATTACAGGGCCAGTTGTTTGCTTGGGGCTTGGGACCAAGAGCATAAAACCAGGAAGACCAAACACAAAAAGAGCAGGGGAGGGGACACCCCTCCACCCCCCACAACCCCTCCCACCCCCCCCCCACTCCAAGGACCGGTTTAACTTGCAACCCTTGGTTTGACACACGCTCGCGCGCACTTGCCTTCCGAACTCAAGTCTAATCAAAGTTATAATTAAAGTATGATTCTCTCTCCTTCCGATAAGAGCTGGCTAGATGATAGGAGGTTGTGTCTGTGTGAGTTGCTGGTTGTTTTGCGTTCCTTCCTCTATGCAGGAAGGGTTCATAAAGGAGGTATATTCGTTGGTGAGATGCATATCCGCACACACTTTCCGAAATCAAGGCTTACATGCTTCCTTCCCAAGCTAAACATTCTCACAGATAACCCTAAACCCTAAACCCTAAACCCTTTTAAGGCCTGAAGGATTCAAAATGGTGATTGCCCCGCGGCAGGGCTGAGGGGAAGGGCCTGGACGCGAGGAATCGCTTTTTGATTCCTCTGCGGGGTATGGGAGGGGTTTTAAACTTTTCAAGTGCGAAAATGGTGGCTTCCTGCGAGTTTCAAGCCCACAGAAATCGTGATTGCAGGGGGGGTTTGACTGGAGGAACTGTCATGAAGCCCCTCAGACCTCCAACGAGAATAGATCAGTCGGAGAACAGCTCGACGTCATTGAGCAACCGGCTTTTAATCAGACAGGCCAACAGAGCGTCACAGTCACACTCTCTCTCGATATAATATTTCCTATGTCAAATGATTACTATTGACTTGTCCTCCTGCATTTGCAGGATTTTGCCAGTGCAGGTGGATGTTTAGCATTGACGCTAGATCGTAGTCATCCAGAATCGTACCACTGATTAAAGAATTAAGAGGCCTTGAGCGTGCAAGCTGCTGAATCTGCAGAAATCTAAATCACACAATAACACAATCGTCTTCACAGGCATCGGATTGCCACCTTGTCGTCCACGTATTTCACAGCATGTTTTCTTTATGTTCTCTTTTCACTCCTCCATAGTTGTCTTTAGTGTATGATTTTAACTTGCCGACAATGTGAACTGTTTACGGTCATTTTTCTGCCAACCAACTGGTTATTATGTTGTTTGTTATTTTGATTCAATGGTGAAGACCTCCAGAATATTCTACAAATAGTCATCGCCATAGACAAGCATCACCGGCATAAACTAAACCAGAGCAACTAATACTTCATTCAAAAGCCCATGGTTGCCCATATATACAAACCCATGGCTCATATACAAACTATCGCTTGAATAACAATCGAAACTCAAGCTGCTGGGACATGAAGACCAAGGTACAAACTTCACCATCAACGCTGTAAAGACAGCCCAACTGGTTGCCTGGCAGATGGAGAGGGCACCCCCCCCCCCCCCCCCCACCACCCCCGAAGCTCGCCGCGAGTCGTTGCTGTAGCTATAGTGGGAGTGCAAAATGTGCTTTCGCCCTCTTGCTTGTCCACTCAGGCATGGGGCCCTGCAGGTTGTCGGCAGTTGGGTGCCCCTGCTCTTGATGCTGTTGCTCAGCGACATTATGTTTTGGCAGTTTTTTAGCGCTGCGTGATTCCATGCCTGGTTTATGGCACACATGTCCCGTCGTTTGAGAGGGTTTGATGGCTAGCGTGCACAGGCAACCTACACGCTGACGCTTTTCGGGTGCAGCCTGCTGCCTGCTCCAAGGAAGCCACCCGGCAAAGGAAGTCCGCAGCACAGGGATGATTTGAGAGAATGCGAAAACACCACGAGCGAGAGGTTTTGGGTCCGAAATATTGTAGCGGATCTTAAGCTTGGGCTTCGTTGCTTGTTTTCTACTGGTTGCTGGCTGCGTTGCTGGTGTTGTTTTTGATGATGTGACACAAGCTGGAGTCTCCGAGGTACGTTCTCATTTTGTACACCGAAGATCAAGCAATCCAGAATGACGGCATGCTGTCCGATCCGATTTTCTTTGAGGCCAGTATGAACAACAAGCTGAGAAGGTAGCGTCGGGCGAAGCTCCAGGACATAGGGCCCTAGGGCGCCATCCAAGGGAACGTATGGTGAATGTGCCGAGACTCGGTTTTGCAACCTCGAACTGAGTCTCCAGGTGCCGGTGTCGAACGGCTTCATCATCCCGCCGGCCCTGGCTGCCAGACAATCAAAAGCGTTTGCCATAGATACAATATCTAATCTGCATAACTCTACTGTTCACTTATTTTTTTAGTTGTTAATTGCATCTTTAGACTATGTCTTTACAGGACATCTTGAGGTTGCAGGCTGTGCGCTGTGCATCGAAGAGGGGGCATTGCAAAGAGTGGCAGAAGGCTGGCTCTGAGTTCTCTGAGTTCTCATGTCACTGAGATCACTTAGGTTGGGGAAGCTGGACTGGACACAGGCGTGAGTCTGAGCTTCGAGGCGGACTCGAAGCGCAATTGAGTGCAAGATAGTGCAAGCAACAGCGCAAGCAACAGCAGTGAAGCCTCCAGTGACTCCAGTGCTTCTTGAGCTTCCGTAAGTGTGCAACGGCACAGCTAACAGCATATGAAAACTTGCATGTCGTGTGACCGCACTGCTCATGCACCTGCCCTCAGGCCTCTTCTTCGGGCAGAGTCTGGGTGTACATTTCCACCTTGGCGCAGGCCAACGCATTCTCTGTATCTTGAACTGCATGGAGAGTCTAGAACACAGGTAGTATTACAGATTATTACAGTGTTTCTCAAAGCAAATTTTGCTACACCTGTACAGTACGCATAGACACCCTGTTTGTTGATCTTCGCGGTGATAAAGCCATCGCGCATCTTAAGGGCAGTCGCCTGATTGCTGCGTTGCTGAACACTTTGATGGTGTATGTGGCCACCTGCTTCTGTGCTGCTGGCTGTCGAGGTAACAATTCCGAACGTGAAGGATGCAGTCAATGCCTTCGATACCACGAACTGCATGGTCGCTGGCCTTGCAATCCCTGCCTCGCTGCAGGTGGGGTACCGCTGCGCAATTTGGTTTCAGATGCCTTTGAGTGAGATTGCACGGAAGCGTTGCGTAAAGGAGCTGCTACTATTTGCAGCAGCAATCTTCAGTCCCGATCAACGCACCAGCTTGTCATTGGCAGCTGAGCTCTGCCTTGTCTCCTCGTTTTGGCATCTGGTGAACGGAGTGGGCTCTGCCTCTCTCTGTCACCAGGCCCCAGAGCTACAACGAGTGTAAGCACTGGAAGTGGGCAGGTCTACTGCCCCATTCTTTGCAATTTCGGAGCATATCTATAAGATGTTGGTTTTTGGTTTTCGTACATTCCACACTGTCGCTCCAGTGGCCTTCTATGTCTTCCAAGCCTCAGCCAATCCAACCCGGCAGGCCCCTATCTCGTTCCTACCTCTACCAGGACTCGACCACACCTCACCAGCTTAAATGCGAAGTTCTCCATTGTGCAGTTGCTCGTTCCCAGCTTCCATTCCCAAGGTCATCCTTATATCGCTAATGACACAGCCGCATTCACTGAACAGCAAGCAGTTGCAGTGAACGAATCCGTCCTTGCGACCACAAACCTAACCTGCAGATGCTTTTGCCATATTTTGCCAGCTACCGGGCCTTGCAGGTGATCACAATGCCGAACTGCCCACTGGTTTATTTGTCCTCCTACGTGGTCTATGTTTACGTTGAGGTGGCGTGGCAATTCACAGACGACCTCCAGAACTCTAGGTGCCCTAAACCCTAAACCCTAAACCCTAAACCCTAAACCCGAAACCCGAAACCCTAAACCCTAAACCCTAAACCCTAAACCCTAAACCCTAAACCCTAAACCCTAAACCCTAAACCCTAAACCCTAAACCCTAAACCCTAAACCCTAAACCCTAAACCCTAAACCCTAAACCCTAAACCCTAAACCTAACCCTAAACCCTAAACCCTAAGCCCTAAATCCTAAACCCTAAACCCTAAACCCTAAACCCTAAACCCTAAACCCTAAACCCTAAACCCTGAACCCTGAACCCTGAACCCTGAACCCTGAACCCTAAACCCTGAACCCTAAACCCCCTCTGGAGCAGTGGTGCCTGGCGACCCAGGACAGCAACGCACACTTGGACGGGACCCTCGCAACTCCGTTGCCGATCGACGTTGGCGCCGCTTGACGAAATTTCTTATGATCTTTGAACCAGTCAACGGTACTATCAGCGAGTCGGAGTATGTCGGAGAGAGATCTCCACTGATGGCCCTCTTGCAATTGTCCGGATGCTCTGGTCTACCCCGCTCAGGCTTCAAACAGCTTTGAGGTGGAGCCTGCCTTGCTCTCCGTGCCTACAACTGACCAGGTGTCTAGACTGGAAGCCGTGGTGAGTTGCAGACAGCACCACAGAGCAGCGCAAGGTAAGACCACTTCCGCTCAACACAGGAACTGTCGTGCCGTGAGATCAGGTGGACTTCAGATTCACACCAACGCAACTTGGCATTCATTACCTGAAGACCATAGCCAACGGTTCATGCAAGCTGTCAGTAGCCGGTCGGCACTTCTTGTTCCCGAGCAATCGGCATGTCACTTAAGTGGGATGTTCATCCGTCCGCGGTCAGGAAGCTCGGCCGCGTTTGGGTGGTCGTGACACCAGCTGCCTCCCTCGTGGAGCCTCCGACCAGGCCTCGGTAATTCGTTCCGAGTCGTTCCGAGTGGCTCCGAGTGGTTCCGAGTGGTTCCCAGTCACTGAGACTTTGATGGGGTATTTTGCAAAAACAGGCACTGACGGCAAGTGGTACAGCGAGTACGACCATGAGTCCTCAAATGTTGCAGATATGGGAGGGGCCCTTTGGGCCCTTTGCCCTCCTTGGAGTCTTAGAGTCTTAGAGACATCCAAAGCACTAAAGCCCTGGAGGTCACACATGAAGGCGAACGTTGGGGCTGTTGGAGCGCGCCTCGGCCTCCAAGTTGTTGGAGGTTGTCAGCCGAGTCAACCTCGCTTGTTCCTGAGTTCAGATGTTCTGTTCTACCTATCACACTTCTAGCACCATCTAGCATCAGGCCGTGTGCATGGTGCGCTCTAGCGAGACTGCCACAGAGAGAGATAGAGATAGAGATAGAGGGATGCCGGGTCCGGATATGCTAGATAGGGGTTTTGGAAAGGTCTTCCTGAAGCTCAGCAGGAGTGGTTGCACCGTCCAACCCTGTTATGCACACCTTCGGGCGGCCCTCCCGGTGGGGAGGGGTTAGGTGCGCAGAAAGAAAGAACGAAAGAAAGAAATCCAGAAAGCAAAGAAGGAAGGAAACACGAAAGAGAGAAGGAGAGAAAGAGAGAAGGAGAGAAGGAGAGAAGAGAAGAGAAGAAGAGAAGGAGAGAAGGAGAGAAGGAGAGAAGGAGAGAAGGAGAGAAGGAGAGAAGGAGAGAAGGAGAGAAGGAGAGAAGGAGAGAAGGAGAGAAGGAGAGAAGGAGAGAAGGAGAGAAGGAGAGAAGGAGAGGAGGAGAGGAGGAGAGGAGGAGAGGAGGAGAGAAGGAGACAAGGGGACAAGGGGACAAGGAGAGAAGGAGAGAAGGAGAGAAGGAGAGAAGGAGAGAGAAAGAGGTAAGTAGATAAGAAAGAAAGATAGAAAACAAATGAAATCACGAAACAAATAAACACATATAGACATAGCGCAAATAACGAAAGAACGAACTAACGAAAGAAGGAAGTAGCGAAAGAAAGAAAGACATGAAAGAAAGAACAGAAGGAAATAAGTAGAATAAATAGAGAGAGAGAGAGAGAGAGAGATCGAGGCCAGGCTCCTCCGTGAGGGGAGGCCTTCAAGCGCGCAGAAGAAGAAGAATAAAACGAAGAAGAAGAAGAAGAAGAAGAATAAGAAGAAGAAGAAGAATAAGAAGACGAATAGAAAGAAGAAGAAGAAGAAAAAGAAGAAGAATAAGAAGAAGAATAAGAAGAAGAATAATAATAATAAAAAGAAGATAGTAATAATAAGAAGAATAAGAAGAAGAAGACGAATAAAAAGAAGAATAAGAAGAAAGAATAATAATAATAATAAGAAGAAGAATAAGAAGAAGAAGAAAGAATAATAATAATAAGAAGTATCGGAAGAATGAGAAGGAGGAGGCGAAGAAAAAGAAGAAAGAAAGAAAGAAAGAGGGGATGGGGACAAGTAACCGAAGGAGTCGAAGGGGGACAAGGGATGGGGGTTGGGCAGGTTGACTTGCTTGAAGAGGGGCCTTGAGGTTGGGGGTGTTAGCGGTGAGGTTGGGGGTTGGAGAGGGCGGAGTAAAGGGCCCGTGAGGGTTGGCTGACGCGCGCCGGCTGGTGTATAGAGTCCCCGAGGAGCAGACTCGGGCGCGCCTTGGCGCGGGGGCGACGGTCAAGCCCCAAGAAAGAAGGAAAGGGAAGGGGATGGGGATTGGGATGGGGATGGCGAGGGGAATGGGAAGGGGAAAAAGAAAGAGAAAGCGCCGGCCCAGACAGACCCTGCTGGGACTCAAAAGCACTTTGGTGCGGGAATCTTCGGAGGTTCTGCTTGCAGAGAGAGACGGAGAGAGCGAGAGGGATAGCGGGTCCCCGTAGAGGCCTGAGGAGTGAAGAAGAAGAATAAGAAGCCAAAGAAGCAGAAGAACCAGCCAGAGAGAGTGCACGACAGCTGGAAGAAAGTTTCGGGAGAAGGCGGGGACGGTGACAATGGCACGGGCTAGAGAGAGTCGCCGTTCCCGTGCTCACCCATGAGCCCACACCGAGGTTGGGGAGGCCACGGTATTCATGCCCCACACCGAAGGTATGGGGACAGGCTCACCCAAAGCACAGGGACCGAGCAGTGGGCCGGTGTAGAGGAAGAAAGCGAAGAAGGGAAAGGGGAGGGGAGAGTGTAGAAGAGCACTCTAAGCCTGCAACCCCAAGTCAGAGCACAAGGCTTTCATGCAGAGTGAGCGGCTCACCGATTACACCGGTGGAACAGACGTACGTGCTGACTGGCTGCGTGCTCGATCCAGGACTACTGTGTCGTGTTCGGGTTTTCATCATTGTGGGACAGAGATAAGAATGAGGACAAGCGTGCTTGTTCAGATATGGGTAGTTGGGTGTTGCTCCTACTTCCACAGTGGATTGTGATTGGCAACGAAGTCAGCATTGCGCGAACGGCTTGTTGGGCTTGCTCCAGGACAGATCTATGCTCTGTACGTTTATGCTCATTGGCATGCAGTACGAGATTAATTTTCACGCGTGCTGCTGCAGTGCTGCAGTATAGAGATTAGCCAGTCCGAAATTGTTCAAACTTGCGTTGCAAAGAAATAGGCAACTAAGTAACTAGGCTATCTTCTCAATGTTTGTTGGTTTTCATTCTGAATCTGCTGGTGCCCTGCGTTGCCCCAAAGGTAGAAGACCATCGAGACCGCGGCGATGGCACTCTGTCGCGAATCGTGTTTGTCAAGGCAGCAAATATCCACAGATCTCTCAGACTCTGCAAGCTTTCCATAAATCCCGTGTCTGCAGGTTATCAGGTCGAACAACTTCGCAATCAGCCCAGTCCTGTTGACCTTGCCAACGCTGGATGGTTTCGATGTGAGATTTCAGGCGCCCTGAGCAATACTTTTACACTTTACGAGTGAGGCACCCATTGGGACCATGAGTGCCTTGCAGGGCTAAGCGGCTTAGCTTTCAAAACCGAACCCCCGAGAGACAGGCCTGCCATGTTCAACCACTCTCAAGCTTCTACAAGCACGAGACTCTGCGTGGCTTCCCCTCAGGCCATGGTCTCCGGCCGAGCCTGGGCCATGGCCGTGGACGCCATCGGTGGCTCAGGCCTCGTGGCGCAGTTTTTTGGGGCTCCCATGGCATGCTCCTGCAAACCAGAGCCACCTTCAGGAGTCAATGCCCTGTCGATACGAAGCCTGCAAGGACAGCTCTATGACAGCTTAATCTTCTTCAATCTCTGCTCTCCGCAGCTAGTCCGGACCACTGATGCTTGCAACCGCAACAAGCAGGAGCCTTGGGAGGAGCAGATTGCCAATTTCAGGACTTCCCTATCGATGCCAGCCTCCAGGCGACTCCACTATGCCAATGTATTGTGTTCGAGATCAGTTTAGCTTCATGCTACGAATAAGAACCAGAAGTAGTCTTGCCCGTCTAACACTTCGGAGTAGCTGCCGCAAAGAATGTTGAGTACCGGTCCAGCAGAAGCTTTTCACGTTCAAGTGTCGCCGGCTCGGACCATCTTGCACTGCCAGGTTTGGAACTTCACGGACTGCAGGTTCGAGGAGAGCAAGACATACATGAAACTTGGGCGCAATTTATCCTGGAAGCGTCAGTTGTGCGACTCTGTACTGCAGGGGCATCCTTCCGGAAGCAGTTTTGACTGGAATATGGCATCCTGTAGATGCGACAATAGTGGTTACCTGTTCCATCATGTTCCCGTCAAAGTATCCCTCCTGAACCATTGCATAATCGGCAAGATGTTGCATGTTGCGTAGTTCAGTTTCGCCCACGAGTTCACCCGCAGTCAAACATGAAGAGGAACTGAAGGTTTAATTGTGGAGCGAGCAAGATTCTTTTGGCCATCAGGCATTGCGCAGTTCAATCAAGTTCAGAAGCTGTGCTTACAGAACAGAACTTCTGACCTTCGCTGGTCAGTCTTTTTCCGTCGGGCGGTTGCGACAGACCTGCTCTCTCTCTCTTTCTGTCTTTCCGATCCTGCGACAGAGATCTGCTGCATCATGGGTAACGCAGAGGTTCGAGGTCTGTGTAAAAGCATGCCGTTCCGCGGTCTGCGACAAACTGTGCCTCAATGGCACATGCTCACTCACAACTCTTCCTGGCAAAACTTGGGGTCAGGGACACAGATGGTTGAGGCCGCTTTGCATGAACGTTACGGTGTTGTGCGGCCTCCTCATTCCATGGACGTGCTATTAATGTGTGTCAATGTGTGCCAATGTGTGCCTGATCTGATCATCTGATCTGATTCCAAGGATTTTCATTTACATAGAAGCATGGCCGGCGGTGACAGGAGATGGCACTCTTTCAGGCAACTTGGCAGCCTTTCGCCTCTCACATGTGGGCAGACAGCCTGACATAGCCTGACTACGTTCTGCCATGGTGGAGCGAGAAGACTGCAAGATACTGCAAGTAGAGACGTCGAAGAGTTCGGCATGATTCAGGTAGGTGCCTCACACTGCACTGCACCACATGGCACGCAGGTCCAATGATTGCCTCCTTCTTCGATGCCTCGAATGTTTCCACTGAAGATACGGGTGCCAACGCAGGTGGAGACGTTGCCTGGCTGGCCTGGCACATGACGCTTCTGCATCAGTCAAGAAGCTGTAGGCACAACGTGCCATGAGATGATCCATGACACTATGATATGTCTGTCATTGTTTCGAGGTCCTCACCATCGAGGAAGTGCCCATCGTCTCGAACTGGTCACTTTGAAGCAGTTCATGTTCAAAAGCATCAGCCGGCTCAGTGCAGGAAGTGAGTATACACATTGCGCAGTTCCGGATGCAGCGGACGCATGTTGTCTGTGTGTCGAAATGAACGTTTGTGCCTTGGGAGGCTGTAGTTTTGTTCATGCAGTGTGCCAAGGTTCCGCGAGGACCCGCGCCAGGTGCGGAGCCATGGTTTTTTGCACTGCCTGGTCGAGAAACAACAACTTGCAAAAAATGCCACCTTGGGTGAGTTTGAAAGTAGTGCGCAATGCATCATAGACAAAGGGGAAAAGCATAGATCGACATACAACAAGAGATCCGCTTGCAAGAGTGATGAACAAAGACAAATGTGTTGAAGTTCCGCATAGGCAAAACGTTGTTTCCCTTGCAGGAATCTGTCCGGAAGTGCTAACAATCGTCACAAAGCAGTCCAGCCTCAGTTTCAGAGTTGTTGCAGTTAGCATTGATGCAGTTTTGATGGAGCAATGGGGGTCACTTTCGCCTCCAGGATTGTAGGAAAGAAGCCGAAACACGGATTGTAGGAAGGAATCCCAAACAGACCGAAATTGCACGGGTGACGCACCGACATCGAATGCGGAACCAGCCTTGAACGAGAACCCCCCCCCATGGCCATGACCATAGCTCATCCGATCAACCCTTAAGCTTATTCGCGCTAAGTTTGAAGGGCTAGACGAGGGCGAGGGGGTTTCGTTAGTAGCCTGTTCTGCCTCATTGAGGTGTCCCGATATCTAGTGAACAGGGCCGTCCAGGTTTTGGGTTCAGAACAGCTTCCACTCGTTCAGGTTTATCCCTAGTCTGGCCGGGTGCAAAAAACTCGCCGGCCACCCTGAGTTGACGGTTCACGTTCATCTCTCGAATTCGGATCAACCGTTCAACCCTCACATGGAAACTCCTCAGTGCCAAGCGCCCAACTGGTCTTGAACTAACTCAAACCAAAACCAAAACTGCCTTCCCGAGTATTGCACCGTCTGCGCGCAGTCGGGTCCAGCATCTCCTGGCGGCGTTACCTTGACGCTTCGTGCTGCTCACGCCAGCGGGCGTCTTTGGGTGACACCCGGCTGCAGCGGTCAAGAGCCAACACCGTCACCTTGCACCGGTTTTGTACAGTGCCCCTTGGAGCGAGACCCTCAAATTCACCATCAGGCTTTGGGGTACAATTGTCTCAAGTCTCAAGCCCATGCTCGTGAGCCTCTTGCCACTACCAACCAAGGATGATAACTCGTTACAGGCCTCAGGCGGGATCTCACAGCATGCGCAAGGATACCACGGTATGTCCGGTAGGTTTCAGCTTGAGAGAATCGTCTGTCAGAGCAGAAGCAGCAGTAGAATGCATAATATTGCGGAACGGAACGCCTTCATTTTTCTGGACTGGTGCGCTGTCACCAAAGACTCCAGGTGGCAGCGGAGTCTGTCCAAAATGGATGGAACGCTACTGGCCTGCATCGAGAACAGGAGGGCCTGTTGGCATTGCATTCGGAAGATTTTGTTACCTGGCAACATAGCACATCACGTCAAACGGATTGAAGCTGCACGCATGCCGAGCGAACAAAACGCTCGCAGAGGCAATTGGCGGCCCTGGTTGCCAAAGGCTGGATGCTGCCATCGACGAGCAGGAGTAGCTGCACAATCTTGCGCACGAGCACGCGCCAGCATAGACCAGTGCATGCCAGGAGGCCACAGTGCAGCTTTCAGAGTGCGGTCTTCTTCGAGGCAGCTTGGCTTGGCTAGAATATAATACTAGAGTATAGGGTGCCAGGCTACCTTAGGGTACCATGAATATGTTTTGCATGCGGAGAGACTCTGGCAAAGACTGACCTAGCCTCACAGCGGCACCTGATTGCGAAAGCTTCCAGGTAGGTACTACTATGCGTTCGCCTACGTGGCGGGGCCCGAAGGCGGACTGAATGGGACTCTTGCCAACAATTTCTGCCGGACCCGCGGCATTCTCCTGGCCTGCTAGGACAATGTGATAGGCACTCGTACCGACACACCACGCAGCACCTAGGACTCTTAGCCCTGCGGTCGAGATCTTCGTTCCCACCGTGACTTGGCTCGTGCTACGCGGATGCAGCAACCAGACGCAGCCAACATCTTTCGGCTAGTCGCAGCCGTTCTCTGTCAAGCTTCTTACAAGTCAAAAAAAACGTACTTAACGCTCCCTATGTTCGACGAAAGCACTCCTTGCTGAATAGGGTTGCGAGACTTAGGTATCGAACGACTTCTCCCAGTCGCCACGCCTTGTTTCCACACCTTTGCAGGCCCGCCATCTCAGACCTTGACGTGTTTGTTCAGCTTGACACAAGAAGTAGGAAATGCATGAACTTCCACATGAATCTGAACATATTATAACAAGCATCACGCAACTTTAGCAAAAGCTCAGAGGCCGGCATATTTCCACAGACCCCAAACAGCGGAAGACCACTGTGATGCTACAGGTTTCTCCCCGACTGCTATCGAGAGTTCCTTCTTTGCGTTCCCCAGCACGCGTGTTTCCAAGCAGTTTTACGTTTGCGTGGCGTTGTGCAATTTTGTGCGACTGGTCGATGTTGGAGGCACCATAACTCTGGATGTCGATAGCAGCCCGGAGGGGATTATGGCGGGAGCGACTCAAGCCGAGCGTGATGTGGAACACTGCGAAATTATGCTTTGATGTCAGTTCCACATTGTGCGTGGGACTCTGTGTGTGTGTGTGCGCAATGTACACACATGATATATATTTATATATACACATAGTTACTCATGCAGCTTCCCCCAAACATGTTCTTGCTTGTGGTTGCGAGTGCAGCCACATGATGTTTTGCCCGATGTGTATGGAGGACGACGTGCACTTCACCTTCGCTGCAGTTCAACAGTTCGGCTTCGCCTGGGCCACTTCCTCTACTTTACGCCCTTGGATGGAGTGGGCTGCATCCGTGTGTGTTGTCGCTGGTGACAGGCGTCGAGAAATCCTTCATAGACGTATTTGTTGCAAGGCTTCGGTGCTGCGAGGTGTCTAATTTTGTGGTAGCCGAGGTAATGATAATCGATTCATGGCTTGCCTATTCGCTGATTCCCGGCTGCACAGAGCTCCTACAGTCCCGCCATAATCATTCCTTCTCGTGACATCTGCCGGCGTTGACGGAGCATTTAGATCCCCGTCCATGAAAGGACCGTTGAGAGCGTGAAGGCCTTCGTCAACGCAGTCGGTGGCTCCAACTGTCGAAAACAGGCGACCCCTGCGTCAGCACCATCAGCTTTAAGCTTACCGTTCCTCCCCTTTTCCTCTGCCGTCCACGAACAGTTCTCAAGTTCTCAAAACCACCTCCGGGACCCCAGCGACCCCAGCCCCTTCTAAGCTCAAGCCCGAAGCCGTACTAAGCCATTGCCGGAGGCTCTGAGCATTGGCACCGCTGCGCAGGCAAAGTGGGGCACGAGTTGAGCAGACTGGCAAGCAAGCCTTCTCAAACTTTCAAACTTCGTGGCATTCATCGTGTCTTCGTGCACCGAGAACCAGCGACTACAAGCATTGGCTTGGCAATGCTTGGCAGAGAAGCTCGCATGGCCCATGGCGCCAGACAATTCTACGTGAAACGAACTTTGCAAACTGCTCGTGCAGGACATTGTGCTGGGATCCTCCTTTCCGCCCTTTGGTCAGCACAGACCACTGAATCCAATAGCTAGCAGTAGTGCAGACATGGGGACTTCCATGCAACAAGTTTTCTCTGGCCGAAGGCAGTACAGACGCAAGTGGAAAGTTGAAAGCTATCCCTGCGTGGCCATGCTTGATTCAGGAACGCCGGCGACGGTTGTGATCTGATGTCCAACGGCATGTAGCTTGGCTCTCCTTGGGCAGTCCTGGAGTATAAAGCCTTTGCTCGTCGAGCGCATGGGACCCATGCACGCGGCTTCAGCATTATGCATGTTAGCAGATGCATACATGTGCATGGTAACATGACCAGGGCATCCGCCCAGCCCAAACCTTCGGGGCTTCAAGCTTTCTTTGCCTCGCCAAGCTCTAACTCGGATTAAAGCCGGCACAGCTTCTCCTTTGCGCATCTTCTCGCTATGTCGGCACTGGCACATTTTCGGTGGTGTCTGTTACCATGCATGCAGGCGGCCTTGGCAGTGGCCTTGGAGGCTCGGTGACCTGCCTCACCGGGCACTGAATGCACGGGGACACGTTCCACGTTTCCTGGGTGGTCGGTCCGCGGGCGGGCGTGCACTTACAAATCTGCATGTTCGGAGTCCTTGTGCAGACCACCGCATTTGTGACCTTCGCGACGGGATGGTGCCGGCGGCGTCCCATGTGGTCCCCCAGATCCAAGAGATTCAGTCGTGGGCGGCTGATTTAGCGTGCGCCAGATGTGGGTGGCCTGCGTGCGGCAGGGCTCGAAGTGCCAGCGGGGCGGGGCAGTGTTGCCGCTTGCGCCCTCCGTCCGCGTCCACAGGCCTTTCCCCACTTCTACACTGTACTTGGAAGAGAGAGAGCTGTGCCGTGCGCGGCGTGCTTTGGGTGCATATTCTTTCGTGGTGAACTTTGCCAGATCTGATGTTGCAAGCGTGCGCACGAAATCTGCGAGTGACCACCAGTTCCCTGCCGCGTGCACAATGGCACACCTCCAGGCTTAGAACTGTGGCAATCAACCTAGTTACAGTATCCAACTTCTAAGGTATGTCGTGGTCGTCTATGTGGAAGACATCAACGGTCAGAGTCTGAGAGCGTGGCAGTGGCCGAGGCTTGTCGGTTTCACAGCCGCAGTCACACATGCCAAGTGTGAAACTTTGACCAAGGACTGAACGACGGTACCTTGGCCCAGCTGCCCATCCGTGTGAGTCCAAAGCCCGCCTACTCCAATCGCATCGCAGCTGGACCAGTCCCTCGGACATGTCCAAAAAGAGCAACCGATAAGCAGCCGGCAGCCAGGAAGGCTGGCCAGAAGTTTTTATTCCGAACATGCTTGAGCTTACTTGTTCCTGTCAGGGGCAACTTAGCGCGAGGTATTGGTATACAGAAAATTGCAGAAATGCAAGCATGCCCGATGCCAGTTCGCAGAAGTCGTTGGTTACAGTTAGTGTCGTTGGCTGCAGCTGTGCTTGCAGATGGGGATGGTTCCCGTCGCTGTTCCCGCCACCACACCAAGCACACACTTGCTTCCCCTGCGCACTCTCAGCTCAAAGCTGCTTTCAGGTGATATCTGTCAACCCTGTACCCAGCGATGTGTACCTGACCTTCGCGGCCGCAATTCCTGGCCGGTACTGGGCGTTCATCTTGCCTTCAGACAGGCCCGAATCTGAAGATCCTCGTTCCGACTTGCTTGTGTCAACACGTCCTCGTCAGAGCTGGCAAGGACGAATGTCTTCACGTTGGAAACTGCGAAGTTCATGGATCTGAACCCGGACACCGTCGGCCAAGCTGGCTGTCGCAAGAACAACGTCTCCCGCATGCAACATGTGCAACGCATTTTGTTGTTAACCAGTCATGGAAGCTGTGAATGAAGCTGTGAGAACCTACTCGATTGGTGGAATTCATGCTTATGGTATGTTTTGCTGATGCCTGCAAAGGTCGAGGACACATATGTGCATGTGAGAAAGTGATAACTGATAGCTCTGCACCTTCAGGTAGAGATGGGCTCTGGCGCCACATACGTGCACCTCACAAACTGTGATCTTGTGATGTCGGGAGCAGGACTGCGTGATGATTTTTTTATTGATGCTTGTAAGTTGCCTGCAGAAGATCCAGATCCTGACACAACAGTTGCTTTGTCTCCTGCAAGGCTTCACCTCCTATTCTGCATTTGTCTACGCGCCACGAATGCAAAATACACCGGTGACCATCGGTAGTGCAGATGCGAAGAGTTTGGAGGAATTCGCAGTTGGCAACAGCTCGTCAGAGTTGTAACTGCTGCCTTTTATGACTGACTGGGGTATGGCCTGGCTTAGATGCGGCATGCAATCCAAGGGCTTGTTCAGCGTTAAGGCTCTTGTTGAACAACCCTCAACGCCTAGGTCGAGGACAACAGTGGCAAAATTGGTGATCTCTCTGCAGCAGTGACAGCCGAACCCTTGGAACCGGCAGATGCTTCAGTGACTGACGTTGCACATGCAGTGGGTCGCAAGAGTCTATCGTTTGACGCAGGTCGCGTCGATATCGAACACCTTTGTGCCACCGTTTCCACGGATCGTGGCGTTTGAGACAGACGGCGCTCTGGCCAGGTCACTCCAGAACAAGGATTCAGAGCGCGTAAGCCCTTGGGGCGATTTAGCCGCTGCCGTGCTCATGGCATCTCACGGCTTGCTCGTCTTCTAGCCACGCCCAAACCTATTTGACTTATTCACCAAGCGAGTGATATTTTTAGATAGTATTCTAAACCAACGTAAGGCACTCTCTCCGTGGAAGTCCGTGTGAACAACTCGGGCCGCCTGTGGAGTCGAATCGCTCCTGGGATGAGTTGGCTGCGTGTTGGATGGACTTCACATGGCTCCCCTCAAGGAAACAAAGCAAGTTGAGCATAAGCTGCCACGCCCGTCTAATGGGAGCCGAGTCTGTCTCATCACTTCCGGTTCCAGATGTTTCTGCCCACCCCCCCCCCCAGGTGTATTCCAGTCTGTACGCGAGCACTGAGCGCTATTCTGGGGCGATGTCGCTTTATGTATTGAAGCAGTGGCTCGGCCTGCATGCCAGGGCGCTTCCGAGAACATCCAAGAACCGACAAACTGGCTGAACCATGCTGAACCCGCTCCAGAAAACTTCGCTGTGTGGAAGTGCCCAAAGGTGGCAGGCTCATCCAGACAATGGGCCGTCTTATGGGAGCGAGCCGCTCGGCAGGACAGCAGGGCTGCAGGACAGCGGGGTAGCAGGACAGCATGTCAAGTGAACTGATGACTTCTTTGCTGGAGAGTCCTTCAGAGCAATCAGCATGCATAACCATCGAGGAATTGCAGCATTGATGCTCTGGATGTCACCGTCGAACTGGATTCCCTGGGCATGCAAGTTCCGATATGGTTGAACTTCAGCAACTGCACCTTTACATCTGGCACCGAGTATATGCCTCTCGCATGGGTTCAGGAAGGGTACGCAGCATCGAGTTGTATGATTGGGGGATGGTCTGGTGCGAGCTAAGGATTGCGATCTATGCCGAGGATTCTCAAGGAAATGATGATGGAGAAATCGTAGGTTTGAAGCTTGACAAGTATTACAATGCCAGCAACTCGGATCCATAGCTCCCTGTAAAATGCTGCTGTTGCTTGCTCATTCGCGAGAAAGCTGTGTGAAGCAGCACTGGGAGCCGTTTTAGAATTTTATGGTGGTGAGTGGTGAGTTTCTAGTCCAAAAGTCCTGGCAACAGTCATCATGACTCATTCTGACTCTGCAGCTCTTTGGGGTAAACGGTCGGCAGAGCGGACGCTTGTGCTCAACTTTGCTGTCGCCAAGGCAACTACTTTCTGGTCTCGCCAGCTGTCGTCGGAACTGCAATGGCCGACACATTCACTGTGCAGTTTCACACGTGGGCCGCAGGCGGAAGCCCTTTGTGCCGAAACTCTGCTTTGAAGGAACAGCTCGTGTCCTCAAAAGATTTAGGCCCATTGACAGGCAGGCTTCGTTGGCTGCGTTCGGCACATTCGACTCTCAGACGTTGGTGCAATAGACCTGATGAAGGGAGGAGCATCTGAAACCTTGTCCCAACATGCATCTGACTTCTAATCTGCAGTGAAGGGTCTCCACCGATGTGACACCACATTAAGTGAGGATCCATTCCCGGATGTAATCTGTCGGCCACGCGCTGGATGATGCACTAGGTTGCTCTTGGTGCAGGCGTTGGATGGTGCGCAATCACCCTACCAGAAGATGCCAAGTGCTTCGGCCACGAAGCAGTGCATGGCATTAACAAGATCAGAGATGAGAGTAACATGCTGCTGGTGAACCCAGCGGTCAAATTTGAGCCTGCAAGCTCCAATGCGCGTCCCAGCAACCATAAATCCCGACAAATCCTGAAAAATGAGTGGCGATCTCATGTGCCCCAGAAAGTTCCAGGTATTTAACGGGAGCTGCCGTGATGAGCGGTCAGGCAGGGCTTGGTGGCATGGATGAAAATTAAGAAAATGCTGATCTGAATGAACTTCTGTCAGGTGTTCGAGGGGCCTTCCAGGTCAGATGATTAACTAACTCCATTGTGGCAGCGTGGGCGTTACTCCGTTGAAAACACATCCGGGGCCAGCAAAGGTGGCCCTGACTGCTGCAAGAATTCTGCCGGGTTCCTGACAAGCGCCTGAGCTGATGGTGAGTCAGTAGGTATTGGGGGGGGAAGGGGGGGTGCAATTTTCACGCTACGCGACCTGCCTCCGCCCTGCGCATGTGAATGCCCAATGCCAGGGTCGTGGGCCTCGTCGTGTGGGTTGGGGCAGGGGGGGGGTGGGGGGTTTGGATGGGGTTTGGTGGGGCCGAGCCCAAACTGCCCCCTGCACTGTTGGCTAGGGGGGGGGTACCCACTTCTGCCAAAAAAGGTGGCCAATGAGGGGCGCGCAAGTGAATGGTGTGTTGGGGAGGGGAGGGGATTAGAGGTGGGACCTGTCTCATGCTCCCCTGACACCTACGGCCCCAGGCCTTGTGGTATGTTCAGGCGAAAGATGCGAGTTGGTTGATCGTCATGGCCACTTTCTCTATTGAGTCTGTTAGATATGTAGCCTGCAACTTGACCCCGACAATCAACGACAGCGCTCACTCCAACCCTAATTTCTGCTGCATGGCCGTTACCCGAACATGATGGTGTTCTTCGGATGGTTCCAGTGTCCGTAGCTGTGGCAGCGGTAGCAGCAACAGGAGGTTCTTCTACGACTTGCTACTATTATCGTTTCTAGGTATTGCGGCGTCACCAGTTGTGCTCGTCGCCTCCTCAAGTTTCGAGCGGCCTACACCCCAGAAAGTAGCCAAGCGGTTTTTGTTTAGTGCTTCCTCAGAGCAGGTGGTGGTGTGGAGACATTGACACTTACTGGCTGTGGCTTGGGCATGGATACGGAATACCGCTTCTTCATGCCTCTTGGCATTCACAGGGAGCACTGCTCCGACCAAGAGTCAATTCTTTGAAAGGGCCCGAAAAAAAGGCAGAATGATCTGAGTCCAGAAACAAGGTATATCAGTGGCGGCGCGTTGGATGGCACGCTCTCCTCTGGCAACTTGTCTGGCTTGCTGTTGAGTGTCTGAAGTCATGCACTGCAATTCCTCGGAAGAAATTTGAAGCTCTACCCCCGTTGTATCAAGACAAGTTCTGAAGAAGTGATTGGTTGAGTGTGCGTGTGTTGGTTGATGTCTCCAATCTACAGTCGATGTCCGCATCTTCCTGGTGACTGTCATGATTTGTTCTGTGGCCGGCGATTAGTGGTCTTCTGTCGCCGACAACATGATGATGCTCTCAACAGTCGTCGAGCTGAGGATATCCGTTTACCACCTTCGGAAGCCTTGGCCACATTCGGGTGCAATGGCTCCAAAAGGAGACAGACGAGGGCGGGGCCATAGACCGGTACCGTGCAACTCGGCCAGATGCTAGTTCGAGTTGGCGTCGCAAGACACAGCCATCAGCTCCACACCCACTTGAATCCAATACCGCTTTCCAACTTGCAAGTGCTTGGTGAGGCCTGCTGCAGAGTTGAGCTTGCAAGTGGGCCAGCAATCTTTGCTAAGGTGTTCCTGAACGGCACCCAGGCAATTGCTGGCAGCGGCTAGGTGACTAGAATCAGCAGGTTGCAGAGAATCTCTGCGCGCAGAGCTTTCCGATACCCACGAGCTACCAGCTCCCGTCGTGAAGCCAAGCCATGCGGTCTAGAAATGTCCACAGTCTAGACTCTGGACTCTAGTGTTGACCGAGTGGCCTTTGGACCTTTCTTCGGTGTGCCTGGTTGCAGGTGTATGATGACTACGGTTTTCGAAGCAGCCTGGAGCAAAGCCGCGCAGGATCGCCGCCTCGCTGGGCTTCATGACCGCACATGCTTTTTAGGCCTTTCAGGCGGACGAAGTCGGAGTGCACGTCATGACAGCATCAGCATCGCATCCCGGAAAAAAGCACAAGATCATCACATCCGCTTGGCATCATCTAGGTGCGCGTGGCAGACTTGGCGTGCACACCAGGCGGGCCAGATTGTGCTGGAAAGTGTCTCCGCATCCACCGAGCAATGCAAAAGCAGAAGTTGTGACAAAAGTTTTCTGGCGGTCAGTCTGCGGGCAGGTTTGAGCTACGAGGTGACTTTGTCAGGACGCAATTTCGGTGGCTGGTGGCTAGCTGGCAAGTGCAGCTTTTTAATGCCAGCAGCGCATCGCTTGGAATGATTTGGATATTATTGAATGAGCTTGAGGTCACCGTTGAGCCAGCCCCTGCAGACGGGTTGCTTCCTTCGGCCGGGCACCATCTCGAACCTGCGCGAGGCACGCCTGTTCCGCGCATGCCTGCCCATTGAGCTGGTGTAGTCAGGAGAGCCCACCGCTGAGCACGTCTATGACGAGTGGTGATATTCTATGTAGAGCTATCTTTTCTCGCTCTCGGGTTTGAATGTAAGCCCTGCCATCCTGCAGGCCACGTAGCGAGTAGCATTGTAGCTGAATGTAGCCGACTATAGCCGGAAGGATCCTTAGAACGGGGTTCCTTTGAGGTCTCTTCATCAGTGTCGGCCGATGGGGAGACTGCATCATTGACGCTGCTCCCGCAATTTGATTTGGGCACCGGGCACTAAACTGAAACATGCGTAGGTGACAGGGCAGGTCGAGGCTGGCGGGGGGGGGGGGGGGGGGGTGGCGATGTGCTGTCTGTGAGCTGGCGCATGAAGCCGCATCACGTGAACCAAGGAGGGTGGCTTGGACCGCGCCGCAGGATGCAGCTGGTGCAGAGACGGCACGCACGTTTTGCTGTCTGCTTCTTCAATATGAACGGTGAGCTTTAGTGAGCTTGAGATTCCCCGAGAGTGCATGAGAAGCTACCGAGCCCTGCGAGGCATACTACAACATTTATCGCGACCGAGGGTTGCGACAGGCTCCCTGCTGCAACCGTGAAGTTTTTGCAAGTGTTTCGTTTTATCGCCGTCGTTGACTTCCATCGGGCTTTCTTTTTTTCTCCAGATTTGTCTTTCATGCAAGGGTTGGAAAGGCTTGAGGTTTGTTGCCGGAAAATCGGTTGCTACCACAATGTCACAAGTGCCGGCTCCATCATTTGGCTTGGCTCTCTTCGTGCCGCCCTCAGCGGTAGGTGCCCAAGGATGTCTTCGGAGCCCTCTGAGAAGCCGGGAGAGAAAGCGGATCCACCTGTCCCACTCATACTACTTCGAGTCAGAGATTTTGCAAAGAGAAGACACTCCCATCTTTCCAATACTACCAGTACCAGCTATTTCTTCAGATTCGGCAAACGAATACGTCTAGACATTCTAAACCAGATTGGCAAAGTCGGAATGCAAAAAGACCGTGGACCATGCAGTTGAGATAGATGCGGAGGCCGCGCCAGCGAAGTTGTGCAAATAGCAAGGTCCAAAGTGCGGTTTGCTTCAAGACCTCAAGCGACCTCATCTGAAACTTTTTGCATCGTCGTTCTTTTGTGGCAGCAACACACCATCCTACGAATGCCCTCGCCTTTACCCCCTGCTTCTAGCAACCCAGACCGCAGCAGGGCAGGAAAATTGTCACCGTACTGCGCCAGTTCTCCCACATATAACGGAATCTACCACCGGCTAAAGGCTATCGCTACACAATCTGGCAGAACGAGGGTGCAAAGGAAGTTCCACCGCAAGTGTCAAAGGCCTTGTTCGAGCTTATCGGCAGCACAACGGTCACGCTCCTGGGCCTGGCCAGCTTGCGTCAGCTTTTGTGTTTTTTGGTGTTGTTTTCTGTGTTACTTGGAATGAGACGAATGAATTGGCTTTCGCATGCTCGTTCACGCAAGCTCAGGCAGTTCGATGATACAGGCTTAGTGCCTGGCCTCGACTATGGCTATCAGGTCACGGCTGTGAATGCCTTCGGTGAAGGACCTCATCAAGAACGCTGTAGCTCCTTCCCGGAAACGACCGTCACAATAGAATCTGCGAGTCCTGCACATGCAAAGCCAGCATCCTTTCTTGCTCGGATCACTGCGGTTTTTCAGAACGTCTGACCAGACTGCCTTCGAGACTGCCAGCTGCACGAAGGACCTGTTAGCGACGTCCTGTTCCTCAAGATTGCGGGCACGCCGGTCATAGAGACACCCAAGGCCGTTTTGGCGGGGTAAAGTGAGAATAACCTTAGCCATCCACGTAGTGCGTGACAAGGTACTGTATGGATCAGGAAGTTGCAGTTGAGAATGTCACATGTTGACAACCTTGGCCTCGTCAAACTGTCCTCAGCATTTCATGAAGCCGCGCTGTTCTGCAATTCTGTAGGCAAGTTGGGTATGATGTGTCATTGGTAGTGGTTGATACTTCTCACTTGGAGGTGGATCTACTTGGCATCCTCAACCAAGCAGGCCTCCAGCTGACCCCAAGTGCACGGACCGGAGAGCTGGACCAGGCAGAGAATGGGGTGAGAGGGAGACTGCGCACTGCGGCAGCCAGGCCTTGGTAAAACACAAAAAAAAACACCGGTTCAGAACAGTTCCAATACCTTTCACTACCTTACAGGAGCGAGCCTCGCTCTGCTTAACATGCTTAACCATACGCACCAGCAGATAGGTTCCTTGAGATAGTGCTGCCGCCGCAAAGTCCAATGGCCCAAATTGCAGGTGGATGGCGTTCTTCAGGTCTATAGCAGCGACGCTTGGGCTCATTTCACAAGTTTTCAATATTAATATATACATATATATATACACATACAATACGGGAAGGCCTCTGGCTAAAGATGGACACAAGACGCTAGAGGTGCACGGGCCCGTGCGGTGGTATACACGTGTGCTGCCATGCTTCTGTGGTACTGAGCTCTGTATAGCCCTGAACCCCAAACTCTGAACCGTTCTGGACTCTGAGCACTGCTGTGTTACTTTGTCTAGAAATCGTGCAAGCTTACCGTGAATCAATTCTGACAGAGGCCCTTCTGTTTCGATAAACACTCATCGGCAGCACCCAGCAATGAACTCAGAACCGCAGTTTTTGTAGCTCTTTCGTAGCAACAAAAAGGTTGGAAGTTCCTTACAGCATCTCATGCGCTGGTTGACTTCATTGTCTAGTCTCACTCAGGCATACCGTGCTACGCTAACCACATAGGGTTCTCGGCTTCGTGAACAAACCCGAGGACCGGCCTCGAACCCTCCAGGCGTCGTGTCTGAAATTTTGGCCCTGTGACAGTTGCAGGCGGATGCCACCTTTTCCATTTTTCAGTGGCCCAGATCAGCAGAGGCTTTAAACTATGGCAACCATCGCGCTGCACACCTCGTGGTGTTTGGCCGAAACATTGTGACCGTCGAGGAGCGGCATAACATTAATGGTGTGGAGATAAGCTCCTTGCTCTCAGTCACTGCAAGTCTCAAGGCAGAGGAGAAGACTTCAGTTTCGAGCCTTGTTGACAGGATGTTGACCTCGCTGGAACTACGGCTGAGGGTGATCCTTGCCTGGAGGCTCCGGCACGTGCTGCCTGCTTTCCGAGCGATCGTCATCTCCGGTGCACCTGCACTCATCATGCACAGCGGTATACAGCATTCATGAGAAACCATGTGGCGGAGGCAGAGCTGAAGATCACGGCGCCGGCCACCTGGTCTTAACGTGATATGTGGTGGGTTGATGCAGTCGGCTAAGGAAGAGCTGACTATTGACGCTTGGGTAGGAACATCGTCTTGCCTGGAACAAAGTACTCAGATCACTCAACTTGTGGATCGATTCGGCATTCGGGTATGTGAACGGCTTAACATGATGCATTTGAGATAGGAGTTCTAGCGCCGACACGCTTGAGCTTTAGGACTTTGACCTTGCACTTTCAGCTCCTCAAAGGCAAAGACGGTGCAGTTCTGTGCTGGCGATGGAGGCTCAGCGCCCTCCATCACTCTGAAGCATCTCGTCAGTCACGAAGAAGAGTTTGGACTAGATCCGAACCTTTTCGCCAGCAGCCGCTACTGTAGCTACAGGTTTTGCGTTGAAAGGACACGCATGCTTGCTTGCAGCCTGTGCTGTTTCAAGCAGCCTGGCAGCGTCGGTGTTACACTGCCCGTTGTATACGCTGTAGTGCTTGCACCGTCAAGGTATGGTGAAATTGCCACGATATCCTGGCGGACGGGACAGCTGTCGAGCCCTGCAGCCGAGACTGGGCACAAAAGAGTCGCACGATTTCGTTACTTTCGTGACTTTCCTGGCACGCTGCAGTCCTGGCATGCCCCAAGGGGTCCCTCGGCACATCCCTCGGCCCCGTTGCCAGGAGACAGGAGGATGGCGGATCAGCTTGCGGCCTGTGCCATGAGATCGCCATGAGACCGGGGTGGTCATGTATGGTTTAGAATCTTCGTCAAGAGTCAAAGATGATGGATACCATGTCAGGCGATAGGTCGCCAGCAGGAACTTGAAGATCAACACATTATGACATTATGTCTGCAATTGTCTGTACGTTGTTATGGTCCTTTCGTGCGTTGGCCACGTCGCTTGGATAGCGCCTAAGCCCGCATAAGCTGGCAGGTGAAGGGCCTCCAGTACCTAGTACCTGTCAGTCTTACAGTTCTTGTAAGGTTGCAGTTCAGCTGCACTGCTAATACTGCTGCTAGTCAAGTCCGAGTGCTTTCCAAGTGGTTGGCGACTAGAACAACGGCAAAGCTGCGGGACAAGACCGCAGTTTGCTGCCTGTTGATACCTACCATGACTTGTTTGCGCTTTGCTTTGGTGATCTTCCGACTTCTCTCGACTTGTCTGACTAACACTGCTTCTTGTGAGCGATACTGACATCAGCAGCACAGCAGAGACAGAATGGCCCGAAGGTGCCTTCCTAAACTCTGCAGATGAAAACGCCAGCGACAGACAGAGCGCGTAACGACAACCATGTGTTGGGCAGACCTTTTCGTTTGGTGATAGTTTTGTCCTTGGCCCACGGTAAACTCAGAAGAAAGGCTCTGTCTTCGGTGACTGAAGGCGGTACTCTGAAATGGAGCCGCATTGATAACGAACATGTCTTTGTTTGTAAAACAAGAACGACTTTGCTCGGGGGGCGATCTAAGTCCACAATTATAAGCATTCCGATTCCTAGCAGTTGAAAGGTCTAATATGGTTATATGTAAGCTGCAGACTACATCCTAGAACTGGGCACAGAAGGAGCGCGCGCAGCATCCCGAGGAAGCGGCGCTTGTTTGTAGCAGTGTACAGTGGCATGTAGTTAGTAGTGGTGGATGGGTGAGACGTCTTGTGCATTACGAGTTGAATCGTGATCTGAAGGCTGCTCCGAGTTCCAGGAAGTTAGGGTGCCTCATGAGCATGAGTTCAAGCAAGGGCTTATGACTTGATAACGCACTGCCAATACCGCTAAGTTCAAGTTACTTCGGTACAGGACATCAAGAGCAAAGAAATGGGACAATGACATGTAGCTGATGAGCAACAACCTCTGCTCAGCAGCATGCAAACAAGGTTCCACGTACGTACGCAAACTCAAGTAGTCGCAATGGCTGAAGACGACCCGGCGCGGAAGATCCAGCAAGCATTCAGGAGGACGCACTCCAAGTCGTCTCATCATGTTACCATGCTTGCGGGGCACTCGTAAAGCGGCGCAAGCCGCTCTTTGTACTTCAGCTCCGTTTGCTCATGCATAGCTCCTACAACTTTTCTTGTGTAAAATGGCCGTTTTTGTCGCACGTAACTTCAACTTCCTGGACATTCTTGTTTCCATATACAGAGTTCTGCAGTGCTTTGCATGGGGTTGCAAGGATGCGAGTTCGATCGGAACAGCAAGAAGGCAAGGTTGCTGGCCTCTCAGCATATTCGCGAGCTTCGGCGTGCAAGGCAGCAAGGATGTTGCCATTGTGAACTTGGCAGGCTCGATGCTTGTGTTGTCTAGACTCCATCACCTACACAGTTGAACTGTTGCTTTTGCCCAAGACCTCCCAGCGGACGGGGCACCCTGGTGCTTTCTAGCTTGGCGATTCAGAGTGAGGTCGCGCGTAGACCATTTGCTGCGAGGTGACCAAGTTCTCAGCGTCCGTTGTGCTCCAGGCAGGCTTCGCCGTATGACCGTATGACGTTCGGTGTGAAAGTTGAAGAACTCAGCAATTGAGGCATGGCAAACCGGTTGAACCTGCTGTGATCAAGCTATGCCTTCCATGCCCACTATGCAAGCCTTCCGGAGAAACGTGAGCTATAAATGCCGGAGCTATGTTGCAGAGCTTCTCGGTACTGTGTGAGCCGAAAGCTGGTCGATTTGGCCTACGTATGCATGTATGCTTGCTGTGCACAGATGTCGGCCGAATGATAGGAAGCAAAATGAAATCACAGCCCAGGCCGCAGGCAATTTTTCTTCAGATTGCAAAAGACGATGCTCGTTCAAGCACGAGTCAGTGTCCTTGCTGTAGAGTGCGTTTGCGTGAAGTGTGGCCCGGCCGCAAGGTGGCGGTGCAACTGAGAGTTTTCCGTGCATTGCTGAGTCAAAAATTCCTTAAACAACACGAATACAGCAGAGGAATCGTTTTGAACTTTGTAGCGGCATCTTGCTACTGCTAATGCTTCTAGTACCATCATGACGCGGCACTGCTGCAGCTGCACATCTGAGAACACTCTTTCGGAGTCGATCGATGCACGGCTTGAATCGAAATCGTTTTTCTTTGATGTGCAGACTGGAATGTTCTTCGCGTGAAGAGGGAAGTTGCCAACGCAGTCAAGCCGCTGTGCTGAAATGATGCCACATACCAGCTCCACGTGATATTTCTCCTGGTTAGCGCATCGAATGCGTCCAACAGCTGAGGATTCCCTTGAACGAGGTTCAATTGGCCGCAGGCCCTCGAAAGCTGCGAGACGATGACGGCCTCGCCCAGGTTCCTGAACCGTGTCGCGCAGTGTTGTGTGGCATGGTTGATTGTCAGCCCGTCGGTGTGGAACCACATTGCCCTAAATAGTGTAGCCGCTGTGAGTTGTTTTAGGGCAGCAGTTGCCGGTTCAGGTTCGAGCCCATGTATGCCCCTGTTGCCGGGCTGTAGCAAGACGTAGCGTTTTTGTCACTGTAAAAGAATTTGATATCCGATATCAACTGATAGCTTTTGCTTCTCTTGCTTTTTGAGAAAAGTGTCTGTTTCTGCTGCTCCAGGTGTTGCAGCAGGAGGCTCCGGCCTTGACCCCGGATTCTACTACCGCCTACTGCGCATGAACTCCACAATTTGCAGAGTCCTGTAGTCTGTAGTCACTGAAGTCACTGTAGTCACTGAAGTCTGAAGTTGATGTCTGCCGCGCAAGGTCCTGTCGCAGCTTGGTCTGCAGATAGGGTTCATCACAAGATCACACAAGATCACACAAGATCCATGTCGTTTCCGATCTGGTGGGTGCACGAAGTGAAGCGATGAACAGAGCCTGTGAGGCACCCGCAGATACAGGTTTATGAGCTTTCAAAAACGAGTGTTCTGCTCAAGCGGTGTTGTTTCACGAGAGCCTTGCAGAGCAAAACCACCACTCACATCAGAAGTGCCCGAAGTGCGCTGGTGGGAGTTCAAACGAGTTCAAACCTGCCGAGGTTTGCCCGCGTCGAGTTTCGGGCCGTGGAAGACAACGCAGCATCCACGATAGCGCGTCTTTGGAGACACCGGCCCCGGCGGTGAGGCTACCGACAAGGTTTGTAAATGTCTAACATGTCTGTAAAACGTGTTGCCAATCCGATGATTGTCAAAGTCTGTCCTCATGGACACTGTGAGACTGTGAGATGTGGCGCGCTGCGTCACAGTCACACGAGGCTCTTGCAATTTGAGCCATGTCTCGGGCTCCCAGCTTTGCCAGCTTTGTACAGAGGCCTCGAGCAGAGCCGCAGGAAAAGAACTGCCGGCATGTTAACATATGTGAACTGGTGGCACATGGTAGAAGCTGGTAGCACATGGTAGCCCAAGGCCCGAGCCTTGCGATCAGTCCTGAGCCTGGGCAGATGTATGGGCCTGAGTTGCCACACATCTCCAAGCCCAACACCTAGCCGGCCTAGCCGTTTCGAGAGATCAAGCCCTCACACCCACACATCCTCTTGTTGTCAATCAAGCGGGCTGCTTCAGCGATCCACTAACAGCAGGCACACCGTGCACAGTCTCCATGAACAGACCCTGCAGAAGTCATATCATGTACATGCCGCGTTCGATCCAAGCGGAACTGCGCACCCCGACTAAGCACGGGAATCTCCACAGTCGTGCCGCCGTCCAAGTAGAATCTGTTTCCATGGTTCCCTGATGTCATCCTCATTCCCGGTTCCAGGAGCGCCAGGACATGCACGGAAATAACTTGGCAGGGGCAAGGCAACTCCCTACGTCACGTTTTGTGATCCATTGTGTTCGAGGATGGCACCGCAGCCGGCAACTTCAGCCAGGGTCTTGAACATTGGGCGGCTTCGGCTCCAGAATGCTCCAGAGTTCGATGCAGGCAAGGATGTATGGTGTCACCACATGCCCAGCGGTGTTCAGGAACTGCGCTTCAGAGGTTCCGTCAATCGTGGTTCGTGCCCCTCTCGGCCCCTCTCAGCTGTGGTGATTCGGATGAAAGAAGGAAGCCGATGAAGCCCAATTTTTTTTTCAGGAGGTCAGAGCGTGCATCGCTGCTCCTAGCAGAGTCTGAGTGCTGGCCCCAGCCCTTCGCAAGATTTTCGCAAGGTCGAAGAAATCCTTCTGAAGCATGAAAAGACATTCAGAAGACTTCCTCCTCGGCTTGCCTTGAGGCTTCCCTCCACTTTTGCCCTTGTGCTTTTTCTTCCCAGGCCGGCGCATTGGTTCTCACCGGGTGGACTCCGCGATCCTGCAGGGCAGGTGCACCTCGGCAGCCCTTGGATCATCTAAGTTCAAGTTCGTCACCCCATGTCGGCGTTTTGGCCTCTGACTTGCGAAGTTGCGGTGGATGCATGTTCCAGCGCTTCCTGGGGCTTGGTGCAGCCATGCATCGTGACACATGCAAGGCACGGAATCAGTGTTGATGACCTCCATGAGGCTCGTACACACGCATGTGCCAGTATGTAGACGCTGCCTCGCTCTTCTGGGGTGTGTAGATCTCTCAAGCCCAGGCTGCTCTCCGAGGAGACATTCAACTCGTGCACAAGTTCGGAGCCCTGGTGACGGGTACGGTAAGTCTTTTCAGACTCCTTCAGACTCCTTCAAGAAAGTGTGCAGACGCACGCGCGGTCCTGGTGCAGGTTCGTTGAAGCAGAAGCTCCCGTCAATGCTCCCCTGCGGGTTGCCGGAGGCGATGAGTACCTAACTCTGCTTCATGCCCGGAGCCTACAAAACTCATGAAACACGTATGAATGAACAGGATAACATGCAGGATTCGGCTATTCAACACCCTTGCTGAGACTCAGTCAGAGTAAGCAAGGTGATCTCAGCGAGGCCAACTCTGCCGAATGGTGGGCCTCCCTTATTGGTCGCTAGTGCCTTTGGCGAGCGTATGTCAACACTTTGACAGGGCCAGGAATCGCCTATGAGCTTATCTATGGGAAGGCTTCTTGGCGCAGCATTTGGAGACCAATGCAAGCAAGGTTGTGACCGGTGCAGATTTCTTGCAGGCCAACCCCAATGCTCGCAGCACGTTGGGTTCCACGCCGCAGCCCTGACATGCTTTCTCCTTGACATGACTCGCGGCGCATGCCGAAAGAAGCCTCTAGACGGTCGTCCCCCCGATTCGAAAGAGATTAGAGCACGCCCGGTGTGCGGGGAGCCTCCCCCTGAGCCTGAGCCTCACAAGAACAAGAAAGACAGAGAACACGCAGCACAGGGGATTGCCCCTACGAACTAGAGTCGCAGCGAGAGCACGTCGCCGAAACAGTTGACGTATATTGCCACATAGGCAAACACGATGCCACTTTTCAGATTATCTGACACGACATAAGGCAGCTCGAATAACTGAGTTGTATTCGTGGCTGGAAGACTCCCGCACTCTGCTTAAATTTCGGTCTCGCAGCCAGGATATCCTTCGTACGAATCAAGAGTACGAACTAGTTAATGTTGCACGGGCTTTAGTCGGTAGGCCCCCCGCCTCGCCCCCCCAAACAAATCTGCAACCCCCGATAAAGAAATGCCCCCGGAGCCCCCCAAACTCCGGCTGGCGCGTGGGGCCACCTGTCACGAAATTTGGTTGGGCCTCGTTTCGTAATGAACTCCAACAAGGCTTTAGATGGAACCGGCCAAGCTTAGCTTCCACGATTCTCCGGGCTGTCCCCGGAACAAATCTTGTGATAATGGCGGGTGCCCCAACAAACTGCGCTCGCAGAATAATTTTTCCAAACTGGTGATTATAGACCCTAGAAATATTCAAACCAGTGCAACATACCCTCCAGGGCTTCCCTACCATTCGCGTGGCCAGGCTGATGTTCGCTTGCTTCCACAAGAACGTGGCGCTTGCAGAGGACTTCCAATGATTCTTGGAAGCGCTCGGCAGAGGGCACTGCCTTGTGTCCGCCAGGTTTTGTTGGAAACGGGTGCAGATCCAGATGCTGCTTGACACCTGGAGTCTTTGCGCATGAGATGCACTGCATTTCTTCAGAACATAAGCTGTGCAGGTGGATGATCATGGCAAGACGGCCCTTCGCTATGCCACTGCCTTGTGTCATCCGACATGCAACCTTAGAGAATGCTCCGAAGTTCTTTGCAGGCCGTTTCCCTGCAGAAGGCATCGGAGGGTGTTCTGGTGTGTTGGAACTATCCGCTTCTAGCAGCGTCTGTTGAAAGGGTGAGCCAGATGAGGAAGAGAGGAGTGTCCATGTCTTAGCTTCATCTCGAGGGCACCTGCTTCGCATCCTCTGTAGTCTCCCAGGCCCAGCTCATTGAAGTATTGGAGGAGCATGGAGGTGATCTCGACAAAGGTGGAACACTCCCGCCGATTGCAGAGGCCGTAAAGACTCGCAAGCGGAGCTTTTGTTTGAGTAGCCTCACCGTGCTCGCGGGCACTATCGAGGCGGTGCTTCAAGATAACGGCACAGCAGCACCTTTGTCGCAAATGTGTGCTGAGCATTCCGGATGCTGGTGAGTGGGGAGCGTTTGCCAGAGGTCACTCAGCTTTTAGAGCTGGGAGCTGCGTGGGGACCTCAGCGAGCAGTTGAACCAGTTTGGTCAAGTTGCTCTCCACCGTCTTTGTTTGGATCTACATGGCAAATTGAGGCATGCAAGACTCGTTTCCTTGCTGTACTCACAAGGTCAGATGGTCTTGTCCACGCTGTTCCAGATAAGCCGCTGAAAGTGATCAAGGCACAAGCAAGAAAACATTGGTTTGATCCATTTTGATGATTGGTGCCTCCCGAATTTCCCCTGGCCGCTGTGAACGCCAGTGTGCAGGAGCTCATCCGTGGGGGAGCAAACCCATTCGCACAGAACCCGGACCGCACAGTGACTGTACACGAAGAGGTGTGGCACAATTATGCGTGGCATAATGATGGCATGACGGCATATTTTTTGAGACAGCGAAAACATGCTGAACTCAGTGGAGTTGGGTGTTGTCTGAGCATGCAGTGCATGTTTAGCCCAGCTGCGTGCTTCTCTGCGGAATTCCTGCTGCGAGACACGATCCATGTCGTTGAGAAGCATGACAGCTAGTTCATGACATGAATGACATTGTCTGTCCGCGAGGACGGTCAGACTTGCATGGAGTTGGCAGAAGACCGGGGTGACAAGGCTTTGCGTTACTACTGCGTTGCACTCCTTGATACAAGTCTCCTTCGACGTTCGAATTCGGAGCTTGGAGGCTGTGATTGATTGCCTGCAACACTACATTGCCGAATTGGAGAGGTGCAGTGCTTAGTAATCAATGTGATTCCAGGCTGGGCAAGGTCCATCAGCCGAACTGCATGGGCTGCAACGCAGCAATGTAGCAATGTAGCAATGCAGCATCTTCAAAGGCGGCTTAGGGTTTAGGGTGTCCGTGCCATTCACATCCATCCACACTTCTAGCAGGCATGTTGTTTGTAGGTAGATCTCCTAAGGCCAGATGCACTCCTGGTTGGTCACCTGTGCCTGGTCTTACCTTGGCAGTCGAAAGCCAGCTGAGGTGTCGAAGCCGCCACCTGAAGTCGAAGCTGCAGCAGCCCTATCTCGGTGCCATTCTGTGCGTGCTAAAATTCATCACAGAGTCTCAGAGGCAGTTCGAGGAAAACACTCTAGCTCGGAGAGTCAGGCGAAGCTTCTTTGTGCATCAGCCAGAGAAATGCAGCGTAGGAAGAGGTTCAGCTTGTCACAGGCGATCTCAGGTGCCAGGAGCGTAGACATTGGTGCATTGGAAGGAGTCGGGGGGCGGATGGACACCTCCCTCATATCCATCTACGTCGAGTCAAGATGAATTATTCCAGTAAGCCCTTGAGGTTTAGCTACGACAGTCAGTGGCCATCTGCAAGAGCCAGGGAGCACTCTCAGGTGGGATGTGCTGGTGAGCTGCTTTCTGCTTAATCAGCGGCAGTGGCGCCTGACTTCGAAAGCAGTGTCGCTGACTGTTGGGCTCGCTCACAATGGACTCCATGGACGGCATCAGTCGACAGTTCAACCCGCCCCGAACGATGTCCATGCCCAGCTGTTAAAGGACGTAGGCGTTGGGTGTAAGGCAAAAGAGAACTCCCATGAACATGGACTTGAGTGAGAGTGTGTTGAGTTAGCGGCCCGGTGACTGCATGACTCTTGTGTCTCCTCATGTCTCAATACAATCAGCGGCCGCGGCTTAATGGCCTGTTCGGTGGCGGCTCGTGCTGTTGCATCGCTGCTGTCTGCAGGGGACCTTCAGGACTCCATCGCCGGACCAACATTCACCAACTCGAGCAGAATCACTAGCCCGGTTGCGTTCGTGATTTTCCGAACGATGTTTTGCCAAGATTCCTTTCTCAGATCCTTTAAGACCTTCGAGGGCTTTGGGCAGCTGCTGTGCATAGCTGTGCTAGGGTGCAGAAATGTGCTGGGAATGGTTGTGCAGAATGGTATAGACGGTGTAGAACATTGTAGAACGGGCCCTGAGGACATTGAGGCGCTTCTCAAGTCACCGAGACGGATGTGCCAAGCGTGTCCTTGGCAGAAGGAGGCATCCAGGCCGCACTTCGAGTGTGCCACGCGACCTTTCCGCTTGGAGAGCCACAGCAGCTACAGCAGCTACAGCACGCAGCTTCGCGCGCCCGTGCCCGCGGGGCCCGCGGGACCCGCGGGACCTGCGGTACCCGCGGTACCCGCGGTACCCGCCATGGTGCCGGTGACAGGCCCCGGAGAGCTGTGGTCCGAACTCCAGGATGCTCGCTTGCGCGTGGAGCGCCAGGAAGCCGCCATGGCCGGAGAGCGAGCCGAGACAGATGCGGTGATTGACGATCTAAGGGAGCAACTGCACTTGCGGATGCTTGAGCTCCAGGACGTATCGGCCCTGAAAGAGCATACCTCCTTCGAAAACTTAGAGTTGCAGGAAATGGTGTCCCATTTGCATCTGCAACTGGCCGAAAAGGCAGAAGAAGTGCGTGATCTCCAAAGCAGAGTCGGCTCTAGTTCTGTGCTTTCAAACCCCAGGGAAGCTTCGACGAGGAGGATAGCAGTGGACACATCTCAGGGGACAGCTCTGGGTAGATGTGAAGACCGTGAGGACCGTGAAGAGCGAATGCGGGCACTGGAAGCACTGCTGGACTTGCAGGAACACAGGATGTGCCGACGCACTTCAGACAGGCACGAAAGAGGCGGCCAAATAGTGCGAGCAGTGTTCGCAACGTGGTGCATGCGCACGGCCGCATCCTCGGCCGCCATTGCGGAAAGAGCAAGGCTTCGAGCCCACGGTTTGGAGCGGATTGGACGTGCTGTCGCTTCCCGGCGCCAAGCTCTTTCCCGTGCGACAGTTTTTTTCTTGCGTGCTTTCAAAGCCTGGGCTTCGGTTTCGAGCGTTTCGATCCGGGAGCCGTTTAACAAGGCCAGGGAAGCTGAGGGCGTGCTCAGACTGGGCAGATTCTTCCGAACTTGGCAGCAGCTGGTGACGACGTTGTCCTCTCTGAGAAAGTTGAGATGGATGGAGCCCTCAGCCGTGTGCGCTCCAGAATTCGCTGCAGGTTGGCAGGGTTCAGCTTCCCGCGTGTACCGCGCGGTGTTGCTGCCCTCGCCGCAACATGTTAATGCTCCCGAATCATTGGGCATGCGCAGTTCGCCCTCTGGCCGAAAATGATCGATACTTCCAGTTCCAATTCGCATCAGGACATGGAGGACAGGTCCAGATGCTTCTGTAGTTTTCGCACGGCCATACCTTGCACTATAGTCTTCAAGCATATGGCGACTATGTTGCGGCATCGTGAAACCGCTGCGCAGTGGCTGGCCTCGGGGCACTCCAAGCAGAGCGTTGAGGCGCTTGAGGCCTGGTGCTGTGAGTGTGATGGGCCGTGCAGCGATGTACCACGCTGCGACAACATGAATTACGCGACTGGCTTGTGGCCTTCAAGGCCCTTCAAGGCCTTAAAGTCGAACGCTTGGATCCTCCAGGAAGATATTGTCCTCTCCTTGGACTTGCCCTCCCCGGAGCAGAAGCGCGCGGCGCTCCTCCGCTTCCAGGCACCGAGATACCATGAGAGATAGCATGAGATACTCATACAGCGGAATCTCTGTTGTGAGTTGTCCTCCTGTTCTTGATTCCGCGAGGTCAAACTGCTGTTGGGCAACCCCGTGTTTCAGGCGGGGTGATGACTACACCCTGCGATTCCAAGGGTAACACACACCGTTTGCACCAGGCCGTGTTGACCACAAACCTAGTCCTCGCCCTCTTCCTGCCAGACTTCTGGGTCATCCTCGTGCCCTGGTTGTGAAGGGGAGGGCGAGACCTCTTCAGCACATTTTTGAATCCGCATGCCTCACGTTCCTGCTACTCGTATCAGAACAAAGGCGATGCAGGGTCGCACGGCCTTGGACGTTGCCCTCGTCATGATTTTCTTGACTTTTGCCGGCGGCCCACTCGTCAGGCTTGAGCTGCCGCTGTGTATTTACGTTGTACGAATGCTGAGTTAAGGTCATTGAATTCATTGCGCATGTCATCTCATTCCCGTACTCATACCCCGGCTCGTTCGGCACTTGGTTGATGTACAGCGACAGATGCATTCGTCGGCTGATGTCGATGGCAGCAAGAGTGAGTTGTGGCAGCCGAGGTACACTTTCTGGACAGACGTAATTAGCATGTTGTCTGTTCCGCTGGACTTCTCCGTGGTGGCAGATAACTTCGTTGGCCTTTTCGAGGACGCTCCAGATTGCCAAATGCCAGCAGAGCCACAGCACCAGGCATAATCAGTGCCTTTGAAAACATCTCGACAGGGCTCAGGGCTCGCCCGCATCACGAAGTTTGCAAAGTTGAGCGCACGTGCTGTGCGCCTTTCAAGGTAGCTTCCTCATGGATGGGGAGGGTGGATGAGGGTGTCCTCATGTGCTGGACAACTGAGATTGGCACCGAGGCTTGCAAAATTGCTCCGCTTCCTCCCGGGCTCGCGCACACAGCGCGAGTTGGAGAGGAGCCGTCAAGGCAAGGCCATTACGCGCTAGCAGAGACATTGGTGTCACCTTGCAGTGCTAGGTCCAGCCAAAGAGATATCGCTGGCCACATCCTCAATGCAAGTCCTCCATGACACTCCATGACTGCGTTCGGATCGGGTGTGTCCTGCTGATACTCCGGGGCTGTTGCAAGGAATTGATGGCTGATCTGTCAATCAAGGCAGGTCTTAAATTGAATGCCACAAATATGTCGAGCGCAGCAGCGGCTTGATTCCAGTAAGAACCAACAAGAATTGCAGGTGGCCATGCTAATTATCGCCTTGGTGCTGATTCTGCCCTTGATCGACTTTTTCAAGTATCCTCCGCAGGGGTTCCTGGTCAGCTGACGTCTTGTCCTTGCGGTGCTTTGGATCATAGTTCATGAGAATTCATTCATGGCTTGCGATATCTTCCGACGGCTCGCAGGGACGACAACTCCATGGCTACTTGGACTAGCCAACTCTACTGGACGTCAAAGCCCGAACCTTGGAATTGCTTCGATGCAATCTACGACTCTACATTCTTTGCAGGTGTTCGGATGTTTGTCATATCCGGTTTGTAAGGACACATCCAGAAGACGCGATGGCGGTCGGGGGCAGAGAGTAGTCTGACAAGCTCAGCAGATGCCCTGAAAGAGTTCTGGAGACTACTCTCAAGGTCATCGAGGACATGAAACAATTCTACAGCGTAATGGCCTTACAATACACGACTCAGGACTTAGTCTGGCGTTGTAGCAAGGTCATTGGCAAGTCCAGCTGACTTGCAGCAAGGCTTTGGAGTATTATCCCTTCCAAGTGATGTACTTTATCAATGGCACGCAAATTTCCTATGACCTCAGCTCAGTTCTGTGTCGACAGTTCTGGAATGTATCTGTGGGGGATATGAATACATAGTCGATAATCTGGTGTGAGGTGCTCGAAAGCGCAACTGCGAGGTGCTTAGAGATTCTTCAGGTTTGGAGCATGTGGCGTCTCAAAGTCTCAGACGATTCAATACTCAATTGCCAGAAAGCCACCCGAACGCCGCGAACGTCTATCAGCATCCTATGCTGACATGCTGCACGGTATTCAAATGACCGTATCACGTCGGTGCAGCGTGTGCGGCCTGAGGCCCCTATGAGAGAGGACGATATTGTGACCCTGGAGAAGGAGGATGCCTCAATCAAGTTCAATTTCAGGCCGGGGCACAGAAGCGCTTGCCCCCCAACTATGTGTGCAAAGGCAAAGGGAGGGCTTGTTCGGCTTTGTGTGGAGACTTGGAGTCTATTATTTGGATAACTGGGTTTAACTTTGAACGCTGTCATGTGTTTTGGCCCGATCTGCCCGTTCAAGTCTCGAAGATCAACTAAGTTCAATCACCGCCAGTCTTATGAACTTGTGTCTGGTGGTCGATTGCTAGCTGATCAGAGCGGGGCTTTTGCACCCAGGTACTGTGGGAGCCCGTGTGCCCGAACTGTGCAGGGTGGTCCTGTCCCGGGTCCCGATTTGAGTCGGCATCCCCAAATATGGCCGAGGGTCCTTGGGCCAACACTTTAGTTTACGGCGAGATTTGTCAATTCAAGCGGAATCGAAGGCCTACCCCAAAACTGACGGCATTTCATCTCTGTGACTGCAGTTTGACGTGGCTGAGATCATCACTTTGACAACTGTGCACAGGACACCCATCCTAGCCGAAGCTGTGCTTAACGATTCCCGGCAGCATTAAGGAGTTCGAGGTGAACGTCTCGAGAATAAGAGAGTGAGTTGGCTCTGTCAGCATGAGGTTGTGCTGATGTTCGTCGTGATACTGGTGATTTTTGCACTGGCCCCAGTTCAGGAAGGAATCGTAGCAGCTTTTGAGCGGTCTACATCCATATATCCCACAACTTGATTAATTTCCATTCACTTCGCGCAAATGGGCAGAATCTCCATTCGATCGGATGAGCCGTAAGATTTTGATCAGACGAAACAGTAACAGGATGTGCATAGAGTTTTCGGTAGGCTTGGGCGTGCATGCATCACGTCTGCATTCAACGAATATCGGGAACTGCAGCGCGCTGATGCCACAGCACGTGAAACCGTGCCCCAGAAAATCTGGATGTCGGTGTTCCAATGCATTACCCGGCAACGTCACGCAGCCTTTCAGAGTGGCGCTCTTCCGTTCTGGTCTCTTAAGAGCTTTGCCCAATATTTCACCTCGCATGCGCATGGTCACGTGAAACTGACGACTCAATAGTTCAGGTTGCATCTGGGGGCGTTGCTTCGGCAGTGACCTACACTGCGTCGGTCCCAGCTGATGGAACAATTGCACCCACGATGGTGCTGAATTTCTGAATGCTCTCGCCCACAGCTTCAGCACGCCAAGGTGCTGTCCCCGGTGGAAGATCTTCTGGAAATTGCCGCAGACTGAAGCATAACCAGCGGAAGTCAAGCAAACCGAAAAAAGGCTTTTGCCGGCTTCAGAAGCTACCTGGTGCCAGAAGCAAGTGCCGAGGTGCATTCTACTGCTGTGAAGATATTTGATTCGGTGGAGCAGATGGCCATTTACTTTGTAAAGGCTGGTGGTGGGAATGCTGCAGCACGGTGGCTTGCGACACCTGCGCAACCCCGCAGGATTACTCAAATCAGCAGAACGTGGAGATCGAAGCAGAGGCCGATATGCCATGCTCAGATTGCCCTTGGTGACCTCTCTCACGAATTTCAGACTTCGTCATGCTCCTGTGAACCTGCGGAGGATGTGAGTAAGAATCGCTTCTCTCACGAAGTGCGCTTGCTGGCGAAGGCCAGCGAAGCCTGCCATGCAAAGATGTTAGCTGCTAGCCATTGTTTGTTCATTTTGCCTCTCTGCCTTTTTGTGTTGACAGTCGTGGAGTCCACCTGAAAGGTTCTGAAGAAGCTGGACCTGTTGACTCTCATTGCCAATGCGAAGAGACCAGTGGACGAGTTTGAGCAGTTGGGTTGGATACTCAGCTTGTTCGATGCCAGGTGCGAGTCGAATGTGGATCGAGTTTCTGGCCACTGCAGGGGATGGGCCATGTGCTTTCTTGCCAGACTATGCGACGTGGCCTGGCAAGCAACGAACTAACGCTAACGAATGAATGGTGTGTCTCTCGGAGAGAGGGCGAGCGTGCGCCGTGCACAAACCGCATCGTCGCGCTTGTGCCTGCTCGTATGCTACAAAATTTTGATTTTGTTGAGTTTTTTATGTTGTTTCAATGCCTAGGTTTGTTTGGTTGTAATGTGTTATAGTTTTTGTTGGGCTTTTGATGGGTCGGCTGCAATCCCAAGTAGAGGAGATACCCCAAAAGGAACCACTAGACCAAGAGGGCCAATAATATTTGAGTGGTCCCTGATTCGTCGTTTTTGGGTGTGGGGCCATAAATCCTGTGAGACCCGAATCTGTGCCTTATTGTTGTATGCACCATTTCCAGTCGAGCGCACGGCGTTCGTGGTGCGTTTCGGTCCGCCGATGAATCTCCCTTAACATCTTGCCGCGCTTAGGCCCCTTCTCGGAGTGCTTGGAGTGCTTTAATTTGAATTAGTTTGAATTAGTTTGGATTGTGGAAGAGTGCTGGATCTGTCAAGTGTCCAGGGCATGAAAGCTTCTCCGGGAATGGTGAGGTACGCAGCTGCCAGGCACCAGCGTACACTGCCTCGCTCCGTGGCCTGGCAGAATTTCTTATGAGATGACTTGCAAGTCTTTGCGTCACTGCGGATGTCTCTTCACGAGCATAAGACCGCAGGAAGCTGAAGCCGAACGCGAAGAAGACGAGCTTCCCATGTCATCCCGGGCACGTTTTACTGTTTGGCTTCATTGCCTTGATTCGGTGGCGATGGCATGTGCTCAGCTTTGCAGGCTCATGGAGAGCATTGGACTAGAACTTGGTCCAGTGCCAGTCTTACACAGATTGAGCTGCATCGTGTTGGATGCCACGCCCCGTTTTTTACTTTCTGCCTGAGTGTCCAGGCCGAGATCTCGCGGCGTGACTTTTTTTCGTGGGAGTTGAACATCGCAGAGCTGAATGCCCGGCTCAGTGCCGAGAGGGTTCACTGAGGATGCGCAATCTCGATCTGGTGTGTCTCTGTGTGTGTGCGTGCGTGTGCCAATTGCAGGTAAGCGATGATAGTTGTCTTTGCCTGGACCAGTCTGGTTGGACAAGATATGTCTTAGTTAGCACATGAGGAGCTACGTTGAAAACAGTGTTGTACAAGGATGTTACTAGCTAGCTTCCACATTGACCCCAGATCCCAGAGAGTCAAGCACTCTAAAGCCATGCAACACCCTCGAATACTTTGAGTCCACCGAAGGCACGAACACTCGTAGCCTGTTGCCCCGGGGGCTTCTGAGGCAGCGAACTGCGCTTGCACGCTGTCTAGTCACAATGTTCGACACATCTCCGGGGACCCGGCCTCGAAGATTGACCGACCAGCTGTTTCTAGCGGCGCTCCAGACTGACTGCCCAAGGTTCGAAGACAGGCAGGTGGTCAGTCTGACCAGATACACCTGCCACTGTGACTTCATCAAGGCTTGCACCACGATGTGCTTTCTGGAGTCGAAATCATGAAAGCAATCTAGGATTTCGATGCATACTGGTTGCGCTCGGGCAACAATGTGCTGTTCGAACAGTTGGGAGTGTGTTGGGGATTGTTGTGGTATGTCGAAGTCGAGTTGCGAAACTTTAGTGTACAAGAACAACAAACTGCAAATGCTCTCGTGCGCTGCCTCGGCAGCCGGTTCAGCCCAGGCTGTAATCATGAAACTTGGATGAAGTGGCGGGAGCTACCGACTAGTCAAGAAGGCAGCAATGAAAGGGTTCTCCCACCACGCGGGTCCTCTGTAATAAGTATCCCGGTGCAGCTCACTGGGGGCACCAGGCGGTCCCAGGGCGGTTCACCCTCTGCGCGCCCTCGCCTCTCCCAACATCATCAGATTGCAACTGCCCCAAGCAAAAGTTTGCCGGTTTGGCAAGAGAGAGCGGAGGAGGTCGGCGGGCGGGTGTTTGCCACGGTTGGGGTGAAGGGGGAAGGAGACCAGATTGTGGTCTGCTTGTTGCAGATGCCGGCCGGCCAAAAGCCGAGGCGAATACACTGGCCGTAGAATGACGGCCTAAGAATGCGTTGAAGCGCCGTTTCTTTGATTGTCAACATAAAGAGAGCATTGTTTCGTCCATGTTGCCAGCAGATGATGATTGTGGTGGGACCAGGCATTAGAGCATCAGTTCGAAGATGAAGAGGCAGGATTGATTCGCAGATTTCCAAGCACGCAGCCCCCCTTCCCCCCCTACCACCATCCGCCACCCCCCTTCGACGCTGGATCAGGTTGTTCCCTTTCACAACTGGATTCACGCAGCTGCGAGCTGAGGGAGAATTGTTAGGACATATCAGGATTATAGTATCCGTCAGACCTAGGCTACGGATGGCTACGGTTACTATTTTTCAGCTTTTGAGTTTTCTGAGGTCGATGTCGCCTTCTCGTTGCATGTGGTTTTTCATGTCGCTTCTGCTCGGGCCCTGGCTGCCCAAAGCAGCAGACAAGACATTGGCTTCCTAAAGTACAGGACAAAGCGTGTGTTACCCCCTTCGGACTGGACATCTCTAAGGCATCCAACTTTCTTGCCCTGCATGAGCGACATGCCATCGTCTCAGTCGCACGCTACGCGCTGCATTCAGTGGCCGCTCAGTCGTGGGCATGCGCAGAACTGACTTCCTAGGCTCTCATGCTTGCAGCTCTCGCTCATGATGTTGGACATTTTGGCAGCCCCAGCGTGCTTGTGTGCCAAGGGCCGATTGTCAATTCACAAGCGTCCCAGCATACTGATTCAAATCGTCAATTCATGGCCAGGCGTCAACAATGGTTTTCTGCGTGACTCCAGCCATGAACTAGCTCTGCTCTACAACGACCAGTCCTGCTTGCAGAATATGTCGTGTGCGAAGTCCCTTGGCAAATCTTTCGGGACATCGACCTCGAAGATGCATGTACTAACTCATGTTGTTGCTTGGCGTTCCAAAGCCTAAACGGTTCAATTTGCCGCGACGGACAGAACATAAAGAACGCGCTTGGAGCCTCTTACTAACGCCTTTTGGCCCTGAAATCCAGCCCAGGGATGCTGCTTGGGCTTCTCATGCCCGACACCCCTAGATCCTGTGGCAAACAAACGGCGGTCAAGCGCCCCCCCCCCCCCCCTTCCCCTCAACCGAGCGCAAGACAACTGCAGCACATGTCCGGCAACCTTCAAAGCATCCGCAAGTAAAACAAAAGGAAAGGAAGGAGGGCGAAGGACTACCGGGCCTTTGGCCTCCATGGCTGCAGAGCACAGGGCCTTAGATTAATTAGATTAATTAGAAGCAACGAACAAGGCTATCAAAGCTTACAGCCATCGTGCCAGCGAGGGGCTCGCTTGATTTGTCAACGACACTGAATGGCAAGAGGTTTGGGCGAATTCCGTAGCCTCCAATGCCTTCTAGTGTTCCTCAGCTGCTCCCATGTCGCAACGCTTCAAAGGCTCTTCCGCCTGGCAAGCGAGCCTGACACGCCGCTTTTCAGCAACTTTGACGAGCCCACTCGGCGAGACGTTCGCCAGGCACGGCACCAAGTCTCATGGAAGTGCATGTAGCAGACTGTGGGCCATGTGATGCTGACAACTCAGGTTATCGTTAGTGCAATTCTACACTCTGATCCGGCGTCTGCGCTTCAGAGCCAACTGCTGATGTCTCCACTGTGAGATTATTGGGACTTGTACAGAGACACCTGGACCTTGGTCCTCATTTGTCTGCCCAAGGTGCCACATGTCTCTCATGGCGCACATGTCAGTCCGTCACGCTTTTCCGGAGCAAACCTGCATCATCCTGTATGCGTAGCCATGCTCAAGTGAACTTGCTCTCTTGCCCAAGCAGTGGTGTTTCGCTCATGCAGCGCCGATACTGTAGGCGCGTTGCAACAAAGTCCAAGAGAGCCCTCTTGCAGCCAGGTTGCGGCACTATGGGATTCGCCAAGACCTCTTCGAATACATCCACCAGTTGCTCAGGATGGCTTGGGCCGGTTTAGCACCAGTTCTGTGATGCGACGCGCAGTGCAGGGAAGACAAGGAGGAGAATGCAGAGGTATTGGCCAAAGCAAAGACAGAAGTGGAGGCGCTCGAATGGCAACCACCTGCAGCGCAGCATGTCTTCCTAGACTTCCAATTCCTGGAAGCTGCTCATAGCTGCCGTTCGCAGGAGTACTTTTGGAATGCAGATGTGAAGTATACGCTTCGGGAGATGCTGGCGGAAACTTGCTGTCCTGACATTCTCGCGCGTGTCAGAAAGAGTGCTCTGGTGCCAGAACTTTTTGCTGAACTTTGTGGACAATTCACATTCCCTGAAGCCCTGGGAGATATGTTCGACTTGGGCCTGAGACTCAAAAGGTTTCCACATGTGGCGACTTGTCACCTTGTGTACTGCGAGTGTACTGCGAACACACAGTGGCGTTTGCATCGACCTGCGTCTTTTTCAGGCGGCACGTCTTTTCGAGGAGTTTTTCAAGCAGGTGCGCTGCCAGCCATGACGAGGTCGTATCGTCCATAGTTTGTCCATAGCTTTCTTTCTGCAGGGTGACACGGAGCGGAGCTGCAAGATGCCGATGCAGCCTCTGAACGATCGGGTGCGGGTCAACGTGCCTTTTGCGCAGGCCCGGATGTGTAGAACTCTTTTAGGGCGATTGTCCAACTTGCAGATGCTCCTAGCAGCTCCGAGCATGCATATGCAAAGTGTCCTTTTTCACATCAGGTTACGTACATCAAGCATCTGGTCGCACCGCAAGCAATTCTGCTTGTCAAGATGCTCCCAGCCATGCGCGAGTGTCGGGAACCACAGGGGGAATTGCATGGAATTGCCACATCTTGCCTGGAGGTCCTGCCTTCGATAAAGTTACAGCTTTGTTGCTCAGGCACCGTCTCCTTGTGGAGCAACCTTCAAAGGCGACGTGCGCTTCTGTACGGTCTCGCACACTGACCGAGCCTTCCGCCGCGACTCTTTCATTTTGGCCGGAGGTGGGCTTCAAAGTGGGAACGGAGCGGCCCAGACCATGACGAGATGCAAAGGGCCTTGCGCTAAGCTAAGGGTGAAATCTGCAACATGCGCAATCTTTGGAGAGCCAAGGTCCGTAAAGAAATCCGAGAGCTGCATGAGGAGGCTGACGAGGTGCACAAGTGTTTCCGAAGCTTGTGCAGTGAAAAGCTCCGAGCTATGTCTTTGCCGTCATAAGGAGGAGGTGGAGGTGGTGCCTGTCAAGACGGAGATCAGTGAAGCCGCATCTGATCAACGAAGAGGGGGTATCAGCGAATGATAATGAATCGTTGCTCCCGCCGCCGCCATTCGAGTTTCGCAGCACACAGCGCTTGTTCGTTCTTCGTGAGATGGAGATGAGCACTTTATTGGCTGGGGGAGGGGGGCACTGTACACAATGTGCATGGGCTAAATTTGCCTGTAGAGTTTTCCGCTCGTCGAATAGCGATGGGACAAAATCTGCAGACAGACTTGGCTTGGTGTAGCGCTGTGACTTCGCATTGATCGACTGGAGAAGCTGCTGTTGTTCTCCGGTCGTTTCTGAGGCTGCTCAAAAATAGTTCATAAATCATGATAAACCACTATGTATACTACACGCGTGCATGTACGTGCAAAGCAGACTTTCGAGCAGAAGAATTGATTGAAAGTTTTTGCAAGGCGTCTTGCCGTAGCATCTGCTGAAATTGCTGAAGCAAGGCATGGGAAGCATGTCCTTTGACCGTGAAAGCTTGTTCTGCGAAAGTTGGACCGGACATGAATGTAAACAACGCAATTGGATTTAGGCTAGGCGTGCCCTGGGGCGCTATGTCGCCAAGTCCAGATGATACATGGAAGGCGAGTGCAGACGCTAGCTTCAAACCTCGTGCTGCACGCTGCGACTTGAATCGGGAGTTGACCATCATCATGCAATGCCAATGGAGAGTTTTGCAAGATCCGTCAAGCAACAAATGTCAGATGCTGCCGGCATGTCTGTTTGGAGAAGCATTGATTGCCTGTGGGAGGTTCCACCGAACACAACTTGGAGCGCCATGATCTCGCAAGAGGCAGTTCAGCTTAGTTCAGCAGGAAATGTACCACGATGTTCCACGCCAGTAGCGCAAGGAGGTTTACTAATTGGCTTTTTGCTGCTCTCGATGGCAGGCCGATGCAGATGCAAGTCCGCAGAAGGCGATGAGCTTGACTCGGTCTCCATCAGTCCACCTTCAAGTCTTCACACACCATTAAGCTCCAATCCAAATCCTCCCACGCAGGGCGTCGCGCAGAGTACGAACCTTTCCCCGAGAGAGGCGCCTACCATCTGTTTTATGTGCAAGTGAAGGTGATGAGCAGCAGTCCTTGCTCTCTAGTATGTGGTACCTTACAGGAGCCATCCAGATGGAAACTTCTCATCGTTGTCATCGATTGCAGTTATGGACCGCGGCTGCACAACCCACCGAGGTCGGCCTTCACTTGACGGATCGAACAGTTTCCGATTAAGAGCTGTTTACCTTGCTGTGGTTGGCCTTGGGTTGAGCCTCTACCGGTTTTGGGGGGCCCTCGCCATTTGCGAATCTCGTATTCGCAGGTCGATCCGTGCGCTCAAGGCCAAGCTGGCTGCTGCCCTCGGCATTGAGGTGAGTGCACTCCGTGCAGCTACTGATTTGCTGTGGACATGCCTGGCAGATTTCTGCAGCACTAGCCTTCGCACTTAATTCTAGATGGAGAGTTTTGCTGAGTACGCTTAGGCCAGTTCAAAGTTTGAAGTGGAAGCAGCAGTAGAAGAAATGTTCCTCAGAGTCTTTGTCAGCTTTTTCTACGAGTCTGGCCTGGAAGGCACTGTCGAAGCAATCTGGCACCGGAGCCGAGGCGACGATCGACTTGAGACTCCTGTCCTGCGCTGTACCTTATAATATTATATATTATTATACTATTATATTGGTATACTATTGTATTAGTATGTAAATACATTAGTGTATTAATATATTAAACTTTCCGCCCTTGCATCCTCATGATGCCCTCATGAGGCAGCATCTGCACAAGCGATCGTTACGGGGATTGAAGGGCCCCAAAGGCATCTCATTGAACAGGACTGCCGTGCGTTCTGATGTCTTTGAGGGAAGTCGGTCGGCAGGGGGTAGATCGCACGCCCGAGTTTTCAAAGTTTGGGGACTCTCACAGGATGATGACCTATGCGGCTTCTGGGATAGAGTGCGGTGCCAAGACACAGAGCTGTTTCGCTTTCAATTGTGGATCTCCCTCTTTTTTGCCATGAGGTAGCGACCAATCCGGGCGTCTCTGAGGCGGATGCGGAGGAGGCCTGGCAAGATGGCCTGGCTTCGGCTCTTCTTGAGATCGTTTGAGATCTTCTGAGACGAAAGTTGGGTAGGTTCGCAGAATCAGCAAATCGCTGACAGCCAGTGGCTCAGATTTCAGGGCCTGGGCTCCTCTCTGGCTACTTGTCAGGGCAGTTCTTTGGCAGGGCGTGATCTTGGGACTGAGGTTCCCTCTCCATCTCTGCCAGGAACCTGGGGATCGCCCTCAGCTCAGTTCTGCGCGGCAGACAGTGGGTGCTTTTCTACAAAGTGTGCAAAGCCACCTAGGGTTTAGGGTTTGGGGTTCAGGGTGTAGGGTTTAGGGTTTAGGGTTTGGGGCTTCTTTTGGTTCCTTGGGGTCCTTGTCCGCGCCCGTGGCTTGGGAGCACTTGAGCCACTCGCGGCCAGTGGCTGTGCTGGCTGCGAACCCTTCCTCGCCCTTAAGCCTCACCAGGCTTCACCAAAAAGCGCCCGGCGCCCTCGACAATAATTCGGCGTTTCCGACTGTGTCTGACCGTCAAGTCGCTGAGATGAGGTTGGCACAGCTACCTACAGTCAGTCAGGAGTCACGGCTTTAAGTATAATCCTGTGTTGCACATGTGGCTACAGGGCCTGTGAGCTTTCGACTTGCCACACCAAACTCTCCTTACATGTCGTCAACGGTGTCGTTGCCAGATCACCAAGTTCACCGCTCAGTCCGTGTCACGGTCGCGACCATTGTGACCTGTCTGCCTCTTTCATTCCTTGCATGGAACCCGGGGCTTTCCCGAGCAACTTCATCTCCAACCGGGACGTCTTTTTCGAGGGACTCAAGACAATAAGAATTATGCGACGACTCTTGTAACTTGTAACACCTTCGCTTGGTTTCGTTCGTTCACATCGATTGTCCCTGTCCTCTCCCTGATTGCAGCGACATCGGAGCGCGACTCTGACCCGGGCTGTGGCATTGCAGAGCTGGTAAAAGCTGCGGGTCGTTACGACATTCTAGGATGAGATTCTTACCAGGTCGTTCGTGCAGCAGACGCGCAGTAATTCGCGGTCATCCCAACCGCAACAACCAGTGTCGGCGACTCAGATCTTGAGCTCTTGTGCATCCTTGATCCATGGCAGAGAAGGTGGTATACGGCGGTACCCATTGTAGAAGACAATGTAGGACGTCAAATTCTGTACTGTAGAGACTAGAGTCAGAGTGCAGGACTTTGCCTGGCATGGCCTTGGTGAAGCCAGCGGCCGGAATCTCACATGAAGTTCACCGTGAACGTGTACTCATCTTGATCAGTTTTATCGACCCAGATCGCGATGGTCACCTGAGCGCGTTGAGTGACTCAGCCTGAGATTGCCCGAGAGGTTGGCCCAGTGCAAAGCTCAACTCCACAGCGGCACGAACACCACCGAGCGAGCTCAAGTTGTGCTGCCCCCGGCAAAAATCTCAAACCGAATCATCACTGCGCTGAGATGTGAATCTCTGTGAGAATCTCTGTGAGGGTCATGGGTACCATCTGGGCTTCTTGGTGGATTTAGGATTGGTTCAAGCGTGCTCTGATTCGATGCTTCTCACAAAAGCCAGCCTTGCAGCAACTTGCTGTTGTCACAAGCCCCCCTCCACCTTGAGGGGGGGGAGGGGGGGGGGGGGGGGCTGGGGCTGGGCGGGCCGACTGTGGTGGGTGGTTGAGCGGGGTTTTCACGGAGCGTGCGGGGCATGGCGCTATGGTTTCGCCGCGTTACACTTGGAGCTGTGAGGACATGGACATACTAGTTGGAATGCTGGTGGTTGGGTCGTGCTGCCTTTCACTGACTGCGACCCTTCCCTGAGCAGCTTGGAGCTTGGCTGTGGTCTTCTCTGTGCCAGTCAACCCCCCACCCCACCACAAGGGGGTTTTGGGGGTTTTGAGGAGCGCTCTAAAGCTGTGGCACGCAGGAGTGCCTCCAAGTATGTTGGCTTCAGTTGGCAGGTGTGAGTTTTGCCAAGGCCTCGCAATGGATACCTCACTTGAAATCCCACAGATGTCCCCACTGCCTTGAGCCGGAGGTGGCCGCAAGCACTTGCTGTCACAGAGTTTGGGTACATGGGGTTTTGACAACGGGCTCCCTGTCATGCCGCCCCTTCCACCCATTTCCACTCTGACCCTGCGACTGCAAAAACCTTGCTTCGTGTGTCCCTCTCATTCCCTCTCAATGTCCCGGTATACATGGCAGTGGCGCTTCAGGTGCAGTTGACACCTCGGCTTTCGATGCACAGATCAAGCAACTCGAGGAAGCGGTTGCCCTGCAAGAGCTTCGTTGGTGTGAGCAGCGTGAACGAGTGCAAGCTTGAGAAACGTGAGAGGAACGCTGCGAAGATGCAGAGGTGAAGCTTGCCACCAGCACTGGCCTTAGCTCTTTTGGTCGCTCAAGTTCGAAAGGAGATCAATGCGCCAGCAGTGAGCTTGAGGTCAGCAGCAGTTGGAAACAGCCTCGGCGGAGCTTGATGTTGTGCAGATGGAACTTGCAGTAGCAGCCCCAGTGCTGATCGGCCAATCGTTTGGGCCAGCTATTGCACCCGTCGATTGCGCAGGCTGCGCGCGAGATCAACTATGCCAGTGAGGCCACATGTCAAAGACTCCACGACCTTGAATTGCTACAGCCTCCTTTGGATCTGAGGAGCGGATCTCTCAGCTGGAGGATCTCAGCTCCCAGTTGCAGGACTGAAGCGCGGAGCTTTATGAGCAGTTTACAGGTTCCAAACTGCCCTCCCATCCCCCCCAAATTCCCCCCAAATTCCCCCTCTCAAGCGTTGCCTGCAGGAGCAGAACCTGGGTTTCATTAAGACGTTTGAACAGCAGCTGGAGCGCTGTCCCCAGCACCACAGCCTCTTGCGAAGCCAAGTGTGCCGCATCATGTCGGCAATGATGTCAATGTCTGGGTAAGGCAAGCACGGAAGGAGATCAGACAGGAGGCGCCGACGCTTGCCTCGATGGGCTTGTTGCCCTGTTGCGCTGCGTTAGCAGTA